CCCACGCACCCCGCCCCCCCAGTGGACCCATGGCTCCAACCCCCACCCCCACCCACACCCCCACACTTCCAACCCCCACCCCCACCCCCCCACGCACCCCGCCCTCCACTGGACCCATGGCTCCTGGCCCCATTGGCTCATGGTCCACGGCCCATGGATGTGGCTTCTCAGCTGACTTAAAGGCCCCAGCGTATGCCTGGGCTCTCGGGCCGCTCCGCCCGCTCCGCCCTCCGCCCTTCCAGCTCCGCCTACTCCCCTTTGGCCCATGCTCCCACTCTCCATCCCCTTGACCTACCCCTCATGGACCCAGCTCCCTCATGGCCCCATGGTCCCAAGGTCCCATGGCCCCATGTCCCTAGACCCAAAGCAGTCCCCGACCCGAGGCTGGCCTGGCCCCCAAGGCCCACGGCCCCCATGGCCCCATGGCCTCATGCACGGCACGCCCGCCCACTCCGCTCCCCTCTTGCTCTCCTCTGACCCATACGCGGTCTCCTCTCATGCCCCCATGCCCCCCACACAGACCCTCTAAGCTTGGTCCTAAAAAAAGCCCTGCTCCAACCCCCAACCCCCACCCCCATACCGTACGCACCCTGCCACCCCCAACCCCCAACCCCCACCCCCACCCACCCACACTTCCAACCCCCCCTGGCCGCATTGGCTCATGGTCCACGGCCCATGGATGTGGCTTCTCAGCTCACTTCAACCGCCCGCTCCGCCCGCTCCGCCCGCTCCGCCCTCCGCCCTTCCAGCTCCGCCTACTCCCCTCTGGCCCATGCTCCCACTCTCCATCCCCTCGACCTACCCCTCATGGACCCAGCTCCCTACCCCTTACCCCTCAACGCACCCATGCCCCTCATGGACCCATGGCTGCTGGCCCCATGGCTCCCCATTCATTACGGTCCACGGCTCAAGCAGGTGGCTTCTCCGCCCCTACCCCCACCACCTCTACCCTTCCCGCTCCGCATACTCCCTCCCTTGCCCAAGCCCCCCACGCACCCCGCCATGCTTCTCATGGACCCATGGTCCGGGTCCCTTTCTTTATCCCTCGACCTGCATGGCTGCCAATGCTGGTCCTAGCATACTCCCCCCTTGCCCAAGCCCCCCACGCACCCCGCCATGCTTCTCATGGACCCTTCATCCCTCGACCTGCATGCTGCTCCACTCCCACCCGCAACCCCCACGCCCGTGCTTGTCATGGGCCCCTTGCTCCTGGCGTCATGGCTCCACCCCCACCCCCACACACCCCACCCTTTCCACACTTCCAACCCCCACCCCCACCCCCCACGCACCCCGCCCCCCCAGTGGACCCATGGCTCCAACCCCCACCCCACCCCCACGAACCCCCACCCCCACCCCCCCACGCACCCCGCCCCTCACTGGACCCATGGCTCCTGGCCCCATTGGCTCATGGTCCACGGCTGACTTTGAAGGCCCCAGTGCATGCCCGGCCCTCCGCCCGCTCCGCTCCGCCCTCCGCCCTTCCAGCTCCGCCTACTCCCCTTTGGCCCATGCTCCCACTCTCCATCCCCTTGACCTACCCCTCATGGACCCAGCTCCCTCATGGCCCCATGGCTTCAAGGTCCCATGGCCCCATGTCCCTAGACCCGAAACTGGCCTGGCCCCCAAGGCCCACGGCCCCCATGGCCATGCACGGCACGCCCGCCCACTCCGCTCCCCTTGCTCTCCTCTGACCCATACGCGGTCTCCTCTCATGCCCCCATGCCCCCCACACAGACCCTAAGCTTGGTCCTATATATGGCCCCTGCCCCCAACCCCCAACCCCCACCCCCATACCGTACGCACCCTGCCACCCCCAACCCCCAACCCCCACCCCCACCCACCCACACTTCCAACCCCCACCCCGACGCACCCGCCCCCCACTCCTGGCCGCATTGGCTCATGGTCCACGGCCCATGGATGTGGCTTCTCAGCTGACTTTAAAGGGCCCCAGTGCATGCCCGGGCCCTCCGCCCGCTCCGCCCGCTCCGCCCGTCCGCCCTTCCAGCTCCGCCTACTTCCCTTTGGCCCATGCTCCCACTCTCCATCCCCTTGACCTACCCCTTACCCCTCACACACCCATGCCCCTCATGGACCCATGGCTCCTGGCCCCATGGCTCCCCATTCATTATGGTCCACGGTCCAAGCAGGTGGCTTCTCCGCCCCTACCCCCACCACCTCTACCCTTCCCGCTCCGCATACTCCCTCCCTTGCCCAAGCCCCCCACGCACCCCGCCATGCTTCTCATGGACCCATGGCTCCTGGTACCATTCTTTATCCCTCGACCTGCATGGCTGCCAATGCTGGTCCTAGCATACTCCCCCCTTGCCCAAGCCCCCCACGCACCCCGCCATGCTTCTCATGGACCCATGGCTCCTGGTCCCATTCTTCATCCCTCGACCTGCATGGCTGCCAATGCTGGTCAAAAAAATGGCCCCTGCTCCATCCCCACCCCCAACCCCCACCCCCACCCCGCACGCACCCTGCCACCCCCAACCCCCAACCCCCACCCCCACCCCCACGCACCCACACTTCCAACCCACCCCCCCACGCACCCCGCCCCCCACTGGACCCATGGCTCCTGGCCCCATTGGCCCATGGTCCACGGCCCATGGATGTGGCTTGTCAGCTGACTTCAAGGGCCCCAGCGCACGCCCGGGCCCTCCGCCCGCTCCGCCCGCTCCGCCCTCCGCCCTTCCAGCTCCGCCTACTCCCCTTTGGCCCATGCTCCCACTCTCCATCCCCTTGACCTACCCCTCATGGACCCAGCTCCCTACCCTTTACCCCTCACGCACCCTGCCCCGCCGCCCATGCCCCTCATGAACCTTGGCCCCCCTTGGAGGGGGTCGGCGGCACTGGCGGTAGCCATTAAATCCGGCCCCCGCGCCGCCCGTGGTCCAGGGCGGAGCCCGCGTCGCACTAAAGCGCTAGCTTTAAGGGGCGAGCGCCCGAGCCGCCGACCCCGCCCAAAATTGCTTCAAATTCGCGCGGGGCCCTTCAAGAGGCCTCCAAAACGGCATCCAAGGGGACGCAACACGCGGTGGTGCGAAAAGCACGAAAACCTCGTAAAAACCATGGGTTTTTACGAAAAACCGAGGCCACAAAACACCCGCAGCACCCCATTAAACCCTCACGGGCGCGCATCATCGGCCCTAGCTTTTCACATGGGGCGCGCGCCAGGCCGAAACCACGTTTTTCAAGGTTTGGGGGGGGTACCGGAAGCCCAAAACCAGGCGAGCATCATGAGCATCAGCAGCCCTGGCCCGCGGGCCCAAGGCAATAAAAAACGCTGAAAAACGCTGAAATCACCGTAAATACCGTGTTTTTATGAGGTTTTTCACGCGTGCCTCCGACCCCCACCCCTGTTGCCCTTGACCCGCCCCCAAAGTGCGCATCATCGAAACCCACGTCCGGGGGGGGGTCTGCTGATGCTGCTGATGCGCGGGGTCCGGGCGCATCATCGAGCCATCGCTTCTCTTGGGCTTCGTGGGGGGGTCCGGGCCCACGGCCCAGAGACCCAGCTGATGCTCATGATGCTCGGTTTGGGGGGGTGTTCCAACAGCAGAAAACCTCGTAAATACCGAGTGTTTTGTGGGTCCACGTAAAAACGCCCCTAAAATCGCTCATTTTACGCGCTCGAACGGCTTCGTGCCTACAAAACACCCGAACAGCAGGACCCCGAATGCCCTTAAGGGCATTCGGGGTCTTGCTTTTGGGGGTTTCGTGGGCACGCAAGCGTTCAAGCACATACAATCGGCGTGTTTAAGGGGGTTTTGGATGGCCTGGGGGAGGCCGCTGATGCTCATGATGCTCCCTTTCCTGGGTCCCAAAAGGCTTCCCAAGCCCAAAAACACGTGTTTACAGCGTTTTCTGAAGGTTTTTCGAAGGCAAAACGCATGCATAGAATGCTTTTAAGGCCCCCAAACCAACCCCACTGATGCTCCTGATGCGGGTGCGCGCGCGCGCGCGCGGGGGGGGGGAGGGAGGGGGGGCGAAGGCAGGAGAAAGAGAGACAGAGAGAAGGAGAGGACAAAGACACGGGAAAGAGAAGACAGTGCCAAGGTTCAAGGTTTCGTGCTTTGGGGGGCGGGGGCCGGCCCGTGCCGCTAGGCCTGAAATCGGGCAGCGCGAGGTCCCCAAAGGACCGAGCAAATGCGGACCTTTTAGCCCGGGTCGTCCCGGGAATAGCCTTGCTGGCCTCTGGCCTTCTGCGAAGCAGAATTAGGCCGGACGCCAGTGCCGCCGACCCCCGCGTGCCGCCGGTGAACGGTTTTTTTTTCGTGGTTTTTTGCGTCGCCACGGAGGCCCCCAGAGGGCGCGCATCATGAGCATCAGCGGGTCCAGGCCGGGACCCCCAGGCGCGCATCAGGAGCATCAGCGGCTCCCGGGGTGGGACTGCGGGGGGGCATCAGGAGCATGATGCCCCCCAAAGGGCGGGCATAAGCGACGTGTCTAAGCCCGGGGCTAGGAAAAAGGGAGTTTAGGGGCCTTATAAAGTGCTTAGAAACGTTAAGGGAGTTTCGGAGCCTCAAACGCTTAGAGATTTGAAGGGAGTTTAGGGGCCTGAAAATGCTTAGAAACTTAACGCTTAGAGATTTTAAGGGAGTTTAGGGGCCTCAACATGCTTAGAAACTGCTCGCCCCGGGCTTCTGCGTGCGCTGCCCGCCCATGGGCGCAGCCCCTTAAATATATATATATATGTGCACAGCTTGTCATCTGAGCTCACAGAAAACCATGCGAGTCAAAACCCGTCCATCCAGGCAGCCCCAGCCCCTCCCCAAGTCCAGGGTTTCGGAGGTAAGAACACTTCACCCCTAAACCCCTAAACCCCTAAACCCCTAGACTTTGCCCTAAACCCTAAACCCCACAAGTGCTGTTGCTTCTGGACCGCTTGCATAAACCCTAAACCCTGAACCCTACACCCTAAACCCTAAACCCCTAAACCCCTAGACCCGAAACCCTGAACCCTAAACCCTAAACCCCCTAAACCCTAAGGCCCTCGCAGGGCTTTGCTTCACGCCAGCCCGCCACGAGCACTGCCCCCAGCTCGGCTACCTAGGGCTCTTGGGAAGGGCGGCAAAGGTTTTGGGGCTCTCTTGAGGCTTTGGGGTTCTAGAAGTTTAGGAGGGCTCCTGACCCTGTTGAAAAGGATGTTTGCTCGCGCCGGCGCCGGCACCGAAGATTTGAATCCTACATGCCCAGCATCCATGCTCGGGCTGGGTTTCGGGTCTCGGGCTTAGAGGTATGGACTACTGCTAAATGCATTTGGCGGGCTCATGGCCCCGAGACTGGAATTGGGTGGGGACTCGCCCCCAACAAACCACAATTTGGTGGCTCCCCTCTCCACACCCCCCCTAAACTCAACCCTAACCCCTAAACCCTAAGCCCTAAGCCCTAAACCCTGAACCCTGCAAAACGGCCCTGAATCCTGCAGCACTCTCCAATGCTCTGTTGCGGATGTCTGGGATATCCTGAGCCTTTCAGGCGGGAGGCCGGCCGGGAGCCTTGCTCAAAGAACCAACGAGTAAAGCTTGATGGAGAGCTGAAATGAGAGAGCGTGCCGCAATAGAACTGATCTGCCAGTGCCTCTCAGCCGTGGCAGTAGAAGAAGCAACATGCTGCAAAGGATGTCTTACGCACGGTCAGCAAGCACAGCAGCTCCGCACGACGTGCGTGCGTGCGTGCGTGCGTGCGTGCGTGCGTGCGTGCGTGTGTGTGTGTGTGTGTGTGTGTGTGTGTGTGTGTGTGTGTGTGTGTGTGTGTGTGTGTGTGTGTGTGTGTGTGTGTGTGTGTGTGTGTGGGTGTGTGTGTGTGTGTGTGTGTGTGTGTGTGTGTGTGTGGTGTGTGTGTGTGTGTGTGTGTGTGTGTGTGTGTGTGTGTTGTGTGTGTGTGTGTGTGTGTGTGTGTGTGTGTGTGTGTGTGTGTGTGTGTGTGTGTGTGTGTGTGTGTGTGTGTGTGTGTGTGTGTGTGTGTGTGTGTGTGTGTGTGTGGTGTGTGTGTGTGTGTGTGTGTGTTGTGTGTTGTGTGTTGTGTGTTGTGTGTGGTGTGTGTGTGTGTGTGTGTGTGTGTGTGGTGTGTGTGTGTGTGTGTGTGTGTGTGGTGTGTGTGGTGTGTGTGGTGTGTGTGTGTGGTGTGTGTGTGTGTGTGTGTGTGTGTGTGTGTGTGGTGTGTGTGTGTGTGTGGTGTGTGTGGTGTGTGTTGTGTGTGTGGTGTGTGTGGTGTGTGTGTGTGGTGTGTGTGTGTGTGTGTGTGTGTGTGTGTGTGTGTGTGTGTGTGTGTGTGTGTGTGTGTGTGTGTGTGTGTGTGTGTGTGTGTGTGTGTGTGTGTGTGTGTGTGTGTGTGTGTGTGTGTGTGTGTGTGTGGGTGTGTGTGTGTGTGTGTGTGTGTGTGTGTGTGTGTGTGTGTGTGTGTGTGTGTGTGTGTGTGTGTGTGTGTGTGTGTGTGTGTGTGTGTGTGTGTGTGTGTGTGTGTGTGTGTGTGTGTGTGTGTGTGTGTGTGCGGAAGCTCTGATTCTAAGCTAAGGGTTTTTGGAGGACTTCACTGCCGTTGAAGGCTTGAGCTCATTTCATGCAGGGGGTCAGGACGGTGCTGCAGTTGCCTGATCAACGAAGCTGGCTGCAGTTACCGAAGAAGCAAGATGGGATGCCGCCTTGTGTACCTGCTGACTGTTTTCATACTCATCATGCAAGCTGTGCATGGTTCGCGTCCTGTGATGTCATCGCTGTACAATCCCGAAACACTCGCCAAATCTGCAACTTTGTACCCTGGATTGGACAACAATTACATGGTCATGGTCATGAGTTTCACATTTCTCGATGAATCGCTACCTGGCAGGCTCCTAAGGTTATCGAATGATCGACTTCCCCAATACCATGATCGTCAAAAAAGCTGGACAGTGGGATACCACAATTACTCCGTGTGTGTGCCGGCGCCTGTGTCTCTGTCTCCGTCGCCATCTGTGTCTCTGCGTCTCTCTGTCTGCCTGTCTGTCCGTCTGTCTCTGTGTCCGTCTATCTGTCAGTGTCTGTCTCTGTCCGTCTCTGTCTGTCTCTGTTGCCTCTGTCTGGTCTCTCTGTCGATAGGGCTTTTCAACACCCGTCCATCCAAGCTGGTTGTGGAAGACACGACTTTGGATGCAAGATCGTGCGCCATGCAGCAACACTTCAAGACAGAGAGTAGCATTTGCTCAAGAACCCCCAAAAGAACCAAAACAATATTCTGCCTCATAAGGGCAATATACGGGATACTGGTCTTTCATTTTTGGGGGGTTCTTAAGCAAATAGTAGGAGACTTCTCAGCATTTCTCTGGACCGACGCACAGTTCACCCCTGATGGGGACACAAAGTTCCGCCTTTTCCCACATTGTCCAAGGTGCTTGGAAGTGGGTTTGTTTTTCAAACACCTAGCACAAAATGTCACCGGCATTCCACGAGAGACCTTTTGAAGAACAGTGGCGAAAGCAGATGCATGCTTGTAAAGGTACCTAAGGTCGCCACCCGTCACCCGCCACCGTTTATGCCACTGCTACGTATGCAAATCTTGCTTTGAGCAGAGAGGAGACTTTGTTTTCATTCTTGGCAAAATGCCTGAACTCATACTTTTGTGTCATTGGTTGGAGCGCTGATCCTAATTTCAAGGCGAATCTTGATTCGCTCCGCATAACTCAGGTTCTTTGTTGCCTGTGCCATTTTATGCAGTCTGTCCTGTCAGCAAAGTCCACGTGCTGTGGGTTTGTGCGCGTGCGAGACAAAGCAAGTGGGCTGCCAGTCTGCCGCCTGCATCTGTTCCATTCGTCCTTCAGCATTACCTTCACACCAAAGAAGCCTCGCCAAGCAAGGCAAGATGCAGAACTCCGCTGGCCGCCTTTGTGAACTGATTGCATCATACACTACTCTACCTCCGCCCCGCGCGAAGGATGATGAACGTCGTGATCCACACGGGCTAGAATCATGAGATCATGAATGGTGCTTGTGATGGGACCTGCGGGACCTGCTGAGCATCCAGCCTCGTGCTGTTCATGGGTGCTTTGCACTGCGGGCTGCTCGGCCTCCCAGCGCAATGACTTCGTCGCACGAGCGATGCTCCACGATGCTCGACAAAGGAATCGAAGGGCAGATGTCCTATACATTGATACGCATACTGCATCATCTTGTCTTATATCATATCATACTCGTTTACATTATAGCGAACTTTCGGAGATCACACTATATCAGACCATTTGACCATGTATACAGTGGAGTTCTGTGAGGTCTGCGTCTTGCGCCTGCGGAGCAGCCGAAGGGTCTCCGAGCGATTGTCGTCAGGAGAAGCCTCAGGTGCAATGAGGGTTTCGGGTTTAGGGATGTTTAGGGTTTAGGGTTTAGGGTTTAGGGTTTCGGGTTTAGGGTTTAGGGTATGAAGCCGAATCTCACTTGCAGATGTCCGACTCGAAAGCCATCAGCACTTAAGTGCAGCCGGGCGACCATTGCACTGCAGGTGGTGCTGTCACTGCTGCTGCATCTGCTGGATGCTGAAATACATCTCAATGAAGTACTAGACATTCCCTCTTTACAGGGTATCATGGCGAAGTCCTGGGCGGCGAAGGGCTGAGGGCAAAGCAAGTCGTGTGCACACGAAGAGAATGTGCGGAAGGCTTAGTTCAGGTGAGGAGCCGAATCGGATCCCGTGCGGCACATACCTGGCATCACACAACTGGGGTGCCTGGCCTCTTTAGCACTTGCTGCTGAAGGAGGGTGCGGCTTTGTGGTGCTTAGAGAGTTCCGAGTCGCGAGCCGGTCTGAACAACTCCCCTGAGGAATGAATGACGACGAGTCACCGGCGTGCACATACGGGTCATGGGGATCGTACGTGGTCTCCACCTTCTTCGATTGCGATGCATTTCGAGCCAACGTCGTCTTGACCCGACCATCTGATACGGTGATGTAAAGCCTCAGCTGCATCTGAAAGATGTTAAACCATACAGCCGTTCAACATCACGGGTTTAGGGTTTAGGATGTAGGGTTTAGGGTTTAGGGTTTAGGGTTTAGGGTTTGGGTTTGGGGGGTTTGGGGTTTAGGGTTTAGGGTACCTCGCAACAACTGAACTCCACTTTGAAAACCTTTAGCAGCTTTTCAGAACCAGGAGTCGGCTCTGCTACCCGCGAATCCAGCGCAGTGATATACATGGGCTCGCCGAACGACATCAGCAAGTAGGAGGCTCAACTGGACGACTACTAAACGTATATGCTGAGCTCGACAGCTAATTGCTGCGACAGGAAGGGATGCTCATGGGATGCTCAAGCCACGCAACTTGGCGCCCTGCATCTCCACTGCTAGGTGAGGAGCCGGCCTGCCCCGCCCCCAAGGCATAGCTGTAGCTGGAGACCTCAGCCCAGAAACCTAAAGTAACTGGAGGTGTGAGAGTGAGTGGCACTGATTCTCACACGGGGGCCATGGCAAAGGCAGCAACTACAAGGTCAAGCAGCTGAGGCACATACCCCAGTCATGGCGGCATCACAGATGCTCCACATCATCGGGCATTAGGCGGTGCAAAAATAGCAGAGCCACATTCTTGAAGTTGGGCTAGGGCTAGGGGGGCGAATCGAGGTCACGCTGCTGTCACTTCTCTTGGGCAATGCTCATTTTTGAGGAGCACCAGCTCTCGGAGCGGCGTGCAGGCGTCTGCTGTCTGAACATGAGAGAGCATGGGTTTACGAAGATTAGGGGTACCTTATTGGGGTCCTCATTCTAAGGGAAGCCTTTTATTTTGGGTGACAATATTAGGGGTCCCCTGCGCCTACTTTCGTAAACCCCCCATGTGAGCGCTTTGTTCTTTGCATGGAGCCGCGGCTCGCCTGGAGGGCATTTGTTTTTGTTCTGCTGCCAACTCTCTCCTTCCAGCCCTTGTGGCCGAAGACATTGGGCCGCCGGCGCCAGGTTCTGTGGTGAGAAACTCAGCGATTCTCCTCTCGAAGAGAGGGCCAAGATCTCGGAAGAGCTGTGAACTGCAAGAAGATGCCACAGTAACACTCGTCCCAACTCGTCCCTCAGACTTGCCACTGCCATGGCAGATGCTTTGTCTAACTCTACTCCCTAAACCCTCAACCCTAAACCCTAAACCCTAAAACCCTAAACCCTAAACCCTAAACCCTAAACCCTAAACCCTAAACCCTAAACCCTAAACCCTAAACCCTAAACCCTAAACCCTACCCTGTTCAGCCCCAACCCACGTCCTCCAAACCCGTTGCATGCACAAGCAGGCAGATGGAGCCATCAGCCTCCAAGGCGCAGCCCACAACGTCACACCTAGCCTAGAAACTCGAAACTCGAAACTCGAAACTCGAAACTTTTCTAGTGTAGGGTTTAGGGTTCAGGGTTCAGGGTTCAGGGTTCAGGGTTTACGGCTTAGGGCTTAGGGCTTAGGGCTTAGGCTTAGGGCTTAGGGTTGAGAACATCTCCTGTAAGGCAGCGGTCCTGCTTGTATTCCTCCACCTCCTCCAGCGGCACGCACGGCCTGAGACTGATGGCGGGGGTTGGCCGGAAACTTTCTTACAAAGGGAAATGTTTGCTCATCCCTTGCTTTCAGGTTCATGGTACTTCTTAACCAATTGTAACTGTACTGATAACTGTACTTATAGCCCATATTAGGGCACTTAAGGGGCATAAGTGGGTTATAAGTACAGTTACAAGTGGTTAATAAGTACCATGAATGAACCTCCGAGTGGGAGTCCATTGCCAAGGTGTCGGCGGCTGCGGGCTTAACAGAACTGAAGAATCGGATCTGGCGTTCCAAGTGTTTCACTACTCTGGGTTCGTTTAGGTCGCACCTTCTGCCCTTCGTCCTGGCCACGTCCATCGTGCATGCCGGATCGACATACGGTTTCTGCACTGACCACTCCAAGACGCCTCCTGCTCGTAGAACAACTGCCCCACACCTCTAAATGCCTAAACCCCTTAAACCCTGTAAACCTCTTCAATCCCTGAAACCCCGTAAACACCGTAAACCCCGTAAACCCCTTAACCCCCCTTAAACCCCCTCAAACCCCTTAACCCCCCTTAAACCCCCTTAAACCCCCTTAAACTCCCTTAAACCCCTTAAACCCCTTAAACCCCTAAAACCGCTTAAACCCCTTAAACCCCTTAAACCCCTCAAACCCCTTAACCCCCTTAAACCCCTTAAACCCCTTAAACCCCTACCCCATCTACCCCTAAACCCTAAACCCTAAACCCCAAACCCCAAAACCCCAAACCCCAAACCCCAAACCCCAAACCCTAAACCCTAAACAACCCAAAGCGCACCCCAAACACCCCAAAAAAAAACAAATCCTCTGGGCCCCCGGACCCCCAGGGATGGCCCCCGAGCTCAGGTGGCCAGTCGTTGACGGGCCACTCCTACCAGTTCAGGGTTTAGTGTTTGGGGTTTGGGGTTTAGGGTTTAGGGCTTAGAGCTTAGGGCTTCGGGCTTAGGGCTTAGGGCTTGGGGCTTAGTGCTTCTTGCTTGGGGCTTAGGGCTTAGGGTTTAGGGTTTAGGGTTTAGGGCTTGGGTTTAGGGTTTAAGGCTGGGGGTGAGTGTACATAGGCTTTGCGGCTTAGGTTTCTGAAGGGTGCGTGGTTTCCTTCAGCCTGAATCAACGCGACTCGCGCGTCCCGGACCCTGAACCATACGAAGCCCCCAAACCCTAAACCCTAAACCTACACCGTAAACCCTAAACCCTAAAACCCTAAAACCCTAAACCCTAAACCCTAAACCCTAAAACCTACACCATCAACCCTAAACCCTGAATCCCGACTGCTGGGCCGAGCCGGATCCTTGTAGCCTCTCCCGGGAGCCTTTGCAAAGAGAAACCAGCACCTGGCGCAATGAGAGACATCTTTAGGATGCAGGTGTGAAGGTTGAGGGTTGCGTCTACACCCACACACACACATCTTTATATGGGATTATACATTTTACATACAGATGTATACCCGGATACAGGTTTACGGATATATCAACTCATATGCAGACATGTGTATATACATAAAGACCTTCCTGCGCTACGGGCCTCCTTGCTTAAAGCCGACTTCCAGACTTTGCTTACAATTCACAAAGCCTTTCCTTTGTGCTTCCACAAGCAGGCGGGACAGGTCTCCCTCAAGGGCTCCTTAGATACATTTATAATTTTCACATGGTTAGGCTTTAGGGTTTTGAAGGGTTTGTTAGCGTTTAGGGTTTAGGGTTGTTCGGGGTTCAGGGTTTAGGGTAAGTGCCCAAGGACTCCTGAGAAAATGCGATGGAAGGTTTTCGCTTGACTTTCGCACGACACATTGCTGCAAGCTAAAAGATTTAAACTTTCAGCACGTTGGGTTTTTTTTCACCTGAGCTTGGGAGCATTCTTCCAACTTTCCTTAACTGCACACAAGGGATCCTCGTTTCTACTCGAGCCCTAACCGTCCCGAGCCCGAAAGGCCAAACGCCAGCACCAGATGCGGGAAAGCCAAAGCCTAAACCCTAAACCACAAACCCTCCCACTCATTCGCAGTGTTGGACGAAAGCCTCCGCGAAGAGCTTTCGAATAAGAGGGTTTAGGGTATTAAGGTATTAGGGTTTAGGGTTTAGGGCTTAGGGTTTAGGCTTTAGGCTTTAGGCTTTAAGCTTTAGGCTTTAGGCTTTAGGCTTTAGGCTTTAGGCTTTAGGCTTTAGGCTTTAGGCTTTAGGCTTTAGGCTTTAGGCTTTAGGTTTTAGGCTTTAGGCTTTAGGCTTTAGGCTTTAGGCTTTAGGCTTTAGGCTTTAGGCTTTAGGCTTTAGGCTTTAGGCTTTAGGGCACAGTTAAGGAAGGCGGCCAACCATTAGGTGCAGACTTGACAGCGCGAAGCCTGAGGCGGTCCGTGTGGCCATGCGGGAAGATGCAGAAGTACCTGATCGGCACGGCTTCGGGTTTAGGGTCGAGGGTTTAGGGTTTGGGGCTTGGGGTTTAGGGTTTGGCTTAGGGATTTGGGGTGTCTAAGGTTGAGTACCCTGCTTCGTCCGTTTCCTCGTCAGGGCCGTGACAGGCAGACATCTGCCCCAAACGACCAGCCAAAGCCATAAGCACTAGGTCCCGAATCCTCAGTTGAAGGGGCACAAGGAGGTTGCCGTGGTACTGTGCCTTCCCAGGCGAATGCCTGGCACGGGGGATGTGACCCCTGTGACCCCCTGAACTGTGTGGGTCTTGGCTGCACCTGGCTCTGACACTCCGACACTACTTCAGCACCGAGTTCAGATCTCGGGTTGACTTCGTCACAGCTGAGGAAGAACGTTGGATTAACACAAGGGAGAGAGAGTTCGCGGTTTAGGGTTTAGGGTTTAGGGTGTAGGGTTTAGGGTTTAGGGTTCAGGGTTCAGGGTTTAGGAGCGCAAACACGCGGCAGGATGCTCCAAAGGCGATTGAAAGCGGCGAAGACCGGAGTCGACCTGCTTGGAGCATCGCTGGAGGGCTGACCAGATGGGGGTTTACGCAATTTCGGGGTACCTTAATTGGGGTCCTTATTATAAGGGTTATTATAATGAGGATCCCAATTAAGGTATCTTATTTGGGGTACCTGAATTGGGGTCCTTATGATAAAGGTTATTATAATGAGGACCCCAATTAAGGTATCTTATTTGGGGTACCGTAATTGGGGGTCCCTATTAGAAGGGGATCCGACTCTTTGGGGGGTCTATATTAGGGGTTTAGGGTTTAGGGTTTAGGGTTTAGGGTTTAGGGTTTAGGGTTTAGGGTTTAGGGTTTAGGGTTTAGGGTTTAGGGTTTAGGGTTTAGGGTTTCTCTTAAACCCCAGAGAACGGTCACGTGCCCGGGGGACCATGTGGCATCTCCGGACTCCACAGCCGCTGCCTGAGTGGCGCGCGTAGCTGCAGATTGCTGCACGCAAGAGGCCCTAACAACACGGGGTTTAGGGTTTAGGGTTTAGGGCTCAGGGTTTCGGGCCCCTGAACCCCCGAAATCTCTCCAGCACCCACAAGACGGTTCGGCATACTTCGGTGCTCGTTCTGTTGCTCAGAGGACCCCGTCTCGGACTCATGCAGGCAGTCGCTTGCTGCCCCTGGCATGATTCTCGAACCCAGAGATCTGGATTTCCCAGATCATGTATCGCTGCTAAAATGCTGCTAAAACTACAAAACACACGCGAGACTGGGCCGTAGCGCCCACATCGTGTGAAAGGGTTCGCGTTTGCGGCAAGACCCACGCCAGGCCATCATTAGCTGACTGCACTGGACCGCACGCGCGGATTCGAATGACAGCCCATCACAAGCAGGTGCTCTTGCCTTGGCGCTGACAGGGTGGTTTGCATAGCATTCGCCACCAAAGATCCAACACTCAGCCAGCGAGCACGCAATCAGTTGTAACTGTTCTCGGGCGCTCGCCAGTCACGCTCGTCCGGGGAAGTGCCGGCCGGGCAAACTCTGCAGAAGCAGAGCGGGCACCTGGCATGGATGCCTAAAACAGAACTGGAGTCAGAGCCGTGCTAACCCGCGTCTTGTCAAAGCCAAGAAGAGAACAGCCCTTTTGCATGGCCTGTCTGCGCTGAAGCGACGAGCTTCAGCTACCGCTGCTTCGCCGACTTCACACTCCTTCTATCGTGCAGTGAGGGTGAACTTTGCCTTCGAAAGCCACACCCACAACTAGCTAACTCATGCGACTCTCTGCGGCTGCGCACCTCCATCAAGTGCCAGTGCATTCGCGAGATCTCGATCACCTGTGACACGGCGTTGCTGCCGTGGACACCAACGCAGCAGAACACCTCATCCAGCCTGCTCGCAAAGCTTGCAGGCAGAGAGCATGGGACACTCCCGCCAGTAGTGAATGTCCAATGCGGCCAAGGTGAAGTTGGGATCCTTCAACCATCTTTCAGAACGACCCAAAGATACCAGAGCCCGGCAAGTGAGCTAGGCCACCTAATGCAGGCCCAAGAGAGACCATTGAAGCCCATCGAAGCCGATGAAAAGGTTCCTCACTGCCAAACCTGCGTCCGTCCTCCCGACCGCAGAACTGGCAAAAGAACTCGTCGAGGCTCTCATCAGAATCCTGGCGGGCCGATTTCGTGCCGCTTTCCCATCTTTGGAAGGGAGCTTAGGTGGTGCTCGAAGCACAATTCCTCTCCTTCGTGCCCCCGCACAAGACAACACGTAAGCCCCACTGCAAGACTTCTTCCCTAAAGCCCACTGCACCCTTAAGTGCCCACACTAAACCCTAAATCCTAAACCCTAAACCCTAAACTCTAAACCCGAAAGCCCAGGCGCCTCTGCTTCGGAAGCATCCACGCTCTGGTGGCCTAAGCCAAAGCCGGGATGCTTCTCGTCATGTTTATGGCATCCAGAGCATGGCCAGCTTTGACCAGGGTACTCAAAATCACCTCCTTAAGCCGCTATTTGCCTGCCGAGTGATGCCCGGGGCCTTCCCAAAACCCAGAGCCCCAAAATCCAACCCTGCAAAATCAGCTGCCCCCAGAGTCATAAAATCGCGTCCCAACGCCCCTCTACTGTTTGCTCAAGAAACCCAAAAGAATCAAAAATAATAATCCCTATATGACCCTGAATAAGGAAGAACATTTTTATATTTTTCTGGGTTCTGAAGCGATTAGTAGCCCTACTCCGCGGGCCTTCCGCCAGGCCCGCGCCCTGGGCCGAAGGCTGGCCAGGGCCCAGGGCCTGGCGCGCAATGGCGCTTTTCGAACGAGTGGGATTTGAGGGTTTTCATGGTTTCAGAATGCAGGTTGTAAGAGTTGGGGTTTAAGGCTTGAGTTCGCAGGGTTTGTTTGGGATCGACTGGGGGTGTTGGGCTTTTGAGCATGAATCGTCTGCAACTGCAGAGCTTTGTTGTAGTTCCTGTCTGTCTTTGAAAGTATCGTGCTGCGGCGCCTTGGCGTGTGATACTCGCTGAAACTCGGCATCGAAGACCTCTCTCTGAGCCTGGCGACAAGATCGTTACATTCACAACGTATGCCGGCAAATCGCAAGATGTGTGTGCGTGATATTAGAGGGTTTCTCGCTGCTGCGCAGGGCCTGTCGGAGGTTCGCGAGATACCTGTGGCACGGGTGCACCCACTCACACGAGAGCATAGAAGGGCCTTCCTGAACCAAGCGCTGCACATCTCTATGCGGCTGAGACCAACGTGGATGTAGCCTTAGCCAACGCTCAGCTCCTACTCGTGCATACTCAGGTCCCGTAATTCCTGCCCGCCACAGGTCTCCAAGGGCCTCGCAGGCCGCCATCCTCAAGGCATCAGAAACTTTGGTGAACAGAAAAGGACGCTTGAGTGTGAGCGTAGGTCGCTGCGGAGCTGGGATACGCAGTGATGAAGGCTGACATACGGCTGACATACGGGAACCTCCCTAGTTCGCCAAACCATGATGTGCAGCTGGGATTCAATTTCACCGCGCTCTCCCGAACTTCAGCCGCCGGATTGCTGAACCACTCCTCGACAACAGCCCCAGGCAGGGCTCAGGCAGGGTACATAAACTCTGTGAGCTCCGAGCAGCACGAAAGGCAGTAGGCTATAAACCCAGACCATTTTTGCGCGAAACCAGCTAATCATCTACTCTACTTGGAGGCTCATGGGTACTTATCTGGGGTTCAAGTGAGATAACTATACATACATTGGTTAGCAACCTGCTTTTAGATGCTCATAACATTTTAGAACCCTACATATAAATACCCATCAGCCTTCAAGTACGCCTGAACCCCAATTCACCCTCCAGACCCCCGGGTGCGCCGCCATGGCCAGCTGCGCTGCCGGCTCCAGGGCAATGCCGTCGTGGCTCTTTGGCTGCACACCGAACTGGCGTAGCTTCAGGGTTTGGGCACGTTCGACGGTTGAGGCCTTGTCATATATATATATATATATATATATACATATATATATATATATGGGCGTCCGCCTATTGCGGTTCCCCTTATTTTTAAAGGTTTACATAAATGTATATATTTTAAACCCTAAACCATCGTTATAACCACAGCAACAAGTCGATGATGATGTAGGTACCCCAAACCTGTAAGGTTAAGTTTGACAGGTTTAGGGCTTAAGATTGAGGCATTTAAACATAAGCCCGCAATGAACGCTAAACCCTAACCGTTCAACCCGATAGAGTTAAGGCTAAGCGGTTAGGGTTTAAGATTTAGGTTTTCTTTAAACTTTAAGCCTAAACCCATAGAGATTTAACCTTAAGGGTTGAAAGTTCGGGCAGTTAAACCTTAACCCTGAACCGTTTAGGGTCAGAACCCTAAAACCCGATAGGGCTCTACAAGGAACAAAGGTTTTGACCCTAAAGGGTGCTGAAGGTATACATGCCCAGACCTTAGGTTTTCTTGAACCATTCAACCCTACAGGGTATAAAGGCTTAGGGTTTAAGGTTTAGGCATTACCTGTACGATAAAACCTTAAAGCCCTATAGGGCTTGGAGCTTAAATCCCTAAACCTGAAATCCCATAGGGCAATGCCTACGTTTGTAGGGCTTTCTTCCCAATGACGCGAGAATACTGTGAGCAAATGTCCTTTTCACTACTTCCTGGGATTCAAAATATAAACAAACCATATGGTTACATGATAGAATTCAGGTTTTGCTTATCGGGGGATGGTTGCTTGAGCTATCTTAGGTAAAGTAAAGTTTTTGGGATAGAGGTTTTGTTTTGCTTACTGGGGCGTGATGGGGTTACCTCATTTTCTTATAGGATATTTACATGTATATAAATCAAACCCTGAAGCATAGCTATAACCGCAGCAAAAAGTTATAACCTTGTCATATAGAGATTTCCGCAGAGCTTGTCAAATCCGATGATGATGTAGGCACCCCAACCCTAGAGGGTTAAGGTTGACAGGTTTAGGGTTAAAGATTGAAGCATTGAAACCTAAGCCGGCAATTCAACCTAAACCCGAACCTTTAAACCCTATAGAGTTAAGGTGTAAGGGGTTGGGGTTTAGGACTTAGGCATTTAAAACGAAAACTCAAAGAGTTTTAATCTTCAGGGTTTAAAGTTCGGGCATTCAGAACTTAACCCTGATTCGTTTAGGGTCAGAACCGTAAAACCCTACAGGGCTCCCAAAGGTTCAAAGGTTTTAACCCTAAAGGGTGCTGAAGGTATACATGCCCAGACCTTAGGTTGTCGAACCATTGAACCCTATAGGGTTTAAAGGTTTAGGTTTAAGGTTTGGGCATTAATTACCTATACAATAGAACCATAACACCCCAGAGCACTTAGAGCTTCAATCCCCAAACCTTAAACCCCACAGGGCTATGCCTACGTTTGTACGGCTCTTTCGCCCCGGTGACGCCTAAGCCGGCAATTCAACCTAAACCCGAACCTTTAAACCCTATAGAGTTAAGGTGTAAGGGGTTGGGGTTTAGGACTTAGGCATTTAAAACGAAAACTCAAAGAGTTTTAATCTTCAGGGTTTAAAGTTCGGGCATTCAGAACTTAACCCTGATTCGTTTAGGGTCAGAACCGTAAAACCCTACAGGGCTCCCAAAGGTTCAAAGGTTTTAACCCTAAAGGGTGCTGAAGGTATACATGCCCAGACCTTAGGTTGTCGAACCATTGAACCCTATAGGGTTTAAAGGTTTAGGTTTAAGGTTTGGGCATTAATTACCTATACAATAGAACCATAACACCCCAGAGCACTTAGAGCTTAAGTCCCCAAACCTTAAACCCCATGGGGTTGTGCCTACGTTTGTAGGGCTCTTTCGCCCTGGTGACGCGAGAATACTGTGAGCGAATGTCCTGAAAACTACTTCATGGGATTCAACATATAAACAAAGAGGATAATTCAAGTTTTGCTTATCGGGGGACGGTTGCTTGAGCGATCTTAGGTAAGGTAAAGCTTTTAGGATAGAGGTTTTGTTTTGCTTGTTGGGGGCGTGATGGGGTTGCCCTCATTTTTTCTTATAGGTGAATTTACATGTATATCAATCAAACCCTGAACCATAGTTATAACCGCAGCAAAAAGTTATAACCTTGTCATGTACATATATCCGCAGAGCTCGTCACTTTCACTACTTGCTGGGATTCAACATATACACAAACTATATCGTTAAATCATGGAATTCAGGTGTTGCGTATCGGGGAATGGTTGCTTGAGATATTTTAGCTAAGGTAAAGTATTTGGGATATTTCGCTTGTTGGGGCGTGATGGGGTTCCCCTTATTCTAATGGGTTTACATAAGTGTATAAAAATCAAACCCTAACCCATAGTTATAACCACAGCAATAAGTTATAACCTTGTCATATAGAAATTTCCGCAGAGCTTGTCAAATCCGATGATGATGTAGGCACCCCAACCCTAGAGGGTTAAGGTTGACAGGTTTAGGGTTAAAGATTGAAGCATTGAAACCTAAGCCAGCAATTCAACCTAAACCCTAACCTTAAAACCCTATAGAGTCAGGGTTTAAGAGTTAGGGTTTAAGGCGCAATCCCATATAGTATGCGTATACTTATGAGCAGAAAAGATACGGGAGACACTGCTTGCGATTCAGAATATTCGGAGCAGAAAGGATACAGGGGACACTGCTTGCGAATCAGAACTTTAGGAGCAGAAAAGATGCGGTAGAGGTACCTCGGCAGGAGAACCATTAAACCATTAAACCATTTAACCAATAAACCATTAAACCATTAAACCAATGGTTTCCCCCTTATGAGAATCCCCTAAACCATTAAACCATTAAACCATTAAACCAATGGTTTCCCCCTTATGAAAATCCCTTAAACCATTAAACCATTAAACCATTAAACCATTCAACCATTAAGGCATTAAACCATTAAACCATGAAATTAAACCATTAAACCATTAAACCACTGGTTGCCCGCCATGAAAATGGTTTAATGGTTTAGGGGATTCTCATATGGGGGAAACCATTGGTTTAATGGTTTAATGGTTTAATGGTTTAATGGTTTAATGGTTTAATGGTTTAATGGCTTAGGGGATTTTCATAAGGGGGTAACCATTGGTTTAATGGTTTAATGGTTTAATAGTTTAATGGTTTAGGGGATTTTCAGAAGCGGGAAACCATTGGTTTAATGGTTTAATGGTATGGTTTAATGGTTTAATGGTTTAATGGTTTGGGGGGGAGACCATTGGTTTAATGGTTTAATGGTTTAATTAATGGTTAAAGGGGATTCTCATATGGGGGAAACCATTGGTTTAATGGTTTAATGGTTTAATGGTTTAATGGCTTAATGGTTTAATGGTTTAATGGTTTAATGGTTTAATGGTTTAATGGTTTGAGGGATTTTTGGTTAGATGGTTTAAGGGAATGTGCAAAAACACAGGGGAACCGCTATAGGCGGTGACCCATATATATATATATATATATATATTCTATGCACACATACGATATACAGACATACATACATCATACATATATACATATATACATATATACATATATACATATATACATATATACATATATACATATATACATATATACATATGTACATATGTATATATATATATATCATGTATATATATATATATACATATATGATATGATAAATATAAATATAAATATATATATATATATATGTATATCATATATGTAGATATATATACATATATGATATATAATATATATATGATGAATTATGATATAAAATATTAATATACATATATATAATATATCATATATGTATATCTACATATATCTATATATATATATATAATATACGTATATGATATATATATGCATATATATATATACATATGTATATATGTATGATGTATGTATGTCTGTATATCGTATGTGTGCATAGAATATATATATATATATATATGTATATATATATATATAGATAGACAGATAGATACATATGTATGTAGATCTGTATGTATATATATATATATGCACATTTTGATTTCGTTGCCTCAGAGACCAGCGCAGCCAGGAGCTGCAGACGCGAGGAGAACACCCGCGGCGGCACGGTCCTGGCCCGTCTGGCTATACGGGTTCTTCGGTGCAGTTTGGGTGCTTTAGGGTTTTTAGGGTTTAGGGTTTAGGGTTTGGGGTTTAGGGTTTAGGGTTTAGGGTTTGGGGTTTGGGGTTGACAGAGAAAGCATTGGCTTGAACCGACCGCACATATCTCAGACCTCAAGTGGGCGATGCCATGACACACGTGCCGGCGGCGCTTCTTCTTCGGGGCACGCAGGAGGTGCTGAGCTGAAAAAGCCGCACCGACCTTGAAAGATGCCAGGAGGAACACGTTTCCGCCCTTGATTCCAGTCCCTGAGCATGACCACCCCATGGCCTACCGTTTTAGGGTTTAGGGTTTAGGGTTTCAGGGTTTAGGGTTTAGGGTTTGGGGTTTTGGTTCGGTCAACAGACTCATAAACTTTAGAACAGTGGAGCAGCCAACAAGTGACAGCTGGCCCCTGAAACCCTGACGTCCGATGATAATCCCAAACCCCAAGAGAATATACTAATTGCTGAGACCTGGTGTACCCTGAGTACGCCAGGATCCGGACACTTCGAGCAATGTCCCAATGAGCATCCCGGGCTGTCTTCTCGACGCGTGCCTCAGCGAAGCTGAAATAACGATGCGAAACGAAGTGCCGGAGCTCCAAATCCGAACACCTTCTCCTGCTGTCGGCATAGCAGCTGCACAAGCTCGGCTCGGGGTGCGACATTGCCATCCCCAAGCCGCTCTGCCAGGGGAACCAAGAGAGGCTCCAAGGAAGCCTGGCAGCACAAGCACGAGCACGGCCACCTGTTCCCCTGCGATTCGTGGCCTGACGCGCTCGGCCGAAGGAGGCGCCACTGATGAGGTCGTTGCACACCGCCTCTTCCCAGAACATGCTCGGGCCCCTAGAGGAGGAAGTGCCTCTAGGGTTGAAGGCTGGTGCTGGATTGTTCGCCCGGTTTCCATGGGGGTCGACCCTAAACCGTAAGCCGGGAAAACAAAACACCAAGAACCTGCCAGCGGAAAGCCTCAACTTCTGCCAACAAGGCTCTGAAGCATGAGAAACCATAGGACGCTACACAGGTGCACAAAGGCCTGTACCCCCAAGCTCGACTTAGCTGTACCGGCCTTGAGCAGCAGCGAGCTAGAGTGAAAGACCTTCAAGCTTTTCATGTTTTTTGGGGGTGGTGGGCTTGGGGAGCAGGATATGATCTAGGAGCTTGGTTAGGAGCTTTGCGGATTTGGAGCCTAATGTCTTGGCGCTGGATTTGGAGCTCACTGGACGGTGGTCTCGATGCGTCTCTCGGCACTTTGGTGAAGCGGCCTGCACGTTCTTGTCTGGAATCGTCCGGACGAGGATGGCAACGTAAGCACTCCTCAGCAAATTCACGGGTTCCGGCCAGAACGCAACAGGTTGTGGAGCAGAACAGTTCAGTCCAAAAAACCCGCCACTCTCTAAGTAGAGACTCTAGAGCTGTCACACACAATACTCCCCTTAGAACCTTAATAGAAATAATATGTTTAATATCCTCTTGGGGTTTATATGAACAAAAACACAAAATAATTCCCAAGGGGGATATATAGACACAGAGCTGAGGCTTGAGCAGTAAGCGATCCGCATCCTGCGTGGGCGCAAGGAACGCTGGGAACAGCACCAGATGCCACACCACGATTTCTCTGCATCCCTCGTACGCCTGACACGCTGAACCCCTCAAACCCTCTAAAAAGTTACCCTAAACCCTAAACCCTAACCCCTAAACCCTAAACCCTAAACTGATTTCGGAGCCTGCACGTTCAAGTTCTCAGGGTGGGCGATCTGCAGCGCCAGTTTTTGCAGCGCGGCATCTCTCAAACCTGTGAGGGTCTTGCAGCCGGTGATGCTTAGATGGGCAGAGACGGGTAGAGACGGGCACAACATGTGCTTTTGAAATCTGGGTGGCCGGACTCCACGACTTTGAGTAAACGCATTGAATGATGTACCTGGCCCAAAGTTACCCTGCGCAGGTAATTCACAGGGGCCTTCGGGCCAGGAGTCCCTTTAAGGACACTTCAGGCACGCATAGCTCGGTTTATTCAAGCTCGCCAGCGCACGACCCGAAGACCGAACATAGTGGCTCTGCTTCGGCCCTGGCCACGTGGGGACCGATACCAACAGGTCGTGGTTAGCGGGCGCCTTGTGTGTCTGTACGTTTCTGGGGGAATCTGGTGGTAGCATATGAAGTACTCTGCTCTAAGCGGCATGCTCTTGGCCACACTATGTAGTGAAGTGTCTCCGGTTGTCACCGGAAACCTGGATACCAAGCTACATAAGAGAAAATGCGTTTAATAGAATATACTCACGAAAATGTATTTATTATCGAGGAACAATGATATTGATAATGAGAATAACGTATGACGAGACCAACAAAGAATATATAACGAAACTAACAGCCCCATTAACAAGAATGCGTATAAGACCAATGATAAGAACCACCATGCTAGTACCAGTGAAGAAAATGCTAAGGAAAGATAATCATGATACTAACATAAATTGCAATACAAATTTATTTAACAAAAACACGTTCTGAAAGCACGGGCCGAAGCTGCTGGAGATGCGTCGGTATCGGATCCGGCTGCCCTAGGTCCTGCCAAAGGGGAGCAGATTCCAGAACTTGGGGTTTAGGGTTTAGGGTTTAGGGTTTCGGGTTTAGGGTTTAGGGTTTAGGGTTTAGGGTTTAGGGTTTAGGGTTTAGGGTTCAGGGTTCAGGGTTTAGGGTTTAGGGTTTAGGGTTTAGGGTTTAGGGTTTCAGGTTCGGGTTTAGGGTTTAGGCTTAGGGTGTAGGATTTAGAGTTTAGGGGCACATGCTGAGTGTAAAGGAGTCCGGCCTCCAAGTTCGGAACCCCTCCCAGAGGATGCTTTGCATCCTGAACAGACCATTGTGATGCGGGCGGCGGGGCTCGAAATCCAAGGCCTTGTAAACCCTAAAACCAAACCCCAAAACCCCACAGTATCGCTCCCAATTTTAAGCTGTTTTCAATACTTCAAAGTGCAAATCCCCAGAGCAATGCTTGCCCCGCCAGGGCTGCCGCCGGAATGGACTCTTCCGAGGCGTAGCCGCGCATCCTTTCGGGGGGCCGTGCCAACAAGCATGCGACCGCTGGACTTAAACCTGTGTGGGGGGTTTTCGAAAGATCCCGCAAGAGTCGGATTCCCTTACAAAAAATAGGGACCCCAATAAGGTACCCCCGAATTTCGTAAACCCCCGTGTGGGTGTGGCGGGTCTTAAAGCCGAAGCCACAAACCCAGGCCCCAAACTCCAAGCACCTAAACCCCGAGCACGTCTTAAACGTGCCTAAGCATCCGGAAGCCTTTAAACCAACCAAACCAACACACACACACACACACACACACACACTCTCACTCTCGCAAGCCATCTAATGTAGTGTAGTCTCCTTGCAGTCTCTTCTTCTCATCAAACTACGGTTGGTGAAAACCTTTGCTCTGGAAAAAATCCGTCAACATCTTCGGGAGCTTTGGATGCATTTCGAGGATTTGGAGTTTAGGGTTTGGGGTTTAAATGCATTTTATACAGCTGCCGTAACCTATCACCCACATTCTTAGGTAAGATCAGGCAGTTGCGTTGGACGTGGTTCCTGATCTCATGCCACGTCCCCAAGGCAAATATTCACAGCGGAAAATGCTGACAACATCTCACTTGACAGAATCTGAAGCACAGCTGTTACATTAGGCCCTTAGTTTCAGGGATGTTATCTCACACACACACACACACACACACACATATATATACACACACATCCGGGGCTCCCAGCCCATTGGCAGCCGAGCGGAAGCCAGCAGCGCGGTCGCCCGCACCACGGTCGCCTCCACGAAGCTTAGCTGCAGCTTGTGCGAAAGGGTCTATTTGGAGGTTCATGGGTAGTTGTAAGTGGGTTATAAGTGGGATAATTGTCGTTGTAAGTGGTTATAACCATATCTAGCATACTTATAAGCCTACTTATAACTACCCATGAACCTTCCAGAAGGCTTTGGGTGCAGGGTGACCTCACCCCATGGTCCGAAAACCCACTGGAGTTCAGCCCTTCTGGACGCGCCGATCCTCCACCTGAACTCTCAAAAAAACCTCAAACATCTGCAGCATTCTCTAGGTCGAAACCCCCTTCCTAATATCGGTCTAGGGTCCCCTAACCCTCACAGTCTTGCTGCGCACAGCCGCCTCACGCTGTGATACTGATGCGTAGACCCCATGCGTCACACACGTCAAAGTGCAAGAAGCCCACACCCGTCGATCGCCTGCCCTTGCACTGGAAGGGTACGGCTTTGCTGTGCTGCCCGCCGAAGGCGTCCTAAAGTCACTGCAGGTGATGTTTCGCAGCACTGCGCGACTACGACGTATCGGAGTCGAAGCAGATAGGATGCCAGCCATCCCATCAGTTGCTACCGATGAAGTCTGTTGTGTGCATGCTAGCAGTATGGCGAGAGGCCTCACAGCAGCGACCCGAAACAGCTCGAAGCAACAACGCGATGGCTGCACAGGAGGCATCGTGCAGGATGCTAGTTTTGGTACCGTGGCACTGAAGGCCCCGAAGCCTACACCAAGAACCCGACACTGGCATCTCATCTGGAAAGGAAGCTGTTGCTGCCTCATCCTGCCAGGCATGAGCAGCACATCTTCGTACAGGGTCATCGAGACACCCGGCGCCCCAGGCGCCTCTGTCACAGATCGGTAGCTCCGTCTGCCTTGCCTGGCCACGCCGGCGCAATCAAAACAAAGCCGGAGCAGATGATTCGGGCTATGGTCCCACAACCACTGCAAAAACACACTCTAACACGCGCAGAGGCTTCGAGGGCGCCGCTGCAGACATCGGCGGTGCCTGGAAGGTCTTCCACCCAGCATTGCGCGCTCTTCAAAGGGTCAGGAGGTGCCGGGCACAGGGTTCGTGTAGTAGTTGCAGCTGTAGTGTGCAGTAGTCGTTGTCGTAGTCGAAGTGGCAGAAGTAGAAGTAGAAGTTGCGATAAGTTCCCTTCTGCTTGTTCTTATGGTTCTTGCTGTTCGCAGTACTACTCTTCTCATTCTAACCCTGAATGCCTACGCCATATGTTGCACATGTCATGTTACCACGCCACCTCGAAATTCTCGAGGCTGACCCGCACAGGCGCCGGTGGGGTTGCCTGTGCTGCCGCTGCGGTCCTCCAGGCGTGGCTTGAAAACGAGACCCTCGACCCTCAACCCTAAACCCTTCGACCGTGCTTTGAGGATTTGGGCGGGGGGCTTAGGGCTTCAAGGGTTTAGAGCTCGGGGTGACAGTTACGGGCTTCCTCTTTCTCATTCTCTGCTCTCCCACTCTCACTTGGGTGCCTATAGCAGGACTCCCCCCCCCCCTTTTCCGGAAGGGGCTCGAAGTTCAGGCTTGGGGGCCTTTAGGGTTTAGGGTGTAGGGAAACCCCGGAAACCCCGAAACCCTAGGAGGAGAATCCACAAGCGGCACCTCGCTGTGGCGGCCTGGCAAGGCCTTTGATGGAATGACTTGAGCGCGCAATAGGGGCCCTGTTATTCTTTCAAGCACTTGGTGTTGAGAGCTAGATTTGGAGCTCTGGGTAGGAGAGTCTGTCCGGAGATGTTGCGCAAAGACCAAGAAGCCTCTCTAGAAGCTGCTCCGAGCAATCTCCGATATTGTTGCAAAAAATATGCAGCTCACTGTGTTGACATGGGGTCAAGTTTGGTCTCACTCAGCAATAACACGCAGCTCTGCATCTCAGGAAGACACACACACACACAAAGCTCGAACTTCTAGCCCGGGCGCACAACAACTGCTTTGGCAACACACTTCCGCACTTCCCGGCGCTGCTAAAAACAGCAAGCGCACTTCACATCAGGCCTTTTCAGGGCTTGACAAGCTAGCGAGACGCAGGTAAAGTGCCATTGCAATCGGGCCACGCACATCCACATGTTTTGGGGACCCGAAAGCCTATTTCGAATTACCAAGCCCCGAAACCCGTACCTACAGATGGCAGAAATGTATATATCATATATCGTATGCTATGGAGACACCAACAAACGTGTGCACGTTTATTGTATGCTATCTACTTTGCACAAGTAGATGAACCAGCTTCACCGTGACAGCAACTGCAATACTTTGCACCCTATCCCCTAAACCCCCCAAACTCCCCCAAACTCCCAAACCCTAAACCCGAAACCCTTAGACATACACGGATAAACCCTAAAACCTAAACCCCAAATCCGAAACCCTTAGCTGTACACGGAAAAACCCTAAAACCTAAACCCGAAATCCAAACCCTAAACCCCCAAACAAAAAATCCAGGGCAGCGGCGCAGAACGCTGCTGGGGCTGCGGAGATCGCCGCTGCGCGGAAGCCTGTGCCAGATGGGCTGGAAGTTCTCCTTCTTTCAAGAGCATACGCCATTATGTTCCCTTTGAGCGACTATTTTTTTGATATCTCCATTGATGTACTGTAAAGAAAAGAGATGAAGAAATAAAGAAGCGAATAGCAACTTGTCGGCCCCTGCCGACTGCCCATTGGAGTTGTCGACACCCTTTCTTGAATTGGGAGAGGGGTCTGGTCATGGCAGCTGGATTAAGGTCTTTGATATTGATCACCACACAGACTCTACGGGAAACCTTCTTCGATGTTCGCCAACCCTCGCGGATTCTCGCGGAAGCCTTCGAAGCAAAACCCAGGCCCCCGCATGCTTTCACGCGGAAGCTATGCTGCCACCCCAGCAGTCGACAAGTGACGCCCGTGTTTGGCTTCCCCTCGCGATCGCACGACTTCTGCTTTGTTCCCAAGCTTTCTACAAAAAACGACGGAAGGCATGTGGATGAAGCCCTATGGCAGAGAAACTGCAGCAATGGAGTCGCGAAACATTACTCCATTGACGCCCACACAGAGTTTCCCCAACGCATGTTCAAGCTTCTGAATATGTCCTGCTTATAGGAAACTTCATGCCCAGGTGCTCTGGGAAGTTGCAGTTGTCTAAAGCTTGGGGGCGATGGGCCTCAGGGGTTTAGGGCCTTAGGGTGTGTCACTAAAGTGGTCGGAATCCAGCCTGCGGGGTCTGCATGGGCTCCTTCTCCTCGCCAGCTCGCTCGCACTCTCCCCGCAGCCTCCGAGTGAATACTGGAACTGGGAGGCGAGGGTTTAGGGTTTAGGGTTTAGGGTTTAGGGTTTAGGGCCACAAAGGACGCAGGTCACATGGCCTGTCTATCTCCAGCTTCAGCGACTTGGCCGTGTCATACTCCTGGAAAAAAGTCAGCTCAGAACTGCTTCCGGGCATTCACCGGCACTGAAACCCGCCGTCCTCGTTTTCCACAGCGGCCCGCTTCTGCTCCTGGCAGGACACCGGGCCATCCCTTACGAGTTCTAGCTACCAATAGACATCATCCTCATAGACACTCCCAAGACTCTTGCACTCCCAAGGAAACAACCCTGGACCTAGACCATCCTTGACACATCTATTTCAACCCTCATGAGCCACTCAAAAAAACTCAAAAACAGAGCCAAACAACGCCTCGAGCTCACAGATCTGCAGGCCTTGGCAAGGCTGCCAGGGGCCCAAGGCACGACAGCACCGGGGTGCAGGTTGCAGACTCTTAAATACATTCACGAGCCCCTGTGCTGCACAGGGCGGCCGCCTTTCTGCTTCAGCATCAAGATGGCGTCCTTGCACCGCTTCGCCCCGCCGTAGTCCTTGGACCACGTGATCTTGGAACTCCGAGGCTCAGCCCTAAACCCTGAACCCTAAACCCGAGATCCTAAAAACTCAACCCCGGTCCTCTGTTTCGACGCACTGCTGCTTCTCCAGCACCAAGTTTCTCAGCCGCTCCAGTGTCTTGGCCTTGCCATCCAGAGCTCGACTTCACAAGCAAAAATGGGGAGGGCAAGGACGTGCCTTGCCCTCCGCAAGCTGGTGCCTTCTTAAGCTTGCTTTATACTGCAGGCTGCAGTTCGAGGCTGCAGTTCGAGGCAGGGACGTCGTACTTGGTCTCATCCAAGTCGGCTAGATCACTCACGACCTCCCGTGGCAGGCAGACTGTTACAAAAAGTTGCCCTTCTTGGGCCCTTGACTTCAGGGGAGGGGGGGAACCTTTTCAATGACTTCCCCGGCACATACCTACGAAGTATCCATTTATCCTACCGACAAGGCCGGGACGGCTTTGCGACCTAAACCCTAGATGCAGGGTTTAGGGTTGAGGGCTTAGGGCTTAGGGCTTAGGGCTTAGGGCTTAGGGCTTAGGGCTTAGGGCTTAGGGCTTAGGGCTTAGGGCTTTTGAACTCTACTTGGTGGCTCATGTGTGCCTTTGAAATTGTCGGCTGCTGTCTCGGAGTTGGGGTCGTCGGCGCCGGGGGCGGCGGCGGCGGTCTTAGCAGCACTGCGAGCAAGCAGGATTCCCTATCATCGATTACGATTATCACTGTTGCTGCTACCTGAAAATATTCTTACTGTGAATACTATGAGCTCTATTTTGACTATTATTCTGATAATTACCATTATTACGATAGTTACCAGTACTACTGTTATTACCATCCGTACTATGAGCACTATGCGTACCATCAGTACCATTAGTACGAGTACTATTCGCACTATTAGCACCATTATGAATTTTTACTCTAATTACTAGTATTACTATGATTATTACTACTATAATTGCGATTCTTGCGATTAGTACAATTTTCCTATGACATATATTATAACTACAATTATTACCATTACTACCATTGTTACCATTGTTAGTATATTATTACAGGCGGAGTTTTTGGGGTTGGTTTATCGTTGCTTAAGCGAAGTAAAGTTTTTGTTCGTTTAGAGCATCACAACAGTCCGTAACGTAAAGGCCAAAGGCTATGATGTGGTGATGTGGGCGTCTACTTCGACAACAACAACATGCACGCTGTGATGTTATGATGTGATGTTGTGGGGCAGGGGGGCGGAGGAAGGTCTTCCCAACTTGAGCCAACCCTTCCCCCGCCTCCCCCCCCCCCCCCCCCTCCGCCCCCTGCCTTTCCAAACATTTCGAAATAAGGGCTGCGTTTCAAAAACCTCTCCGGGCTGCGTTTCAAAAACCTCTCCGGATCTTTGAAGCATGAGAGCCGATTACATCTTTGCAAGCCACATCTGGATCAAAACAAAGACGCTGCCCCCCCCCCCATCAATATCCCAAGCATTGTCTTCAGCGCCACTTGCTATTCAGGGCTTCGTCAGCTTTAGGCAGGGCCGGGCTAAATCACCTTGGTTCCGGCATCTACATCCACCGCATCCTCATCTACTTCTTCCTTCTCAACCGACGCCCCCAAAGGAGGATAAGATCCGCAACACCATAACACCCGTAGGAGTAGGATAAGGTCTGAAAGGATATGCGGACATGACTCCTTCCTTTTCCGTAAAGGAAGAACATATTGGGATTACAGTCTGACCCTAAAATTCAAGCAAAATCAGAACAAATTAGGATGAGGTATAAGGTTTGGCCCTACCACTTAACCGAATATGCGCAAGTGGCCCATGTTCGTGCAAGGATGAAAAATACGGTTTGGCCCTTAACCTTATTTAAGAATAAGGTCTGGCCCTAAATGTGAACCCTAAACCTCAAATGAAGATGCGGAAAGAAGCCACCCCTTTTCCTGATTGCATCTTAGACGAAAAGGTCCCGCCCCAAACCTTAAGCGAAATATGCACATTTAAACGAAAATGCGGAAGTGGTGCCCTCATTTTCGTGTAAGGCTTCGAAATTAGGAATACAGTCTGGCCCTAAACCTGAAACCAAAATGCGCAAATAACTCCCACCTTCTCCTGAATAAATCTTCAACGAAAAAGGTCCGGCCTTAAACACCCTCCCCCCCCCCCCCTCAAACCCCTCACCCCCCTCAACCCCCACACCCCCACCCCCCCAACCCCCCCCCACCCCTCCCCAACCCCCCCCTCACCCCCCCGCCCCCCCCCTTGTTTAGTAAGCCCATACCTTCCTCTTCAGCCTGTATTGCCACGAGTACCACTGTTACTACTATTACTACTAATACTACTATTTCTACTACGATTACTACTATTACTACTATTGCGAGTATTACAATTACTACGATTATGACTCTTGCTTTACGAGTATTACCATTATTACGACTATAGCTCTTGTTGCTACTATTGCAGTCATTGCGCTCACTACCAGTACTACTCTTATGCTTGTACTACTAGTACTACTCTTCTGACGAGTATAACTCTTCTTATTCCCATTCTTGCTCTTATTATGATCACTATTGCTACGAGTACCATTGTGACGATTATCATCTCTGTGGAGTCCTAAACCCTAAACCCTAAACCCTAAACCCTAAACCCTAAACCCTAAACCCTAAACCCTAAACCCTAAACCCTAAACCCTAAACCCGGCCCTGGAAACACTGAGCTTTGGGCTCCACAACGGGAGATGGCGCTTGAGGCGCTGCAACCGGGGATGCCACCTCCCAGGGATTCTCCCCACTTGCGGAACAAATTGGGGGGTTTAGGGTTTGGGGTTTGGGCTTTAGGGTTTAGGGTTTAGGGTTTGGGGTTTAGGGTTAAGGGCAGCCAGTTGCAAACTGGCTTTTGCTTCAGCTTGCGCAGCCCTGAATTTGCATAAGAGAGACAAGCAAGGACTTGGTCAGGCACTGGCGGCGGTTGCTTAGCTTCAGGCACGGGAACCTGCACCACGAGCCAGCTGGAAAGCAAGTAGAACGCAGGAAAACCGGCGGGAGCTTGCTGTTCGGATCAAGTTGCAAGGATGCATTTGTCCACGTCGTGCGCGACGTGCCCTACTGTTGCCAACTGGGAGCTCTTTCAGGCTGTTCCAAAAGGCCCCCCCCCCCTCCGACGGCCCAATCCTGTACTTCAAGGGTTGCAGGTCAACTGCGTGCACTAGGCTAAGATTGCGGCTTGCTAAACCATTACGCAATTTAAGCTCCCCTCACCAGTTACGAGGCCTTCGGAGGTGCGGAAACGACAGCGCTGGCAGCCGGAACCACCTCTGCGACTGCGATCAGACGCCCCTTTGCCAGAAAACGGCTTCCAAGCCACGTTGAGGTCCCGGCTTGGACTGGCATCTCCGCCGGGGGCACGACCTGGCAGCGCACTTTTTTCATGGGAGGACTTAAATATATATATATATATATATATATATATATATATATATATATATATATACATATATATATATACATATATATATATATCATATATATATATATATATATTTCTATTTTTCTTTATCCTTATTTGTACTTATAATTCAAACCGGAAGGTGTTTGCAGAGACCACGAAAGGCTGTTGGCCATTGCCAGAGCAGTCCCTGTCAACAAGCATCATGCATGAGAGGGCAATCTTCAATCCCAGAGCAACTCCGCCATCAATCTCCGCCGTTACAGCCACCCTTCTATGTGGGTACTTCCAAGAAACGGGGACCCCTTATATACTCCAAAGGAGACTATATTCCCTTCCATATTCCCTCTCAGAAGGACCCCAAAAAAAACGCCACCCCAATGTTCGGAAACCCCCATATGTTGAACGTGCTGCTCATTGCTTTGCAAAGCGACTCCAGGGTTTAGGGTTTAGGGTTTAGGGTTTAGGGTTTAGGGTTTAGGGTTTGGGGTTTGGGGTTTAGGGTTTAGGGCTTAGGGCTTAGGGTTTAGGGTTTAGGGTTTAGGGTTTAGGGTTTAGGGCCAGGTTTTCGGGATCGCGGCCTCTCCCAGGCAGCTGAGGGCAATGAGCCCCACTTGGTTCAGCGCATTGTAGCGGTTGATGTGGCACCTTGTGCGCTTTGCGGGTCTTCCCACAAGAACCCATCAGTCTGGAGACCATACGAGGCAGTGCGCTGCTGAGGCATGGGCTTGTGAAAGAGGATTCTCAGGAACTGTGCTACCACGTCCACGTAGACGCTCTTCAGTTCTCGCGCCTATCCGGCCGCATGTTCCGCTGAAGTTTTCACACTGAGTGGGCAGAGCTGTCCTGAAACTGGGAGCGCTCGTTGCTGTCCAAAGACAAGTACCCCAGGCGCTTGAACTGCACAGCCTGAGCAAAAAGAAACCGAAGGCGAAAAGAGCAGAGCAGGACAAGTGGGGTTCAGGTAGCAGCAGGGAGCCACAACTCCAACATCACCTTCTGCGAAACTCACCCCTTGAACCTGCTGCAAAATTTCAAGCAAGTGCGGCAGCCGGGCCTCTACGGTGGCACCCGATGCCGAGGCCAGGCCAGTGAAGAGCTCGATCCTAGGTTTAAGGTTGAGGGTCTTCAGGGTCCTTGAGACCCTCAAGCTTGAAACCATAGGCCAAATAAGCGGCTGAGGACGCCTTTGAACGCAGCAAGCCACTGCGAGCAAGAACGCAACCAGCTTGCAAGTCACAAATCTGAAATATTAATAATACCAATAATAATAATCAAAATAACAAGAATAATAATCAATAATAATACTAATAATAATAAATATCAACAACATCACATCGCGGCCAGGAGTTGACATCTCAGGGGGCAGCTTGGTGGCGATCTTGCTCTGGTGGGAGAGGAACTGCACCTCTAATCAGTGAAACCTAAACCCTAAACCCTAGACCCTAGACCCTAGACCCTAAACCCTAAACCCTAAACCCTGAACCCTAAACCCTAAACCCTAAAGGGAGAGGTAGAGCTGAGAGGCTACACGTGAGAGGCTTTGCCTGGCGAAGGTGGACTGTGGTGTCAAACTGCAGGCAGACCTGGCACGGGTTAAGGGTCTTTTGGGTTGAGGGTTTAGGGTTTAGGACTGAGGGTTGAGGGTTGAGGGTTTAGGGTTTAGGCTTAGGGTCTAGGGTTTAGGGTTTAGGGTTCAGGGTTCAGGGTTTAGGGTTTAGGGTCCTTTAACTCTTTCAGTGCAGGATTTGGAGTCCGCGAGATCTCTCTGCATGCTGGACGGCTTTTCGAAGCGATTCTGCCACGCACGATCTCCCTCGAAATCGCTCTAGCAGAGCTTGTGCATTTACGCGCGAGATGAGTCAAGCACTTCTCGCTCGAAAACCTAAGCAATGGCTGCGCTTAGGCAGCTCCCGGGTATCCCCCGGTAATGTCTACGGCTGCTCCGCCTTTCTGTGCTGACTCGAAGACAGCCGACATGACCTTGTGAACGGCCAGGGATCTTTTTGGCCAGTCCGGATCGGGCTTGCCGCCGGCTTTGATGCCCTTGATGCAGCTCGCCAAGTCATCCACCAGCGCATTCACGTGGTCACAGGCTTCAGCTTTCATGACCTGGTCCTTGCCCATGACATCACCTTGGACGTACTCCGCACTGCCGACAAAGGGGGTCTCGTAGGCGGTGAAGTTCCCGCTCCTCTGCTGTCCTCCCACGAGATCATCGACCCTGATGGTGCCCTTCTCGCAGACGACCTCATACTGACTTCGGTGGGGCGCCGTGCACCCGCAATCGAAGACTGCAGATCTGTTGCCTGGGAACCACAAGGTGCCCGCGCAGTGAACAATGGTGTCGACCTTGTTGAGGGTGACGTGGGTGCACACCACTTTCTCTGGCATGATCCACCCAAAGGCCCAGAGAATGGCCGAGAGCGGATACCAACCTGGGCAGCTTCTTTTCATGCGCTTTCCTACCTGTTCCTGTCTCTTCTCTCGTGGCCATCACGTTTCTCTGAGCCCAAGGGGCCCTCTAAGAGTTATGTCCCAGTTTTGCATCACTTCCTGCTCATGACTTTCGGTTCCTCGCTGCTCTCTCTGGCTTCTGAAGGGCTCCCGTCCCGCGCCTTGGTCGCCCAGGCAGCCCATGGGCTCGCGCGACTTGTCCGTTCGGCCGTTGCCGCCCTGGAGCCAGGCCTCATCCGGAGCCATGAAGGTGAAAGATGCCGAGACCCTCAGCACCTGCACGGAAGATGCTGCGATTTGGCTTTCTGGCAAGGAGTCTGCGCTACCTCCTTCCTTGTGCCGCAGCCACAGCTGCACCTAGTAGCACCTAGTGGGGCCTAGCAGGGTAGCAACAACAGACTCTTCTTTCTGTCAAATCTCACATCACCCTCTAAATGAGTCTATCACATTCTGAGGGGAATTCCTCATTCTTGCTGCGTCATCTGTTTGGAAAACTTGCTTGGAAGGGCCTGAAGTCAGAGGGTTGGGATGGGGGGTTGCTGCCACTTTCGCCCTCGCTGATGCTGCATACCTGCATCCCCCCTTCGGGCTGGAATAACGGTCTGAAGCGGAATAGTCGACTATCCCCCGCTTGGACGGGAATTTTGGACTGCGGGCCGAAATTCCCTTTTGAAGTATTTGTAGGCTTTAGCAGTTTGTGAAAACTGGGGCATGGAATTTGCTATCACTGGGCCAATGATGATCCGACCGATTTCGTGACATGCTGCCAGTTCTGAGCATCTAGTGGCCCCTACATGATAATGAACGATCAAGTCTCGAAACCTGTCCATCAGGTTCCAAACGTGAGTGGAGCAACAACTTTCCATCCTGGTCTGCTTGGTTCCTTGGGAGCAGGCAGTCGGAGCACCTGCCCCAGCTCACCACCAGACAGCTTCTTCTCAATCTCCCTTGTCCTGGCGAGTCGCCCAAATTCAATTATACAGAAAAAAGTATTATATATATATATATGTATATAGATTGTTTTCTTTTTTTTTAGGGGGGGGGGGGGGGGGGGGTTGGGGCACGGCTGTGCTTGGGATGCTTTTGAGGCTCCTGATTGAATGGTACCACATGGTGCCATCCATCCATTGCAGGCCCTTCTCTTCACACTGCTTGATGATGTCCGCTAGCTCGGCCACCGTACCTTGGGATCTTCCCCCTATATCAACAGTCCTTAATAGTACCCCCTGTTACAATCCCTAGTAAGGACTGTTAGTATTATATAAGGGGGAACATCCTTTCCGGGGTACTATAATGCCTATTAAGGAGCTTAGTAGATGGGGGGAACACATCCCCAACCGTGCCTCCCATCGGCTTCTCAGAGTAGATATGCTTGCCTCGCGAGATCGCTTGCACGATCTTCTCATTGCGCAGGCCCGTGGGCAGCGGGACGTAGAGCACATCCACGTCGTCCCGCGCGAGCATCTCGTCGTAGAGCATTCCCTCCCCGCAGTCGTGCTCCTTGCAGAACTCCTGGGCCTTCTGACGATCTCGAGACGCGACTCCGACCACCTCCATACCGTGCTTGAGGCCGGGCAACACTTTGCCCACAATGGACGCTGTGCTGAGAATGCCAACCCGAACCTTCTCCGACATGGCAACAGATGCAAAAGCAAAAGCAGCTTCGGAGCGGCGGGATGGGGACCCGATCTTTTGAGCTGCACGCCTTCGCGAGCTTTGGCTCTCACGTTCGACCTCCCTTGCGGGCAGCGGGCCAGCTCTCAAAATCCGGGTCCCTTGAAAAAGGTACCCGAAATACAAGGCTCCAAGGGGCCATAACTTAGGGAAAAGCCCCAAGGGCGTGCGTGCAGTGCCTCCTGGGGAAACTCGCAGAAGCGCGCCGTCTGCCATCCCTTCCTTGGCAGGGTTTGGGGAGTTTGGGGTTTGGGGTTTAGTGTTTAGGTTCTGGGAGTTTGGGTTTGGAGGGGGGTTAAGATTTAAGGTTCAAGGTTTACCGGGGCTTTCTTTGCAACTCGTCGGGCTTCCGGGGCGCCAGTTGCTTAAAGGGTTTAGGGTTTTAGGGCTTTGGGGTTTAGGGGTTTAGGGGGTTTAGGGGCTTAGGGGGCTTTGGGGGGTTTAGGGGTTTAGGGGTTTAGGGGTTTAGGGGTTTAGGGATTTAGGGAGTTTAGGGGTTTAGGGGTTTAGGGGTTTAGGGGTTCAGGGGCTAATGGGTTTGGGGCTTGGGAGGTTTGGGTTTAGGGTTCTCAGGGTTTGGGGGCTAGGCTCTTCGGGACTTGCGACCCTAAACCTCAAACCCAAACCCTCAACCCGAAACCCTAACCCTGAACCCCAAACAAACCTAACCGTAGGCCCCAACACGACCCGAGAGAAGCCAGGCCACGTCTGTTGCGAGTGGGATAGTAGCTCGGTGACCTCGGCTTAGACCCGTGGTGAGAGCCCAGGTTTGGCGTGGACGGTTCTTTTGCTGCCATCATGCCCCCCAAAAACGACCCCTGCGGCCGCCGGCAAAAACCCTCCGCTGCGAGCAGCTTTGGCTTGGGGGGATTCATAACACCCCAACCTCCAGCGGGTCCACCCGAAGTCCCTAAGCCCTAAGCCCTAAACCCTAAGCCCTAAACCCTAAACCCTAAACCCTAAACCCTAAACTCCACTCAAGTTTCAGGAGCTTTCGTGACCTGGCGAGGCGAGGCGCAGGGCCCAAAGATGCTTCTGGCTGATGGGTCTGACAGGCCTGAACCCTGAACCCTTAAGGTTTAGCGTTTAGGGTTTAAGGTTTAGGGTTTAGGGTTTAGGGTTTAGGGTTTAGGGTTTAGGGTCTTAAACCCTGCTGGGTAAACCCTTAAACTCTTAAACCTTTGAGCCCTTAAACCTTTAAACCCCCCTTAAACCCTCTAAACCCTCAAATCCTTAAGCCCGCCTCTTAACTCCTACAGTCCCGACTCCATGCCGCAGACAGTTCAAGGGCCCCCCGGCCGGATAGTCGGGTTCCTGCACTGGGTGGGAGTTGGGGATTGTCTTTTGTTGCAAGCCCCCTGTTGCACATGGGTAGCTCTCTACATGTGTCCCCTATAGAATACGGGGGGCTTATGAACAAGGACCCCCAAAAGGGACCCTAAGTAAGAGAACTACCCACATGGTGGCCCTGAGGCATTGCCCAGGGGTATTCGGGCTTCCCGTCCTCGGAGGTACACTTCACGATCCGGTACTTGAGCCTCGCAAGTCAAGGAGCCCCAGCACCCAATATGTGGGACTTCAAAGGGCTCCAAGGCTTCTGGCCAGCTGAGGGATGCCGAGGTATGCTTCGGGATGCTTGGGGCTTAGGGCCTAGGCGGCGCGCCTCGTGCCTCCCGATGCCATCAGAGAAACGCCTCAGCCTGCAGACGCATCGGGCTCCAGAGATAACGCCTTCCTTTAAGAACCCAACTCCCGGGGACCTGGAACCCAACTCGTTCTCCCAGCCCCACCTCGCTCCCAAGCTTTCGGATCTCGGAGGCGCTCATCACATCGGGCTCATCAGCTTGATGTCCGGCTTAGGGCTTTCCTTGTTTCCTAGCGAGCGATACTGCTTTCTGCTCTGTGGGGGGGCACTTTTTTTTCGGTCTGCTGGGCAAACGGCTGTTGCTGTTGCAGCGGGGCGTGTGGTGCGACATGGTGCGACGCGGTGCGGTGGTGCAATGAACCCAGGTTGTCGTGTCATGTTACATCATGTTCTCATGTCCTCAGCGGCTGCAGAGGAGCCCACGGCAAGCCGCACAGGGACCAAGGGTCCTGCTCCTTCATCCCGAACCCGAAGCCTGAAACGAAGCTGCACCCGACAACCTCGGCGCGCAAACCCTGCTGCCGGAGCGCGGGGAAGCGATGGACCAGCACCCCGGAGGTTCCCAGCATTTCCTGCGGACAGTACTGGACAGGCGCAACGCAGCACCGATCTAAAGATGCGTGATCCTGGAAAGCTCATGACAGCAGGACTCTGGCAAGCAACGGCAAGACTCACTTCAGGAACTGCTGAAATCAAACTGCACATGCCTTCGAAGACGCACGCAGATTTCTCCCTCTCTCTCTCAACAGGATTGGGGCGAAGGGCAAAAGCGAAGCCTCCACCTTGCGCAGGCTGCGTGCCCTGATAAGGGACTCGTCCAGCAGATGCTGGAGGCCTTTTGCTCTTTTTCGCATTCCTTTCTAGAGTTCTGTCTGTACTTCGTTCATTTTTTTTCATGCCCCCTCACCCCTGGGCAAGTGTGTGCTTTTCTCCCTTCTCTGTCTGTCTTCATTTATTCGTGTCTTGCTTTCTTTCTGTCCTTCTTTCTTTCCTTCTTTCTTTCCTTCTTTGTTTCATGGGGCCCAGGGGCTTTCTCTCTCTCTCTCTCTCTCTCTCCCACCCCAATCCCGCTCCTGGTGCAGCGCGTCCACGGACCTGCGCTTCTCCTCCTGTCGCCTGGGCGTCGTGCACTGGACAGCGCCTCTGTGAAGCTGCCAAGGCTGGAGCACACGAAACTCTGTTTGGAGGCCCTGTATGGCATTCCTGTGAAAAATCGAGGAAAATGACCTTCAACAGAGCTCCTGGAACACTGAACCCCAAGTCCACAACCCCTAAAAGCCCCGAGAATCCCCTCAGGACCTGGCAGCTCGTTCGCGCGCAGCTCTTCACGTCGGTCGTGCTGGGTCTTGAGCTCAGCTAGCTCCTCTGGGCTTGAGGACGTCCGGGAGTCATCCGTTCTACGCAAACATCTCTTCCCTCTCTTCCCCACTTAGACTGTGAGTTTTTACACACATATGTACATGCACGCTCGCCCAGCGACCCCCCCCCCCCCCCCCCCCCCCCAAGATCCACAACTACACTTACGAATCCAAATTTCGAATGCAACCGCTTGACTTTCAAGATTTTCAGATTACCAGATTTCCACCTCTAAGATTTCGATTTCGCGAGGGGCAAATGCAGGGAGGCATCTGATGACCCCCCTCCTGTCCAAGACCACAAAGCAATCCTGGAGTAAGAGCCTTTGAGTCCTCGCACATCTTTGTTTTTTTGGTTTTCCCTACTGTTTTGGGGTATTCCGGTCGAAGAAACCAAAAACTCGAGTTTTGGATTGGTTTTCGCTAGCCCAAGACAGAAAGAATACGAACATTAAATAGTAAATAGAAAACAACCAAGCGTTTTGTTTGCGAGGGTCTGTAGGTCTGTGCGGTGTGTCTGTGTGTATGTACCTGTGTGAGAATGTATACACAGAATGTCACATCTCAAAAGCGATGATGGGGATGGTGGCGGCTGCTCAAGCAAAGCTCCGATCATGATTGGCATACGAGGTGTTACAGCGGTGTACCTCTGTTCGTCCCTTAGCCCTTAGCTCCTAAACCTTAAACCCTAAACCCTAAACCCTAAACCCTGAACCCTAAACCCTAAACCCTAAACCCTGCCCCAAAAGGTCCAGCAGGATCTCCTCCTGCATGGCTTTGACAGCCTTGGGCCGCTAGAGCCCGCTTGCCAAAGGCTTGCAAAAGCGACGGGTGTCGTTTCGGGCTTGAAAATGTGGGGGTTTGGGGTTTAGGGTTTAGGGTAGTTTAAGGTTTAGGGTTTAGGGGTTTAGGGGTTTAGGGGTTTGGGGTTTCCACACACGCAATGGTTAGCGAGCTGGGAAAGTCAACGGAATCGGCAAATCGCCATCCGGCTGCAGCCAAGGAGCACGGCATTCTGACAAAGTGTCCTGCAAGCCAGCAACCTTGGCGCATGGTTAAAACCACCACTGCTCCAGGCCGCCCATGAAAGCACCAATCAACTAGGCACCCAGCTGATGCTTTGCTGGGCCCTTCTGGCCTGACTGACCATGCATGCTCTGGGCCATCAGCAGGAAAAGGAGCTTGCGACACTGACCCGGCCTCCTTTCGTCTTTGAGGAGATGAAGCGATGTCTTGGAGCACACGGAGGTTGAAACCCCAGGCTAAACTCCAGCAAGCACAGGAAAGACCGTCCCAGCACAAGTGTGGATGGCAAGTGGTCGCTGACTAAGAGCAGGTCCCAGCATGCCGCTGCAACGACAAGCACCAGCGCCTAAGTGGACAGGGGTGCACCTTGCCCCAATTTCAATGACTCATATGAAACACGGTGGATATTACTGCTGTTGGTGAGTGTATAGAAGGTTCCTTTTTGATGTTGGTGAGTGTATATACCGGGTGTCCTTCTGGGGGTACAAGAAATATATACCCTGCTTATCCCTGCTTCATATTGCGCCGGCGCACGGCTGCTCGAAGGTCAATCCGGACCTGCAAGTCTCAAGGTTTAGGTTTAGGTTTAGGGCTTCCTGTTTCAGGGTCAAGGGTTTCGTGACCTCCTCGTATATGTCCAGGGCTTGCCACGCGCGATTCTTGCGGGATGGTGCTGGCAGCAACCTGACTACACCACGGCCGCCTCCAGCGAGCGCTCGGGGAGAAGCCTCGCTGCATCTACACGGACAAAGTTCATCAACTCTGGGTCTCTTTTGGGCACCTAAAACAGTGGCCCTTCCATGCGTCAGCGAGGCTGCCCCTGAGTACCCAGTCAGGGTATTCACTGGCCAAAAGGGGCGTCAAGTGGCAAAGGCGCTTTAACACACAGTCAAACTGAACTGCGAGCCTTACGTTACGAAGGCCATACATCCTTCGACGACATCCCAAGGAACCTTTCAGGTTCCACCTGATCCCATGGCCACGGCCCCAAAATCGGCCGAAAGCCCAAACTATCAATCAAAAGCAAGATTTCAAGCCCCGAACCCGAACCCCGAGCGTGGTTTGAAAGGCCTCAGCCTCACCCTAAAGCCTGGAAGACCCGAAAGCTAAACCCCAATAACCGAAACCCAAAAACATCATAAAGTCCCAAAATCAAAACCCCTAACCCTAAACCCTAAACCCTAAACCCTAAACCCTAAACCCTAAACCCTAAACCCTAAACCCTAAACCCTAAACCCTGAACCCTAAATAACCGAAACTCTGATTCCTGAAAGCGTGTGTTGGGCCCCCGGGCCCCAGAAGTAGCGCCGAGGCCGCCACCAGGAGTGGACCAAGGGCTGCCAGGGCCTTGGTTTTCGGGGTTTAGGGGGTTTAGGGTTTAGGGTTTAGGGTTTAGGGTTTAGGGTTTAGGGTTTAGGGTTTAGGGTTGATAAGGTTTAGGGTTTAGGGTTTTGGGTTTAGCGTTTAGGGCCAAAGTTTAGGGTTGAGGGCTCTCCATGGACTGCGGGGATTTGAGGGGGTTCGGGGACTAGGGCGCAGGGAAGTTCAAAGCAACCTGCGATCTGCTCTTGAATGCCCCCCAGAATTCTAAGGGGAGCCTGGGCCCGGAGCCATAGCTGTGCCAGTCTTTGACCTGAGTGCACTGCAGAGCCCAGGTCAGGGAAGTTCTGAGCCCGTTTTTGTGAAGGTGGAGGCTGATGGGAGGAGCCTGCCTTCTGGCATGGAAGAGACGATGGAGAGCCTACATCCCGCAGCAGCGCTGCAGCCCCCGTGACGTTAGGATACTGCGTTCGATCGACAATACGAAGCACGTAGCCCAGTCCGGATTCAGTTTCCGATATCATCATCGCCACCACCATCAGCATCACTGTCACCATCAGCGTGCACCGTCATCGTCACCGTGACCATCATCATCATCGTCGCCCAAAGGTCTGTCAACGGTCACAGCTTCCTAGGGACCCGGCTGCCATGGGTTGATGGGACGCCTATCTTGGGCAGACTCTCCCATAAGCTCTCCGGTATAAGCTCAGCATCTACCTGTATAGACTGCATAGGGTTCAGGGTTTAGGGTTGAGGGTTTAGGGTTTAGGCCAAGGGACCATACACCCGATCATGCCAGCAGAACGCTGTCAACCTGCCCCTCCATGATCTAGGATTGGCTCCAAGCCAAGTGCAGCGCCTTTGCTTGCTCGGGTTCCCGTTGCTTGCTTTCGACTCGGTGCAGAAGAACATCACAGCGGCAACCATGCAGCCTTTTCACCAACTGCATGCAGCGTCTCAGTATCGCGTGTAGAGAAGGGTCCGGTTCCGTCAGCATCAGCAGGTCTTGCTCCGTCTCACTCCCGCGACCTCGCAGCTATCACTAATGCTCCGTACCTCTATGCGGCCACGTCTCCAAAATATGGCCCCTTTCCGCATTATAAGGTGGCCCCAATGATTTAGGGTACGCAAACAGGGACCATGATCTTCTGCACAACGCGGCACGCAAAGACCACGAACCGCAGGGACCTCCCCATGCTTGCGAGACTGCGGATCGGCCGTAGCCAGGCCTCTCAGAATCTGTCATTCTCGCTCTCTGGGTGTCTCGTCGTGTTGGGATGTTCCGCTTGATACGAGCAGTCCTTAATAGGGATTATGATAAGGGGTACGATAATCCCTACGAAGGACTCCTAGGATAAGGGGGAGCATCCCAAGCTGTGAGCTATGAGGGGACGTCCCATGAAGCCCTGTCTCTCATTCAACCTGCGCTGGCGGTGTGGCCTCGCTGCCAGGTAACAGAAGGCCATGCGCACCTCCAGAGAGAAAAGCACACACACACACACACAGAGAGGCCCGCCAGACCCGGGGAAATAGACCAAACGGGTGCCAACTGGCGCTGATAGAGGAAGAACACTTGAAGAGAGGACCTTCCCTTCCTTCCCCGCCTTAAGGACGGGACCCCAAGCCGAAAAAACCAATATGTGAGAAAAAAAAAAGAAAAAAACACATCCCGAAGGCCTGGGGCTGCCCGGACCAGTTCTTCCACATGTATCTCCAGAGGCTTGGACGGCTGGCATTGACCTCACCAGGGTCTTCTGAGTACAGTCTTGGGCCATCTCTTCAACATGATGGGGGAGGGGGGGGAGGGGGGGGGGGTCCTGTGTTGGGGTACCCTAAATACTAAGGGGGCCGCCTTAGAAGAGCAACCTCCCAAAAAAGGGACCCGAACTTAGAGACGCCTCCACATGGGGGGAGCACGGCATGGCAGAGCAAGGCCCACGGAGGCACCAGCAACAAAAAACAAGCAGATCCTGGGTTTAGGGTTTAGGGTCTAGGGTTTAGGGTTTAGGGTTTAGGGTTTAGGGTTTAGGGTTTAGGGTTTAGGGTTTTGGGCTTAGGGTTTAGTGGTTAGGGGTTAGGGGTTTGGGGTTAGGGGTTTGGGGTTAGGGGTTAGGGGTTAGGGGTTAGGGGTTGGGGTTTAGGCCCAGATCCTGGGACGTTGGCAGAGGAGGCTGCGGCGACGGCGTACATCACCACATCCTCGGCAAAGGCACAGTGGCACACAAGTGGATGTCGAAGCTGGAAGGTGCCAAAAACGCCTTGCAGCACGTGTTCCCAACATGCGGCATGGAAGCCCAAAAAGAGCACGGATACCCTGCGAGCAAGGCTACTCAATATTGCAAGGGCCATGCTACACGATACATGTGCTTCTGCTTTCTTGTTTTCCCGTCGGTCGTTTGGCCATTTGTCCCCTCGCCTGCATCATATTGGGACCAAAGTCCAAGCCGCAACATCGTCTTCGGCGGCCAGCTGTCCATCGTTCCATGAAGTCCAGAAACAGGAGAGGCGACGCGCTTCTCAATCAGGTCCGGGGGCCACACTGTACTGTTCAGGGCGCTTAAATGCGATGGCCTTGTCAATCTTGCAGCCTGTGCCCCTGCCCACCGAACAGCTGAAAGCCATTGGCATCTCCTGGTTCAGGGCCTAAATTCAGATTCGCAAGAAGATTTGGCGCAACTTAGTCTTTGTTAAGGTTGATGGATGTTGATGGTTCAGGTAGCTCCCTGGCTGACGCCAAGAGAGGGAAGAGAGGGGCGCGGAACCTCACAGCGACTTCTGCCCACCTGCCTGCATCTCGTCCTGCGGTGGACTCACCTAGGAGAGCTAAAGAGGGCAGGCAGAGCACAATGCACAAAATCAATACCTACAGTCTGCGGTAAGAACTAAGAAGCGAGAGGTATCTCTTCAGCCCTCCAAGGAAAGCAGAATACCCGACGAATAAGTGGCGAGACATGTCAGACAACTTAGCCTGGGACCAGCTGGTCTGGGCCTTTCCGGGCGCCCATTGGGGGCATATATCCACCAGCCGCCCAAGAGGCCACGAAGCCCAGCGACCGGGACGCGCGCTTCCAGCTTCGCGGCAGTGCTGGCCGAGGGAAGGAAGATCCCGTCGAGGCGCAGGGCGCGCCAGAGGTAGGCAAAGGAGACGGCTGAGAAGGTCTCCCACTGTATGGAGCCACTGAACAGCGAAAGCGCAAGCGCAATAGAGAAAGGGTACCACTTGTAGGGGACCTCGACTAGACCCAGCAGGCTCGTTCGCACGTCAGGGATGTCCAGAGCGCGCCGAGTTAACGCACAGAGCCCAACGCTCCAGAGCCCGTGGTTCATTCGAAGGCCGGCGGAATATCGACCTTGTTTCTGGAGCACAGCCATCAGAAGCAAGAAGAAGACGTTGCTGCCCGCGGTGTTCGCCACAAGCCAAAACCAGAACCGCAAGGAGCCAAGTTCAAGCTCAGTAGCAGGGAGGCAAGCGGCGGACGTCTGCACTTCGGTCAGAGCTAGCATCACATCCGACCCGCTGTAGAGGGGTCTGTGGAGCACTGACAGGAGAAGTGGGGCAAGCTGCTTGCGCTTGAAGACGTTCACAAAGCAGCAGGCAAATAGGTTCATCGTGGTGGTGCGCGTGTCAAGCCCAAGGGATTCGAGCACCCAGGGAGCCCCGCAGCATGAGGCATAGAGTGCCAGGAGCACGCGCGTGCCCGTAGGGCATTCTTCCAGCTGGGAGAGGGCCAAACCCATTCCTCAGACATTTTTTGGGGTCTCTTGAGCCACTAAAGTCTGAAAAGAGGCTCCTTTCATCCACCCTCTCAGATTCTCAGAGGTGTCGAACTGAGAATCCCGGCAGCGAGGTGATAGTCCTTGCCTCGCGCTCGAGGGTGAAATCAACTTTCTGACAATCTACCCGCTGCTTCCTCTGCCTGGTCCACGACCTTCGACGTGCCGCTTGAGAAACCAACCAAGCATCCGCTCCTGACAAGATGCCTACCTGGAGATTCGTGGTACGTAGTAACCAAGTATAACTGCATTTACAACCCACTTACAAGCCCCTTAAGTGCCCTAATATGGCTATAATTGCACGATGCCTAGGACCTACGGGAGCTCTCAGCGGGAGCTTCTTGCACGACGTCCGCCCTACGCCCTACCGGCGCGCCTCTTGCTCGGGCTTTGCCTTGGTCACATACATCATCTGCTCCGACCTCAGGTACAGACATCTGGTGCAGCATGGTTCCCATCTTAACTAAAACCCTTTGATCCTGAACATGATGGAACCTTGGTGGCTTTTGTGTGTGTTTCGTCCTCTCGCCAGTGCAGCTGCAGCCACTCTTTGGGAGAGAGGAGATGCGCCAAGGAGTCCTGCGATTCAAGAGCCACTGGCATCCTGAAGTTAGGGTTTAGGGTTTAGGGTTTAGGGTTTAGGGTTCAGGGTTCAGGGTTCAGGGTTAGGGTTTAGGGTTTAGGGTTTAGGGTTTAGGGTTTAGGGTTTAGGGTTTAGGGTTTAGGGTTTAGGGTTTAGGGTTTAGGGTTTAGGGTTTAGGGTTCAGGGTTTAGGGTTCAGGGTTTCGGGTTTAGGGTTTAGGGTTTAGGGTTTAGGGTTTAGGGCCAATGGGGGGCGGTCGATCCTTGTCGAGCTCCAGGCTTGTGGATGCTGGCATGGCAAGCTCCTGCCTGCGATATGACCACAAAGACTCAAAACGGCGCGAAATGGGCTTTTGCCTACCTCCAAAACTTAACGGAGAGTGTCTTTTCCGAATGCCTCACCGCATCCAGCCGACGGATCATTGCACACGATGTGACCACCTTCGGGACGTTGAGGACAAGTCGGTTGAAACCCTCCGAGGTGCCGAGTTTAAGGCAACTGCCCAGTGCAGAGCTGCATCGATGCGGCCAAACTGACGCAGAAGCCAAGCAAAACATGCAGAGCCGTGGCGCCTCGCCCGTTTCGTGTTCCGGGTTAGGGTTTGGGGTTTGGGGTTTGGGGTTTGGGGTTTGGGGTTTAGGGCTTAGGGTTTAGGGTTTAGGGTTTAGGGTTTAGGGTTTAGGGTTTAGGGTTTAGGGTTTAGGGTTTACGGTTTAGGGGAGCTCTCATGACTTGCCACGACGCACCCTTGCCTGGCCCTTAGCGGTTCGCGCCAAAAGGCCCGCCACCTGCGAGCGAGTAGGCAGTCTTGTCCGGACTGTGCTAAGTCGTCCTTGGAGCTTGTAAAGTTAGAACCCTGACCTCCAGCATCAACTTCTGCACCTCCGCGTGTTCGTCCTCAGGAGGTCTGTGGCACGTGACCACCCCTAGGCCCACGGACTCTTGATGTAGTTCTGCTTCCTTCGGCTCTGGGTAGGGCAGCTTGCACTCCATGCTCTTGGAGGGTTCATTGCCTTGAGGTTGGGGTAACGACCCACGCACCTATCCCTCCCACCAAAATGAGGGTTCTTCAAAGGTGGGAGGACGATGGAAGCTTGGAGTGCTCAGATCTCTTCGAGTTTTTTTTTTTTCTTTTGCATGGTTTGTGGCACTGCTCGTACCGAACATCATCACACTCAACGTTGGCTTCATGGTCGGGCAACCGCAACTTTTCAGGGAAAGCCTTCGGCTTCAAGAACGCAGAGAATCCAGGGCTCCTGTTCCGTCATCGATATCCAGCCTTATAGCGGCTTGCACTCTGTCACACCCTCCCCAAGCAGCATCGAAACTGCCACCTGAGCACACCACGAAGGGTCCACAGCAAGGTCCTCGGCAGCGCGGGGGGGCGCAAGTTAGAGTGGTTTAGGGTTTTAGGGTTTTAGGGTTTAGGGTTTAGGGTTTAGGGTTTAGGGTTTAGGGTTTAGGGTTTAGGGTCAAAAATGGGGACCATACCGTTCCAGACCAGATTGGTCTGTTGACAGCCACCCGGCATGATGTGCCTCCAGGCCAAGGATACCACGCCTCTACCACAGCTGACACCGTCGCAAGGACTGCAGCTAGCCGGCCAGCACAAACTTCAGCAAGCTGCTGATGTGGCTGACCTTAAAGGGGGTCGGGAGCTGACGAATCCGCCAAGGCCTCGGCGCCGCAGGCGCGAAGATAGCATAAAGCAGGTACCCCACCTCTAATCCCCTCCCAAACGCCCACCAACCCACCCCCCCCCCCCCACCCTCCCGGCCAAACTGCTTTCCACACGATGCCCTACTTCCCCAGCCCCCCCCCGCCCCTCAACCCCACCCACTCACCTGGCCTGGGTTGTCCTTGCTTGCTGCTTCGTCTTGTTTTACCACGTGCTCCTCAGCCTGTTTTCAACCGCATTCCCAAAGGGAATGATTGCTCGAAGCATCTCACAGCCCTGAAGCCTGCATCCTCACAGCACTCTGGGCAGGCCCCGGCCGAGGCGGGTCGCGCAGCGTTAAAAAAATAGTCGGGTCAGAGGCAGGTGCTGAGACAGTGCAAAGCCAGATGCGAGCTCGGAAGACAAGGAGCACAAACATCCAGCAGATTGAACACCCGAGGTCATCATGAGAGCCACGGGCTTTTGGTAGCAAGTTCGGTCAGTGGCAGTGAACTCTGTGACTCGTTCATGGTACAGTGCAGCACCCGGCCCAGTGCGTGAGGCAGCAGAATAATCGAACCCGAGGCTGCCATTGTAGCAATGTAGTATTCATAATATTAATCCTACTACTGTAAGAATACTCATAGTATGAATAATATTAACAGTGATATCAGTGTGTCAAAGAAGGTCAGCACCGCGAGTGCATGCAAAGAATCAGGATTCCAGGCCGGGGGGGAATCCAATCGTGCAGCCCTACGCTTATGCTTACACAGGTGGACACACCGGGGCAAGTGACGGCTCAGCTTGGAATGCTGAGGAATCTGAGCCGAAGCTACTTGCACGCTCTTCGTGCAGTTGCGTGAATTGTTGCCGCGCTGTACACCATGACCCCCTCACTTGTAAGACTGCAGCTTGGAAGACAGAAGATCAGCCAAAGGGCCCAGCATCTTGTTGAAGGAGAGCCTGGACATCGAGAGAACCTTGGCAGACTCACTCTCCACAATGATGCTCGCTGCACGTGGCTGATTCTTGAGAAGCGCCAGCTCACCGAAGTAGTCACCGACCTTGTAGTCCATGACGCGCGTCTCGGCACCATCAATGCTCTTCAAGGCATAGAGCGTGCCTTCCTCGACGATGTAGAACTTGTCTCCCGGATCATCTTGCTTCACGATGCACTCGCCCTTGTTGAACTTCTCCGGCTTCAGAGCATCAGCAATCTGCGAGCGCTCGTAGGCTTCGAGTGAGGCGAGGAGCGTGACAGACTGGAGGAACTCATCGTACTTGTTGCGCCGGGCCACCGCGGCATCCTTCACGATGTGGTTGAAGGATTCACGATCAAGCTCCCAGCAGATGCACTCCACCTTCGCAACCACCGAGGCAGCACGGGGACAGTTGTAGAGCAGGGCAAGCTCGCCGAAGACGTCGCCCTCATTCACTGTCTTGACCACCTTGTCTTCTCCATTGGAGGTCTTCAGGCACTCCAGCTGGCCCTTCTCGATGACGAAGAGGAAGTCGCCATTGTCTCCCTCATTGATGACCTTTTGCCCAGCCTCGAACTTGCATTCCTTCATGGCGCCCAGAATGGTCGTCATGTCTTTGTCCTCCAAGCTTGAGAACATGAAGCTTTTGGACAGGGTCTGCTTCAGGCGTTGCTTCTGCTCATCTGTCTTTGGATGCTCTGGCGGCGTGAACGCTTTCTTCTGGTTCCACGTGCCGTAAGCCTCGGCACTGACGGAGGTTCGGGTCTTGCCCATGCTCTCCTCCGACTTTCGGAACTCTTCTGGGATCTCGTCGCAATCATCGTCCTCGTCCTCCTCCTCTTCCTCCTCTTCGGCCGGCGCAGCCGCGGCCGTGCTAGCTTCTTCCAGGGATCCCTGCAGATAGCGCAGCTCCTGCTTCAAGTGCTGGTGTTTCTGGGACACAGAGACCCTCTCAGTGGCATCAGCTGCTCGACCACTGCGCTTGATGAGCCATTGGATCATGAAGTCCATTGGTACATTTGGCATTTCCGCCAACACATCACTTACCATTTCTTCAAGGATTGGATCCAAGGTTTTGAGGATGTAGTCCTTCTTCTCCTCAGCGAACGGCAGGCCGTCTACAACCGACATGGCTCTGCACTTAGCTGAGGAGCCTTAACACGGGCCAAGCAGTAGCCGGTTCAGACTAGGCTTGAGCACTGAAGATGCGCAAGGGTCACTCCACCAAGGGAAGCAAAGGAAGCAAAGGGAAACGCTTGCCCCACAGTCCTCCCAACTGGGACAGCCATCGAAACTGCTGGGAGCTGAGCTGCTCCTGGCCAAGATGTGTCTCCCGGGCTCGCCGCCCTCAGCGCGTGGCTTTCACATCACGCTTGGGGGCTTAGTATAAGGGGATCCTACGACTTGGGGGTCTATATTGGGGGCCCCTGATTTTCGTAAACCCCCCACTTGGGAACTGGGCCGCTGCAACGCCAGAAGCACCGCCTGCGCCTGGAAAAAGACGGTTCCTTCACAGGCTGCCACCAAGGCCAAGCCTGTCGCAGCAAGCGCCTTGGGCCACCGCGCCTCCGCCTGAAAGATCCGAGAAGAGCATCCAGAATAGCAACAGCAACAGAATACTAAGGTACAACTAAGGTATAAGGTAGAAAGATCTATACTCACATTGGACAGAAAAGTGACAATTCTTGCTACGTCTGTCGGTATCTTGTCAGGAACGAGCAGCTCACACCCGGGATGCCCGGCCATGTCAGCAAACAGCATTTGAAGCCTCTGCCTCCCAAGCATCTGCACTGGACGTGCCAAAAAACGATCCCGTGCGGAAATTCATACACAAATATGTGTGTCTATATATGTATATATATATATATATATATATAATGTATATGTATATGTATATGCATATGCATATGTATATGTATATGTATATGTATATGTATATGTATATGTATATGTATTTGTATTTGTATGTGTGTATATATATATACATATATATATACATATATACATATATATATATATACGAATCAGCACGTTCGAAAAAAGCAGAGAGCACCGCACGCGGACCGAAATCAGGCCTGCATTCCGGCAGCAGGTCCCCAAATCGAAACGACACGGAGACCAAAGCCTCTGCTCTCATCTTGGCACGCGGAGAAAACCTATGCCCAAGGCGCGCACCCCCGCATACCCCGGCTGCCCCTGAGGAGAAGTCTCTGACAGCAATGTCAGAGTCATCCAGCCTGGCAGTCCACAGAGAGCAGGATCTGGGCTGAAGCAACTTTCGGGCCACACTCCGAGATTTTGTCCTCAAACCTGCCAGCCACACATGCGCATCAGGCTGACGTAATCGAAGTATCCTGGCCAGGAATCCCAAGCTCGAGTATGCTCGAGTCGTCTCTCAAGAAGAATGATCAAGCACCACTCTGGGAAAGAGCGCGCAGCGTGTGCTGCAAGAGATGTGTGAACTCTACGCAGTATGTCAATCGAAACGAGGCAGTCGTCGCTCCTGGTACTGAACTCCGATCCCATGGTAATGTCAGCAAAGCGTAGACCTAAGAATCCGCTCTTCAAATCCATGCCCTGAGAATATTCGGGAAGGGATGATTTTTTCTTAGGCTCCGTGCAAGACCCAGAATCACAGAGTCTTTCTTGCCAGATCCATCCTCAGCAGATATGGCTCGTGGCTGCCCAACCGCTGGGATTCTGAGAAAGCTGAAAGCTCACCTGCAAGACCGCCGTACACTCCCAAAATGCTGTCCACTGGAGCCCCGCAACACTTTCAGCATCTTCCAACCTAGGGGTTTACGATGCAAAACGGGGGCCCCTAATTTGGACCCTCAAATAATAGGATCCCCCTATAATTCAGGACCCCAATAAGGTACCCCTAAACCCTAAACCCTAAACCCTAAACCCTAAACCCTATATGGTAAACCCCCACATCGTTCAAGCACTTGCGGGCTGGAGCCTTTTGGGACCCTGGCTGCCAATGCAAAGAGCTCTGTCAGCACGAATCCGTGCGGGGCGCAAGGATCTCAGCGCCATGGGTTTTGGGTTTAGGGTTTAGGGTTTCGGGCTTAGGGTTTAGGGTTTAGGGTTTAAGGTTTAGGGTTTAGGGTTTAGGGTTTAGGGTTTAGGGTTTAGGGTTTAGGGCTTAGGGTTGGCATCGAACAGGGGCTGCGCTCGCTGGCGCAAGATCAGGACACCCACCCACGCAGGCTGCAGGTGTGTGAGGCCTTTCTTACTCCGGGGTCCTTAGGAAGCTTCGGGCGGCCCGGCCTCGGGTGTAGTCCTCCAGGTTGAGGCCATGCCGCCTTGGTCTCTCGAAAACCAGAGAGCACCCTACAACGATTGGACATCACGGGCCGCGCTCTGCTCAACATACAGCGGCACTCCACTCAGGAGTGCTATCCCCCTCACATCCGGACTCGAATCACTCAAATCGCTTGCCAAGGGGGGTGTGTCTCTTGGGGCAGATCTGAGTCGTCGTGGTTGAGGCAACGCACGACGGGTGATCGGAAGCATGTCGTCATATTCTTACCAGAGGGGGGCTCCTCGGCTTGCGCAACGTGCCTTCATCTTTGCCTCCAAACAGCTCTGCGAGCTCTTGGCTAAGACATAAGAGCGCGGAGACCTCGCCCAAGGCCAGGTGGCTCGGCGACGCCAAGGCTTTGGCTCCGAGGCTTGTAGCATGCCGGGATATGCTGGTAGCCGGCGTGTAGTAGTTTAGGGTTTAGGGTTTAGGGTTTAGGGTTTAGGGTTTAGGGTTTAGGGTTTAGGGTTTAGGGTTTAGGGTTTAGGGTTTAAGGTTTACGGTTTAGGGTTTAGGGCTTAGGGTTTAGGAGTGCTTAGGAAGTTCTGACCCTGAACCGCAGATGGTCTTGATTTCAGATGTGGCCATCTGGCAGGTTGAGCCTCTCAGGCTCGGGCGCGAGCACCTGGGGCGGGATTCGACAGCGCCTTCTCCCGGCTCTACTTAGCTTGAAGTGCCTTGCACCCTCTGGAAGGATAAGTCTAAGCTGCCGGCAGCGTGCAAGCCTGTTCGCGCCCGAAAGCAAGCAATCTCCTACCATCTCGGCAGATGTGTCAATAGCCGCCTGCGAAGTGAAGTCGAGCTGCGGCTTCCACCGCATCTGGTTGCTCCAACGGCCTGACAGGGTCTTAACGCGACGTTGGCGCGACGTTGAGGTGCAGATCTGACGATCAACTCGCACTACGTGCCTCGCGTTGTACCACCCACGGTGGCTGGGCGAGGCATTGGCAGCCTACTCAGCGCTGACTCTTTAGCAAAGCAAAAGACAAGAAATAAGAAGATGCAGGTGAAGGTATCGGAGAGCATCTGGGAAAGCCTAGGACATAAGATAAGGCAGGGAGCTAGGGCACTCTAGAGAAGACGACAACAATCCGAGCGCCTCTGGCTGCTCCATCTGCCATCACAGAAGAGTGACAGCTTCATAGTGCTGCGTGCCAGAAAACATCAGAGGCGAGCTGTTGAAATTTTGCTGCTGTACAGCAAAGTCCGGTCTGTTAGGGTTTGCATAGGGGATCGCGAAGCATTGAAGCATCCCAAGACTGCATGTGTTGAGTTCACCTGTCTTGAGCCCTGGTTTGTGGTCAGCAAAGAGCAGACTGCTGCGCAAAAAAAGCACGCAGAGAGTGAGAGAGTGCGCAGAACAGAAGGCTTGCGGCATGCAGCTCCCCGCTCGAAGCCATTGGTCTTTGCTGAGCTCAGCATTCACTCTGCTGCATCAGTTCCGAAGGACCTTATAATGTATGTTGCAACGCCTCGGGACGGAACCGCGCCATCGGAAGTCCGAATCAGATGCGGCTGTGTCCCTAGCAAGGCAGCAACAGTGTGTGTGAAACGATTCTTGGAGGCACTCTTGGCCAGGTCGTTTGAGCTGCAGCGGCACCTGCTTCAAGATCAGCATCTGAGGACTTCCATAGGGTTTAGGGTTTAGGGTTTAGGGTTTAGGGTTTAGGGTGTAGGGTTGTGGGTTTTGGGTTTAGGGTTTTTAGACAACGCATTGAAGAAACGTCACGCCGTGGGTGAGCATAGTCAGCAGCAACCCGGCATGGAAGGCAAACCCAACATGGCTCGTTTCCCATGCTTCCCGTTTGCAACCCGTGAAATATCTGGAGGACCCCTTTTTGCATGTCGCTGGCTGAGAGGGTGTGCCGAGTTACGGAGTTCGTCACAGCACCATATCTCAGATATATCCAGCGTAGTACAAGCGCCACGTCGTGAGACAGATCGCCGAGATCTCCACATCACACACAAGGTCGAAGAACATCTTCTGAAACCTTGGAGCGAGGGCGGGAGCGCAGTGCAACGCATGACGTGCTCAAGACATAAAGAGACATAAAGAGAAGGCCCATGCAGCCATGAGACTTCCTAGCGGCATCGAAGTCTGTGACGTAGCTGTCGCCGGAGTTGGCAGACACCAGCGTTAAAGCTGCGCAGGCAGCCATGAGAACGGCAGCTACAGCTCCCGCGGTCCAGATGCGCTTCAAAGCCATGGCCAGGTCCGTCCTTGCAGGGATTCGGACGGGTCCTTGACATGGCCTAGGGTTTAGGGTTTAGGGTTTAGGGTTTAGGGTTTAGGGTTTAGGGTTTAGGGTTTAGGGTTTAGGGTTTAGGGTTTAGGGTTTAGGGTTTAGGGTTTAGGGTTTTGAGGGCTAGCCTCTGAGCTAAGCGTCTGAGGAAGCTCCACTCAGGTCACTTGCGACTTCTCCGGTTTTGAACTCTCCACTCTCCTAAGTCCTAAACCCTAAACCCTAAACCCCCATGTCAATTTACTCCCCCACCTCCTCGGGGCTTAGAATCTCCGACTTTGTTCGGTTTTGGGGGGGTGGCCATCTCCTCTCGGGATTCCGTTGGCTTTCCACCCTCAACCCTCAACCCTCAACCCTCAACCCTAAACCCTAAACCCTAAACCCTAAACCCTTTTCTTCGGGCTTCGGGCCTTCCTCACTCAGGACTCCGGGGTTCCATCTCCCGGTAGGGTCTCGGGGCCCTCTTCTGGTCAGAGCCCCCAAGCGACCAAGGGCAAAGTCTAAGGGGCTTAAGGGGTTTGAGGGGTTTAAGGGCTTCAATGGGTTTAAGGGGTTTAGGGTTTAGGGTTTAGGGTTTAGGGTTTACGGGGCTTAGGAGGTTCTGGAGGTTCCGGAGGGTTTAACCAGGGTTTAAGGGGGTTTAAGGGGAGTTTAAGGAGGGCTTAAGGGGTTTAAGGGGGTAGGAGGGCTTAAGGGGTTTTGGGGGGGGGGGGGGTACAAGGAGTGCAAGGGTTTAAGGGGTTTAGGGGGTTTAGGGTTCTCTGTAGACGGCCCGCATACCTTCCCACACCCGCACTACCGGCCGTTGCCCCCCGTTCCGGCAGAGTGGCTTCATTCTCCTTCCACCTGGAAAGTATCTGCAGTAGCTTCGAACTCATCTAGAACTCATTGCCTCCGCTTAGGGGCTTCAGCTCTTGAGGGCTGTCGGGCTTCGCTTTTTCGGGGGAAACCTGAAAGCGCGCCTTCTCATGAAGTCAATACCATAGGCATTGGTGCTGAGTGCTCCGGCCAACCAGCAGCTTGTCAGGAGTGAGCCATGGGCCAGGATGGCTTTGCCCACCCCGTAATCGGTCATGTCCCAAAGCACCGTCCACTGCGGGGTGTATACACCTGTCTGCACTAAGGCCACGATGACACACGAAGGCACGATGACGCCGGAGACCACCATGTCACCAAGCAGAAGCCTTGGAGACACCGGCATGGCTTTCTCCACCGGCTCTTCCGGCCTTGATAAAAAAAAAACAAAAACGAAAAAACTTAGGGTCTGGCAAGGCAGGTGGTCAATACCAAAACAAAAACCTGATTCTCAAGCCGGCTGAGAATCGCTGCCGCATAGGTTTCGTCTTCTTCGCCTGCAGACGGTGTGCTCGGGATGTGCTGCGTGTTAATGAATTCACAGGCTTTGCTGCTAGCCCCCTCTTGACCGTTGCAGGATGAACTGGCTACAAAAAGCTCCTTCCCTGGATCTGATGGGCAACAGGGGCAACAGATGTCTGCATATGGGGCAAGAGAGAACCCTGCAAGGAGCCATGCGCACTGAGTTTTGGGGACAGTTGCGACCTTCTCGTGCCTCAGACATCAAAATGACCTCCATGACCTACTCCCACAAAGTTCAAGAGCCGAGGCAGCTCTGGCCTTCAGTCTCTGGCTTCTCGGCTTCCGAAACGGCCCGTGTCAGCCGCCATGCAACAAGACACCAAACCTGGGCTCAGCAGAGTGATGCTAGCGGCTCCCTCTCTTGGGTGCGCGCATCACCTTTGCAGAAGCTAGCATGCTCAAGAAATCTGAAGGTGTGCCTCAAACTGGAGGTCGATGAAGAAGTCACGGAAACTGGGCAAGATGGGCGTGCTTGGCACCTCAGCTTTGGACACAGCCAGTCCCCGATAATCAAACCGAAGATGTCCCCCCTGAGTCTTGGGAAGATTGTCGACTCGCAGTGTGCAACTCTATGTGCTAACCCTCCACCTCGAAACGGCGGGAAGGGTTTTGGGTTCTTCGGGCTGCGGCCGAAACTCATAGCCCAAGGTCGCGTAGGCGCTGGCGAGCCAGCCGCCGGCCCCTAAGATGAGCCAGACGGAGCTCGCCAGCCAGAGTGTCACCAGGGCGGCCCAGGTGCTTCGCTGGATGGTCGCCAGGAGGTTCTTGGAGTTTACAGCTTTGTCTTCGAAGGCTCCGAGTGCCAGGCCGCCAAGGAGCCAGGAAAGAGCGTAGACCACGCCGTGAAAGCCTTCGGGAAAAATGAATCCAGCCTCGCCGTCTGGCATTCGCCGGTACCAGTCCGGCTGCAGCAAAGGGATGAAGAATGCAGAAAGCATTGGGGCTAAGAAGAGGGTGGTCAGCAAGTCTCCAACCAGCGTCCAGCCATTGTCTAGGCGCGGCTTCAAAAGTCTTTGGGAGATAGTGACCGGGTCCACCTCCTTCATCACATCCAACTCGGGCACAAGCGCCCCTGGTGGCTTGGCTTCCGGGCCCTGAGCACTGCGAGCAAGCGTGCTTCGTGGACGATGGCTCCCCGTGCCATGTCCGCGGTAGCCACGGCGCCGGAGGGTGACTGATAGGGTAGCCAGCACACCTCCCAACCCCGGAAGGAGTCGAGCCAGGTCCTTCCCTGGCTTGCAAGCGTGCCCACGAGGAGCCGGATGTGTGGCGAGTGAAGGTGGGAGGTGCTGAGCCCATGGCACGAATGCACGCATTGCCCCCCGAACTCTCCTGACTAGAACGAAGGTCCAACTCATGTTACCACATAGGACAAGGCTGGGAAAAGGGGGAACCATGAATCTTGCGCCTTGCAAAGAACGGACTAGAACACGGATTTTGTTCCCTCTGAGCCGGACCCCGCAATGCAAACTGCAGGAGCCCCCAACTTCTAAACCGGGTTTCGGGTTTCGGGTTTCGGGTTTAGGGTTTCGGGTTTAGGGTGTAGGGTTTAGGGTTTAGGGTTTAGGGTTTAGGGTTTAGGGTTTAGGGTTTAGGGTTTAGGGTTTAGGGTTTAGGGTTTAGGGTTTAGGGTTTAGGGTTTAGGGTTTAGGGCTTCAACAATCTGCCCTCTGCCCCATGGCACCCATGGCAACAGCCCTTTGGTGGCTTTCAGGCTTGCTTTCGGCTTTTGCCTCTGCGCAATCCCCTCCGGGACCACTCGTTGAAGTGGGACCGACCGAGCCTCTAACCTTCTACCCAGACTTCAAGGGCGATGTCGGGGGGGGGGGGGGGGGGGGGGGGGCGGAGCCTCCATGTTCTGGCGGAATTTATGTTGCTTTGCATGCCTACCCTGGGTGATGCAGCTCCAACATCATCGGCAACACACAGCGAGATCCACCTTTGACCCGAAAGTGCTGGGGGCTGCCGGATGCAGTGATCTGAGATCCGCAAAGCTCGACACTAGGGTTTAGGGTTTAGGGTTTAGGGTTTAGGGTTTAGGGTTTAGGGTTTTAAGGTTTTAAGGTTTAGGGTTTAGGGCTTAGGGTTTTAAGGTTTAGGGTTGTTTCAGTGCTTCAGGACTCCGGGCTTTCTCAGATGCCCCCATTGCACAACTCAGATGCCCCCAAGGGCGCCTTTGAAGCATCACTGAGGCCTGCCCAGGTCGCTCACCTGGCCACTGCAGCTCTTGTTCCTTTTTGTAACAATACTAGTATCATTTATAATAATATCAATAACAATAATAACAATAATGACGTATTTGGATCAACATCGGTAGCGACATGGTCCTGCAGCTCACTGCACCAGGCGCCTGGTGCTCAAATTTACCATTTGGGCGATTGTGCGCCAGGACCTCTTCTTCCAGGTCCGTCCCCTGGCGCCCGTCATTGCGCAGGGGAGATGGCCCGCAACACTCACCCATGAGCCATCGCAAAAATCTATGCGAGAAGTGGCCAGCGGGACGGGAATACATTCCATGTGGGGCATCGAAGTACTCCTGGCGCGCAGCGGAAGGAGGTGTGCTTCATACACATTCGGCGGAACTCACAGCGGCTATCTGCTCCAGCAGCCTCCCCATCGACGTGCTCTGTCCCTGCCATTCGTGTCTTGTCTTTCTGCTTCTTGCTCTCCACGACACGAGGATTTTCTTCGATGTTCCATGCGCACCTCCGCGGTCGCCACCGCGGTTCTTCCTTCCACCTACTTTGAGAGGGTGCTGACTTCTGCTGAGACGTTGTGCTACTGACTTGCAACTCGGGAGAAGGGCACAAAAGACTTGGGTTCCAAGAGCAAAGGGGCACCTCTGGTGCCGCGGGTGGTCCGCTTCGAGTACGGCAAGGAGATCTGGCAACGAAGTTTTTTGAGATTTCTTTGCCGCGAAAGCTTTAAAAAAAAAAAAGAAGCCGTGCCAGGAGCACAAGGCACTTGTTCCGGTCGAAGAGTGCGCTCGCCTCGAAGCCGGCACCAAGCAGCCACCTTCATGCAAGGCACCAAGATCCAGTTGGGTGCCCACTGTCATCAAAACAGCACCAGCACCACCGCAACTGAAAAACCCTAAACCCTAAACCCTAAAACCCTGAAACCTAAACCCTAAAACAACGCCGAGCTCTGAGCTTCTTGAAGCTGCCATCATTCTTCCTCTCCTCGGCTTTCAGATGCTTGCGCTGCCCCATGTCAGAGCCATCCTAAAGCCCAAGCCCACCACAGCTGCAGATGCCTGCAGAAAGCAAACAAAAGCGCTATATCTGCCCCTCATCTGCCCTGCTGCTCAAAGTCCGTGCTGTAGCCGCTACGAGGATCAGCACGGACCTTGGACGCCCGTGTCCCCGCGACAGCATGCGACGGCGACGAACTTCTAAAAACTTCTTCCGTTGCGTCAAATCTTGCGTCAAATCATTGCTCTGTCCTGTGGCGATGGTTGCAGCGGGTTTTTGGCTTGGGCATGTCCATACACTGCTACCCCAGGGCCCTGTCAGACCATGGCAGGGGGCACTGGAGGCTTGGGGGCCCTTGCACTTAAACGAGTCGGTTTCTGACTGTCCGCCGCCAGTCACATCCCAGGGACGCATCCCCCGTTTCCGAAATGTGCTTGCCAACACTTTGCCAACGCTTCAAGGCTACGGGCTTTACTTGGATAGGTGTTCGATGGTGCTCACGTGTGTTGCGACGTGTGCTGCAAGGAGCGGCATCAGGTCCTGGAATTTTCTCTGGAGTCTTGCAATTCGACTTTTAAAGGAACTTTCCGGGTTGAGGCCTTCCCCCTATGCGCAAGGGGAATTCGCACATGTTGCTCTCCGGAAGGGCTGATAGTAGGGGGCCGAGAGAGAAAAGAGGGCCAATTGCCGAGCAGAGCTGCAATCGCGTTGAAGCGGCCAGCAAACATGGAGGCCAGCTCCTGAACCTGAGTCAAAGAGCATAAGTTATAATGATGTAGCGATCATATTCTAACAGTATAGCAACACGATTAGCATTTCTTCAAAATCATACAACAAAATCATCATGCAACAATAGCCCCCCGAGCTACATAAGAGAGAGACAGAGAGAGGGAGAGAGCGCAAGCTCAGGCACCTCTTTAGGACCCGTTGACAGAAACTCCTGGACGCTCTCCAGCAAGTGGTCCTGTGAGGGGCACCATGTCACACTGAGCTAAGTTTCCAGCTCAGCTTACTTGGCTGAGAAAAGCTTCGAGGAAATCAGAACTCATATCGACTGCAAGCACGTGCAAGCCGGCCTCTGTCTCACCGTCCCACTGAGACCAGTCTTCTTCAGGCCAAGCCTAGTGTCAAAAAACCATCAAGAAGGGAAGATGCCAAGGGAGGCCTCTAAGTCTGAAGTCTGGCTTTTTTCACGGATTTTTTCAACCTGGTGAACAACAGCACTTCAGAGCCCAGGGCCTGCTCGTACGCATCGTAGCCGTCCCGCTTCCTTCGGCCTGTCAGGACTTTCAGGAGCCAGCAAAGAGGGATTCATGGGTTTTCGACATTCACTGGAATTGCAGCATTCCGTTCAGCTCGGGCCTAGACAAAGTTGTAGCTGAGCCTAGTAGGCAATGATTTAACAGACATCCCTTTGTCCCACCTGCTCGGTCGCCCGAAATAGAGCTCCAACCGGTTACAACCCTGGCTACCCTTCTTAGCAGCCCTGTCTCTTTAACCCTCAACCCTAAACCCTAAACCCTAAACCCTAAACCCCACAAAAAGGCCCTCAAAGGTTCCGCATCGGCTCTCAACGGCTCCTCGGGGGCCGCCCTGGTGGTTCCAACCACCCTCGCCTGGAAGGTTTTGGGTTTAGGGTTTAGGGTTTAGAGTTTAGGGTTGAGGGTTGAGGGTTGAGGTTTAGTGCAGCCATAACGGATTGATACAGATACTTCAGAGGCCAACACCTATTTCCAGGCACTACATGGAGACTGTCCCCGCCCGGGACATGCGGACCAGCACCGCGAGAGTCGCACTGAAACCGCCCCTCCCCCTCACGTGCACATATAACTCGAGTGCAGCAGCTCCTGTGGACGGCATGATGTATTGAAAAAACAAGCTTGCTCGGCTTAAGCGGGGGGCTGGAGGGGGGGCAACGACAATTGCACCCCCCCCCGGATGCAAACACAATGCTCGTATGACGGGCTTCGCACAATTCATGGGCTGCTTGCAGTATTCCCCTCGACGGAATGATGTTCTGAAACGCGACCTTAAAGGGGAGGAGGTTGGGGAGGGGGGGGGGGGGGGGGCATAGGGTACATTCCTGGAGCTCTGGATTTTGTGGTGTCTCGCTTTTTTTTGGGGGGGGGGGGGGGGAGACCACCCCAACCCAAATGGCCATGCTGGGGTTGGCCAAGTGGTTTGGGTTCCCTTCCCTTCCCTTCAATTCTCTTCCCTTCCATCCCCTCCCTTCCCTTCCCTTCCTTTCCCTTCCCTTCCTTCCCTTTCCTTTCATTCCCTTCCTCGGTTCCTTGGCTCCTTGGTTTCTTTGCTTGCCCTGCTCGTCTCCTTCCCTCCCCCCCTCCCTCCCTTCCTCCCTCTGTTGTTCCTTCCCTCTCTTCCTTTCTTCCTGCCTCCTTCCCCTCTTCCCTCCTTCCTTCCTTTCTTCTTTCCTTCCTGCCATGTTAGTGTTCTACCTCCTGGAGAAGCTTTTTTGATCTTGAATTAGCTTTGTTGATCCCTATAGAAAGCCTGCTTTGATCCTGATTTTGGCTGAACCCCTATCCTCCAGGATACATCCCCCCTAGAAACGCAATGCATGTGGTAGCGTCTCTCAGTTGTGGTTCTGTTTAGGGTTGCTATCCTAAGGCGGACCATGATATGTATGATACCCGAGACTTTTAGAGAGCTGGCCCTGCGCAGTTCGTCTGAGGTAGTGTTGAGGGTTCGGGCATTGGCTCTTGAAGCTCCTGATGCACCAGAGTCCAGACCCCAGATCCTTTTCCGCGCAGACACCCCCATGTTCTCAGCATGCTGTGTTGAGACTTGGGTCCCATGAGCTCACGAGGGTGCCATACCCTTCATCAGGCCTGGCCTTCACCCCATCCCCAGCTGCTGGGATTCAGCCACTCGGCGGCCTGGCCACAGTGTCCGAACTCCGAACCTACACAAGCGCCTGTCGGCCTGTGACTTCTGAAGGGCTCGGACATGCTCTGACGAGGTTTGGGCTGAGTGTGCAGCGACCGCTGGGAGTACTCTTCTGACAACGCAGCAGCAGTGGCTGAAGCAGCCGCACCAAGAGCAGCAGAAGCCGTTAATAGCAGAAACACGATGGTGATGATGACGATGATGATGATGGCCAACTTACCAAACAATAAGCATGATTCAGCAAGGCAGTTGATCATGGCAGCAACTACGCCAGAACCATCCAGCCTGCACCGACCATGCTCTGTTAAGAGAATTTGAAAGCCATTGCTACTCGAAACAGAGCAACCAAATATGTGCCTTGTCTCTCTGCGACTTGGATATATTCCAGCCGCCAAGCAGGCGGGGTCTTCTGCTGCCTGCCATACTACATCGCAGCTGCAAACCCGCTTGAAAGAAGATGTAAGAAGTAGTGGCATGTCGAAAATAGAGCCGCGCCAACCAACAGCTGTCATAACTAGGGCTCGCTCCACAAGTAACATGCTTGGCTCAGGACCTCCAGCAACGCGCTGGGCAGCAAAGACCAGAGGCGCGGGGGACTGCCACGGAGGGGATAATGAAACTCACAGGCTCACAGAGTTGCGTGTGGACCGGCCGAGCGGAACGAATTGGCCATCCATCTTCATGAAGCTACCCCTTCTCCCTAAACCCATCCCTAGAACCACCTGACAATATGGTTATACTGTAGATTCAAGAGGTCAGGAAGGAGGACGGACATTCTTTTACACTCAAAGCAAAAGGGCAAGACCCTGAGCCCCACACCCTGCAGCATGGCCCAACGTGGAGTCGACATGCTGCGTCTCAAAACCGCGAGCTACCCTGGACTCCCATTAGGGTTTAGGGTTTAGGGTCAAGGGTCTAGGGTCAAGGGAAACTCCCCCGAACAGACCCGGTCCACTCGTTCCGCTCGACAGGGACAGTACTGCATTTCTGCCGGAGACATGAGCAAGCCCGAATCTTGGCCTGCATAAGGCACTGGCGCTGCAGTTCCAGGTAGCTGTTCTCTTCTGCGGCATCTGTCGCCTGTGTCCATGCCCGGTGTTTGTCCAACCGTGTGGCCTAAACCCTAAACCCTAAACCCTAAACCCGAAACTAAAGCCTCTCCACGTCCACCCAAGGCTGTGATGAAGACCAGGGTGACCAGGCTGGTCGTTGCCTCGAGGTCAGCTCCTATTTGCTTAAGAAACCCCCAAGAAAACCAAGCATCCCTATATTGCCCTTGTAAGGAAGAATATATTTTGTGGGGAGTTCTCAAGTGAGCAGTAGTCAGATCACCATGTCCGGCTGCACAACCCAAGCACATCCTTCAGACGTGCCTTGACAAGCGACCACCAACATCGGTTCAACGTCCACAGTGCCTCATGCAAAACGAGACATCCTGGTGCAAAACCAGGCATGGTCATGGCGCATGAACCCAGGTGCTGGGATGCGCGCATCTGAAACATCATAGGGGCTGTCTGCAAAGGCGGCCAGCAAGTAACCTTGACATCCAGGATCACATGCAAGCAGAAAGCACATGATTCTGTGCATTGCCTACCTTTGTGATCCAGCAGCCACATACGCACTTGACTGCGCTGGGCAAGGGTTGCATTTCTGATGCAATGCGGCTGGCCTGGGGTGACCTGCGCAGCTGCCGGCAACCCTTCCGGGTCCTGGGCCACTGCAAAGCTGTATGCCCAAGTTGTCTTAAGCCGAGTCCTGCAAACCCGGTCATGTAAGCAAGCGCTGGCGCATGTTGGTGGCCTGAGAACTGCCCTGGGCACCCGACCGCTCCAGCGATACAGAAGTCGGCCGGAAACACGGACGCTGCACCTCCGCGCAGGGGAGACTCGTTCACAGGGGCGGAACGTTGCCAGAACCGGAGAATGCCGGCTGCTCTTGGCTACAGCCGACAGCTGAAGCACAGACAGAGCTGAGGCTGGGGCTCACAGACGTCTCAACTTCGAGCACAGCCAGTTTTTGGAGGTCCACGTCTTGTGGCAGCATCTGCGAGTACGAGGCCGTTTTACGTAGGCTTCACTCATGGGCGTCTTGCAGACTGCACAGGATTCCTGCAGCGTAGTGAGCAGCCTCCCAAACAAGTTTCCCCGCTTTGGCAACGCCCCTGACTGCTTGAACCTCGAGACTGTCAAGTCAGCACGCTTCCGCTCACCAGCTACTGGCAACTGTGGCACAGCCCAACTTCATCACGGGCTGCGGCTTCGTGCAAAAAACGTGCACGACATTGACCCCTGGCATACCAAACGATCGCTGCTTTATGCAAGTATCCGAGTCTTAACATCTCAAGCTGGGCAAGAGTGCCACCAGTTGTCATAGTCCTCCGAAGGCCACCAGCCTTCAGGCGCTGAATCCGCCGTACCTGCAGCATCTGCAGCTTCTCTCGCACACACCGCGAATTCTGATCAAGGCGAACATGCACCCAAGGCACCACGATGGTTCGCTGCCAATGAGCCCAGGATCCTGGTTCCATTTCTGCCCAGACCCGATGTGTCTTTGCCAGTGCACTTCAAATTGTCAAAGATCTTCAAAGTAGTACATAGTCGGTATAACAATCATGCTTGGGCACTGTCTCCTTTGCCCTGCTGACGGCTCCGGCGCATAGTCTTCCAGCCGGTCCATGATCGGCCCATCGCGAACGTCTGCCCAACTCTCTGGCCTCGTACTCTGCACTCGGCCCTTCTCGGCCCTACTGAAGGAGTTCTCAAGTTGCTGAGTTGTGCTGGGCCGTCGACCGTGTTCGCGTGCTCCCAACCGTTGGAGATCCTCGATAGTCTGTCCCGGCACAAGGGCCTGGGGCCAGGACAGCTCTCCACCACGCACGTACCTCTTAAGGCTCACCTTGTGCACCGGGCCTTGTCCGAAGGGTTGCCCAGCTGGTTTCGGCGGCACCGGACCCGGGCCGCAAGGGCCCGGGCCGCAAGGGCCGCAAGGCCCGCCAGGGCCAGCAGGGCCAGCAGGGCCAGCAGGGCCGCCAGCCACGCAAGGACTAAGGTGGCACGGACCTCCACAAGGCCCATGCCTGGACCCACACGGTCCGGCTGGAGGTCCACAAGGGCCTCCGCAAGGGCCTCCACAAGCTCCACAAGGCCCAGCTGGGCCACAGGCGCCCGGACAGGGACCGCAGGGACCAGGCCCGCGCGGGCCAGGTCCGTAGGGACCTCCAGGACCACCACAAGGACCAGGCCCACAGGGACCAGGGCCACACGGGCCCGGCGTGCAAGGGCCTCTCGCAGTCAGGAAGTCGATGTTCAGTTAAAGACCAGCACTTGCAGCAATGCTCAACACTCTCAGGGTCATGCCTAGAGCTTGGATCCGAGAAGTCGAAGGAAGCGTCCAAACACTTTCGTTCGTGTCCTGAGATTGTGTTGATCGCAACCTCCGTCCAAGCACTGGTCACGCCACATCTTCAGTCCTTGTTCCAATAGTAGGTCTTGCTAGTGCCCGGCAGCCTCGCAAACCGATCACTGCTGCAGACGAGCCAGAGAAACACCTGCATACGGATGCTCCGACTGCCACCGAGCTGCTTCTCTGCTGCCCAAACGACCCTGTGGCATCAGGCAGTGGCAGCAGCTTGTGCTAGAATCTGCTAGAACAGTGGATGTCGCTGACCTCCCTCGGCCGTCCTTAAACCGTTAGGCCGGGTACACGCAGGACAAACCGTCCTGACATTGGGCGGTGGTTCCCAAAGCACGTCGTCCTTGGTGGAGTTCCAGTAGTACCTGGCAGGAAGGTCGGCTTGAGCAAATGCAACAACTACTGGTGCTGATTTGCTCATGACTCATACCCTGTGGCACTTCTTGTCGCTTGTGCGCACCTCTACCTGTTCAGCACTCATGCTGCGGTGGGTCGACCCAGGCATGCTGACTGAGCTGCTCGCCCATATATCTGCCATGGCCAAAAGGCTGTGGCCAAGGAATGCAAGTGCCTTGCGTGCTCTTTGCTTGCAGTTCCAAGGTTTCTTTCATGCCGCTGTGGAGTCTGCTGCTCTGCATCAAGCGTCACAGTTCGTCTGCGTCGCTTGAACCAGCAGCAACACGCAGCGCGGGCGAGCTTGCGCAACAAACATGACATGAGGTGAATGACGAGCGTGGCAAACTGTCCAACAGCTGGACCTTGCGGGCTTTTCCATCGATGTGATAGGTGCAAGGATGGCTTGGCATTAAGGCGAACTACCTCGCGCACCTTTGCTGCAGAGACAGTTCTCCCTTCATCTACCGTGGTGTCTAGGCTCCCTGCACCCAGCTACTTGACCACTCTCTTGTCATGAGCTTTATGGGAGGTCCAATTGGAACCCTGTGCACCAAGCAGCCACTAGCAACCACTGAGCCCTTGGTTTTGCGGCCCCACTTGGAGAGGGAGCAACAAAGCCGCAGGTGAAAGATGACACGACAATGCGTTATGCTGATGTCATCATCTCTCCGCACAGTCAGTCGACACCGTCTGCAGTTGCTCAAACTTCATCACTACTCTTCCTTCCTGCAACGTCAATTAGAGCCACAGATGAGATTGCAAAACGGAAAAGTCTTCCCTGCCCAAAAGGATCGTTCTCCTCTAATCTTGGGCCAAGGCACCGTCCTGGGCTTAGGGCCGGCACAAAGCGCCCTGGGAGACATCCGGGCTCAGGGCTGCAACATGCGGCGCAACATGCTGCAACGTTGGGCTGCCGAGGCATCTGCCAACTAGCTCGGAGCCTTGGACGCTTCAAGGCTGCTGGGACATGTGCGTTCAGCCCGTGCCCTGGATTCTTGAGAATGGCCCCAAAAAAAGGCGCTGACCGGAGCGGCTGATGGCGCCGGAGCCGCCCCCGGGCCAGGCGCCGCCTTTGGAGGGGGCGCACCTCAGCGTCAGATCTCCCAAAGCACCCGTGATGTCCCACCGTGACCCACTCTGCTGGCAAGCTGGGCTATCCACCTGCTTTGGCCTGTAGGATACACGAAAGCACCCGCTGGCAGTGGAACTGCAAGTTTTCGCAACAAGTCTGAGCGTCTTGCTCGTCTTTCTGGGCTTGGGCTATAGCTGTAGCTATAGCTGTACCTGCTGGCCAACTCAGTAGCAGAAGGCTGAAGGAAAGACTCCAATGCTGCTTCGGGCACGAGCTGTAGCTACGGCTTCTGCCCCTGGCACCTGACACTCGCAGACTTCAACTCAGAAGTTGGCTCCCCGGAGCAAAATGAGTAGAATTTGCTTCTCCCGGCCTTTCTTGGCCGCCGGAGCCGGAGGATGTGCGCCAGGCCTGGAAAGGGCCAAGGCGCTGTCACCATTGGCAAACGTCCAAGGCGTCCAAGACCATGTGGGGGGGGGGGGGGGGGCCCTGAGGCGTGGACGGGCCATAGGGCGGATGGCCATGCGGTTCAGGGCCAGGGGGTGGCCTGCAGGCATGCGCCACATGGGATACTGCATAAAGCCCACGCGCTCACCGATCTGCCTCCAGTGTGGATACCCAGGTGGTGGATAGCCAGGAGGGTGGCCATAGTAAGGATCTGGCCCAGGCCTGGCATGCAGGGTCAATCCTTACGGCTTGGACTGCAGGGTCCATATAGGCTCCGGGCGGTCGGCCATAGTAGTCCTAAGGGATACACAACATCTGCTCCTTGGGCTTCAGGCCTGTCTTGAACCAAGACTCGTAGGGTGGATAGCCAGGAGGTGGGTATCCAGGAGGTCCGTGCATGTGCGGTGGAGGCCTCTCTCAGTGCAAGGCCAAGGAAAAAGAGTGAGGGAACAAGGGAAGGAGAGAGGGAGAGAGGGAGAGAGGGAGATCAGACCTGGAGTTACACTTGCACACCGAGAGTGCCCGGGAGAGCTCTGCCACGGCCATTCCGGCAGTGAGACCCAGGCGGGCCATATGGTGCACCGTAGTCGGGCGGCGGCCTCCTCGAAGCGGTTCCAGAGGTTCTGGGGTTGAAGGCACCGCTTGAAGCGCTGGATGCTGCGTGAGGAGCAGAGGGCGTCCTATGACGTCCTACTTTTGGGACTGCAGCCAAGTGGCGCGTAATAGTCCGGTGGTGGCCGGTGCGGGTAGCCGGGAGGTGGTCCACGCATTGCCTTGGGGAAAGCATGCAAGACTCGTGTGCTCACGCTCGTGTCTGACCGCGCACACGTACACGTCTACTTCTGCCAGGCTCCCTGCCAGGTGAGGCGGCGGAGGGCCAAAGGCGCCAGGTGGAGGACCAGGCCTGGCAAAAGCCGCTAACCATCCTCCACCCTTCCTCTATGCATTCCTAAATCAGAATGTCCGTGAGTGGGAGTAAAACAACATGTAGCAACGACAGGCAAGGCAACTGCAAAGCAACTGCAAGGCACCCGAGTGGTCGAGGTGGCACGCTGGGAGGAGGTCCATCGGGTCGGGGCCTCTAAAGCTCGGTTCTCTGCACTACTTGTTATTGCTTTTGTTATTCTTCTTCTTCTCATTATTATTCATAATATCATTAATATTAATATTATTATAATTATTCTCATTAATATTATTACTGTTATTATCTGTTTCAATCACAAAACAAGAAAAGATGGCTGGGAGCAGTCTGGGGCACGCGCCCAAGTTGGCCTGGAGGCCCGTCTGGGGATGCTTTGCCTGCACGACGTCACTTCCTCTCCCTTCCTCCTTCCACTCATGGCCCCCAAGATAATAATAATCTAAAAGAAATAACAGTCATGACAATAATAATACTCATCATCATGATCATAATAATATCAATATCTGGAAGCATCGACTCAGCATCCTGGGCCCCAAACCCTCGCCGTTTGGTGGTGCGTCTCCAGGTGTCGCGCTCGGGGGCGCGGCCTTGGCGCGCCTCAGAGGCCAGAGGGGTCGGAACATGTCAAAACCCTCTCAGAAGCAGTCGATCGAGGAGGTCACCCTCCAGGAAGTGGGGACCTTTGCATAGATCACCGAGGAAAGGCGGCGCAGGACGTGCATCAAAACCAAAGCATATCAAGGCCACGCCCTTAGCAGTCTTAGCAGTCTTAGCAGTGCCAAACGGCTCGCTGGACGGCAGCGCAGCCTGGCAGATTGGCATCACTCGTGACCAAGATTACACATGTAGCCATCCAGAGGCTGCTAAGGCAATTAGGAAGGTTCTCTCGCACAGAATGATACGTAAGGCTTCCAGTGACTGCGGCGACATTGGCCGGCGCTGAAGGGTGTTTCACAAAACCGGGTTCTTGTTCTACCCCAACTAGACTAGAATCCCCTTAGAGGGGCCCCCAGAAAGGGCGCGCCCTCTTGTCGGAAACCCCCACATCTGAAAAAGCCCTCAAACGCGCCGAGGCTCCTGGGGCGGCCCTCCTGGCGGACCGGCGCCCTTGCAGAGAGGTGTTGGTTTTCCCCTTACTCCAGCCCCCCTGCAAGCTGCTGTATGCAACTGTAGCCAGACTGTAGCACAAGCCATGTGGGAATCATGAGCATGGCCATGCACAGTCCCACATATAAAACCCAACTTCATGCAGCAGAATCCCTAAACCCTACCTAAACCAAAAAAACCCCTAAACCCTAAACCCTAAACCCTAAACCCTAAACCTTGGAGCCGCATGGAGCAGAGCAGAGTCCTAAGCTTCGAACCGGCGGCGGCATCCCCGGTGGCATGTGCGGCGGCATGTGGGGTGGCATGCCCGGCCTGAAGGTGACTCCAGGTCACGCGGGGTTTAGGGTTTAGGGTTTAGGGTTTAGGGTTTAGGGTTTAGGGTTTAGGGTTTCGGGGGGGGAGCCAAGGAGGAGTGCACAGCAGGGGGCGTGGCATCCCCATCCGCGGAGGCATGACGTGGGGTGGAGGTCCCATGGGATGTCCGGGTGGTGGCCTGCAGCATCTTGGAGTGAGAAGGGCAAGAGCATAGCATAGGAAGATGGCAGAAGACCAGCAAACTTGGTGCACTTTCGGGGCTCTGGCCCCATCCAGTGAGGAGGTGCCATTCCAGGCCTGACGCAGCGCTCAGGTCACAGCAACGCAATGACGCGATTCGACACGAGACTCTGAGTTCCCGAACGGTGGCATTCCTGGATGCATGCCTGGTGGTGGCATGCCTGGCATGCCTGAGCTGGAGCCAGATAAACTGAGCCAACTGAGCCAACTGAGCCCAGCACTGCACCGTATGCACTGCTTTTTGCCTTTGCTGTGGCTGCAGCTCCGAGGCCCAGGCCAGGGCCCCAGCCATCGGGCGGACCCTTGGCAAAAGGCGGATGTAAAACCCACCAAGGTTTAAAGATAAAAAAAGTAGGCCACATGCAGACTGGTCACTGGCATGCCAGCCTTCTTTGAGCCAGGTGGACCCGGACCCCTGCACAAAGAAGGAACCGAGAAACTCCACAAACAGAGCACAGGCGAAGCTCAGAAACCAGGTGTCACAATGTCATGCTGCTTGCGGCCATGGATGGCAGCTTTCAAGGCAAGATCACTACATGTGCGCGACAAGGTTGGAGATGTTGAGGCTACGGCGGCTACGGGCATGAGAGGGGGCGGAGAGGGATGGCCATGGCGTCACGCAGCAGTCTTTGGCTTGCCGGACCTGTTCTCCGCGTAGTCCACCCTGATCTTCGACGAGCCTATTCGTTCCTGCAGATGCATCTCTCTCCAAGAGAACCCAACTGTTGGCCTTCTATCCTACGGCCGGTGTGGGGCTGTGGAACCCTAACCCTCCGATACAGTTGAAGCTGTTAGAAGAGTAGATAAACCATGAGGAACCCGAAACCCTAAACCCTAAACCCTAAACAACAAAAAGCCGCGCATCACAACACCGGTCCCCGGAGAGGCGGATGGCCCGGTCGACGCAGGTCGTGTCGGCGAACTCGATGTGGCAGAAGAGCGTTCCGCTGCGCTTGCTCTTGTCCTGGCTTTCGAGGCTTTCGAGGGAGACCCGACGAGGCCACGGAGGATCTGAAAAGAGACCTGAAAAGAGGCAAAGAGGGCCAAAAGATGCACAAAATAGCAGGCAAAACAAGAGGCAAAGTGAAGGCAATACAAAGGGCAATATAGAAGGCAACATAGAAGGCAAGATAGAAGGCAAAATAGACGCCAAATACAAAGGCACGAGAGGGAGCGCCAGCCGGCCAAGGCTTGGAGCTTGGGCCCTGGCCAGCCGGATCTCTCTAATCTCACCACCTGAAGGACGCACGGCATTCACGGACAATTTCACTGCCAACCTTTCTTCTGCAGAAGGACCCAAGTCCGCGGCACTTGCCGAAGATTTCCCGTATCTCCTCCTCGGTGACTTCCTTGCCAGCGCAAAGCAATAGCCTTCCGCTCAGACAGATTCGCTGGCAACTGGGGCTCCGACTCCAGGAAGACCACCGACCCATATCTGAGACTTGAACGCTACAAGCAAGCAGCTTCCCAAAAGATGGCTTCTGCTCCAGCGCACGTCATGCACAGGCTGCTTCGTTCACAAACATCCAACACAAGCCCTCTCTACGCGCCCTGATGAGCTTCCTGGCATGGAAACACCAAAACTCACCTAAAGCCTATCGCAGCATCATATCACCTGAAGCCGAGAAAAGTCTGGGCACCAGACCGTTCGGCAATCCTCCGGCTTCCTGGCAACTTGATTCTTGGCTGCAGTGTGGTCTTTGAAGCTGTTTGTGGAGGCTTTCCTGGCATTGCCAAAGTCGCTTCTGCCTTGTGCTTTGGTAAAACATGCAATCAAAACAGAATTCCGTACGATAAACACAAACAAGATACATTCGTAGCAGGTGTATTTATATGCATGTAGGTCTATTGTATCCAAAGATTTTGTCGGAGCTCATGAACTAGACTACACAGGAATTGAAGATGAGCATCCAAAACCCTGAAACCTTTAAGTCCTGAAGCCTTGAATACACTTAGCAGCCCTACTCCCTCAAATTCTTTCTGCCCAGATTTGGTGACGCCTCCAAATTATGGTCCCTTGTGGGCTCATTATAAGGCGGCCCCCTGACGTTGGGGACACCAAAACAAGGACCACGATGTTGAGAACTAAGCATATGACCCCAAACCTCATAAGCCCTCGAATCCTTTGGGTCCGAAGGAGCCCATGACATAGGTGTTTAGGGTTTAGGGCTTCGGGTTCTAAAACCCTGAAACCTTCAAAGTCCAAACTCTAAATATTGTCCGACCGAAACCATGAGCGTCTCCCGGTTTGGGGTTTGGGGTGTAGGGCTTGGGGTGCACAGCTTAGGTATAGAATTTACAGAGTCTAGCAGCTTCTCAGAACCCAAGATATTCACGGTTTCCTTGGATTGTGGGTGGTAGTAGGCCATGCTGGATGCGATGCCCTCTAAGCCTCCAAACCGTACGCCCGAAGCCAAAAATCCTGAACCTTGCAAGCCCCAAATCCTAAACCCTAAACCCTAAAACCCTAAACCCTAAACCCCCACTTTTCTGGCCAAAAGAATCTCGGAGGAGCGGGGGTCCCGCTTGATTGCGAGGTGAGAGACTGCAGATGTTCTTTCTCAAAAGGTGACAGCTCAAAACAGGCAGGCGCACTGCGTCTCCGGGACCGTGCGATCTTTACCAACTCGGTACCTTCACGTTTAGGGCTCAGGGGGGCTAGGGTTTAGGGTTTAGGGTTTAGGGTTTAAGGTTTAGGGTTTAGGGTTTAGGGTTTAGGGTTTAGGGTTTAGGGTTTAGGGTTTAGGGTTTAGGGTTTAGGGTTTAGGGTTTAGGGTTTAGGGTTTAGGGTTTAGGGTTTTAGAAATTGACCACGATGTCCCTACGTTGAAGTCGTTGAAGCTCATTTGCCAGCGTGAGGCACGCAGCTAGTGGCTTGTCCTCTGCGAAATCAACACGAATAGGGACCTTGGCAAGGACATGCCAGACTCCAAAAGCACACAGCCGATCCCACGAAGAAACTCAGCCCTATATTGCAAGCAACAGTTCTCGGGATGCGGCCCCATGCACTGGTGTGCCAGCCAGTGCTGCGGCTTTGTCAACAGCCTGGCTGCACAACAGACTAGACTGACTAGACACTCAACTTCTGGAAACACTAAGCACAACCCCGCAGACAATGGCACAGCAACCTATCAACAGTGTGCATGGGCATGTCTTGCAAGAACTTCTTGTATCCAGGGTGGCTTTCTGCGCAATGGATCAGCCTCTGTCTCAAAGAATTTGACATGGCCGAACTTGCCGTTTCTCAGCTGGTTGACCTGCATCGGCAGGACATCGTTTACATGCCTGACCATGGACAATCCTTCAGAACACCACATGGGAGGCTCACGAAGAAGGATGGACTTCTGTTGAGCAGAGGTGCACGTTGACTTGCACGCTCATTCACTTCGGGTCGGCGTCGCTATCGTGGGCCGTCGAAGAAAGCTTGACAGTTCATGGGTAGAAGCTTTGGCGCCTGCAGGCAAATCATCTCAACCTCACCACACGGCTCGAAGAGATCGATGATGTCCTGCACAGCCAGCTCATACGACTACCCCTCCCCAGTTTCCTAACCTTCGACTTGGGCACATGACGACTGCAAACACACCAGGCCAGAACACTGCCATGCACTGTGGGAAGCAGTAGATCACTTCGAAAGAACTGAATCTTGTCCCCTCCCCTCTGTGCTTCGCGCTGTGCTTTATGCCATACTTCGTCCTGCTCAGATGCCTCTATGGACACATCGCCGACCCAGAGCCTGTTCAAGGTTTGCGTTCGGTTTTGTTCGTTTAGTGTGTAGGGGGAGGGGGCCGGGGGAGGAGGGGGTTGGGGGGGGGGGGCAACTTGGGCGGGCAAAACCGTTTTTTGCAGTGTTTGGTTGGGCCTTAGAGCCTAAAGGTGTAAACACACAACGTTTATATGGATTCCACTCAGGTAAAGTGAAGGTTTTGCAGAGGTGGCGGAGGGAACGAAGCACCTTGAACGACCGCAATCCTTCGCAGACCGATCTTTCAAATGCCAGACAGGCAGAAACCACAGAACCCTCGAGCAGAGGTTGGATCGCGTTTGTACAGCTGTCTTGGAGACTTGTCGAGAAGCACCACGCCGGAGCGTGCCTCTAAAAAGCCGAAACTCCAGCCCTCTAAAACCCGAAACCCTAAACTCCTTGCCGCCATTGCATTAACATCTCTCGGCCCCCAGCGTGTGCCCGTTCGGGGGCTTCACGCTTTTCGGCCGGTATCGTCGACTGCTAGGTGCCTGAAAAGGGCGGCTTGACCACTTGCTCTTCAGATACGATGGTTCAAGATGAATGAAGCAAACGAGTTGCAAAGGGACTTCCTCACACCCTTAAACACATGGATCGTCAGCCCAAAGATACTTGCTTCTGAGCGTTTGGGTGATTGATCTACGTGCGACCTGTACGGGCTGACTCGAGGTGCCTTGGGACCCTGTCGCCAAGACAGGCAGAGGCACAAAAGCAACCCCTAAACCCTTTAAACCCTAAACCCCCAACCCCTAAACCCCCCTAAACCCCTAAACCCTAAACCCTAAACCCCAAACCCTAACCCTTTAAAACCCCAAGCAGGTCACGGAACCCTCGCAGACTCTGCCAATGTTGACACCAACGAACCCTTCGCCCCTAGAGGCCTAACATTCACCTGCAATCCTAAAAAACCTTAAGAAACCCTAGGAAACCCCAAAAATTCCCCATAAAACCTACGAAACTGAACGACGGCCGCCCCCCTCCAAAACAACCTCTCTCCGGCCCCTCGCTGTGGCCCTGCGCCTCGGCTTCCAGCTTCGGGTTGAAGGCTACCTGCACACTGCGGCAAGACAAAGAGGTTCGCTGTGGAGACTCAGATGGGGCGTTGACAGGATCTGGGGTGCAAGGGGGTCATGCACGCTGCTTCCATTTTGGATAAACCTCTAGTTTGCACGTAGCGCAAACTATTCTGTGCTGTGGCACTGTGTAGGTCCAGCCTCAAATGAGTACACAGCTTCCGAAACTACATGGTGCGCGGGGCGTTGCCGCACGTGGTGCAGGGGTGGGCTCTAAGCACTTTGGGAAAACTATGTCTGGGAGCCAGGCTTTCGTTTGAAATGACTGTTGCTGTAGTTTTGGGGTATATATTTGGGATTTGCAGCCCAGGTCATGGGTTTTATGTTGAGGGTTTAGCTTACAGGGTTGAGGGTTTATCCGCCGACCCTGGCGGCGTGTTGGATGGGAAAAGGAGGTGAAAAGCTCCCTCTTTCCGGGGGGGGGGGGGGGGGGGGGGTACCCCGCCAGCTTTTCCGTGTGGAGGAACAGGCCACTCACACCGCGTAAACTCATGGACCATAGGCGTTTTCGCACAGGGCATAGGGGCTCTTTTGTGAAAACCCCTGTTTCCCCCCCCACTCCCCCCCCCGCTGCCCCCCCCGCCCCTCCCCCCCCCCCTTCCCGCCTCCCCCCCCCCCTACCCCCCCCACCCACACACCCCCACGCCCCCAACACCCCCCCCCCCCCCCACCCCCCCCCCCCCCCCCCCCCCCCCCCCCCCCAACAGGAACCGCAAACAAAATCACCAAACCCCAAACTTGTTCTCCTGCGGGGTCGGCGGCTTGAGCCGGAGGCTCTTAAATATGTATTTGAGGCTAGCGTTTTGGGCATGGACGCAATGTGCATGACGTTCTTATCCCCCCGCCCCGGAAAGTCCGGGGGAACCCTGTAAATGTGCTCGAAAGTACACGCGTCGGAACGCGAACGCGCCACACTCCAACTACATGCAGTAGAGGTTGTCCTCAATTGAGTACGTAGCTTCACAAAAGTTCCATGCAGTAGAAGCTTGATTGCATTGCTAGTATCCCCAAACGCACACATGGTCGGGCGTCTGGTGTCCCTCCCGTTGCGGGGGAGGGGGCGGGCAGTCCGGGGGTCTTAAGGCCCTGAATATATCGGGGGGGGGGGGTTAAACCCCCTGAAACATCGACCCTAACCTAAACTAAGCACGAGACCCTAAGCCTTAACACCCTAAACCCAACCCACAACCACACTGTGGGAAGGGGGTGCCTAGACCACTCAGGGGAGAGAGAGGGGGGGCCGTGGAGCTGCTGACCACGTATACGCTCACCCATGGCGATCACCCACCAAGAACAGCTCTGCTTCACAAAGTTGCCTCCCAACTCCCAACATCGGTCCCCAGGAGTGAACATCGTTCAATGGCAGGGACGCACGATCCCGGGGTCTGTGGTTGGGTAACCGGAACCCCTCAAACTGCACTTGGGTTACCTGCACCCCTCGACCCTCCACCCAAAGCCCTGTATTTGGCGAACCAGCGAATCGCCTTGTCCATGTACGCATAGTCTATCTGGATCTTGACACCTGGTGCGACTCAAAAGCGCCCCCACGTGCAGATGGCGAAAGCACAGAGCACTGAGCGCATGGCCCATGAAGTCATCACCTTGCTTCTTCATCGCGTCATCCACATTCCTTGTATCCTCAAACCTGGATGCCAAAGAGATACACATCTTGCGAGAGCTGCTTGTTCACGGGCTGTTCACTGGCTGCACCACGCCACTGGCGCAACATCTCCTGCTTGCGCACAGCTCACCAAGCTCCAAACTGCACGTGCGCGAAGTAGCCACGCACGTGGCGCTCACTGCATCTGACCTGCGCGTGCACAAACAGCGTGTGTACCATCACCTGAAGCCCCTTCGTAGCCACAAGCAACGGCAACCTAAACAGACTTCTGGCCATACTCTCATTAACGCTGCGAGTTCGTCCGGCAAAGGCTGCCTCCACGATCTTGCCGCAGTCCTTGAAGAAGTCCTGAAGCTCCTGGCCAGCACACGGACCACCGACAGGAAGAAAGAAGCTGCGAGGTGCAAAAAAAGGATTAAAAAAAACAACCCCGGCCTCCTCTTCAGGCTTCTTGTCTACCCAACCGACCCAGATTGTCTTACATCCTGGGCACAGGCTCGAGCTCTGCAATCGCAAGATTTTGCGAGCCTTCACAGGTGCCAGTTGGAAAAGGCTTGGGTCCGTGCCTTCGGGCTTCCTCAGCAGTGTGGCGCTTGTTGGGGTGGGCTGAAGGTGCATGTAAGGCTGCCATGCAGATATGCTGTGGCAAGACGGGAGAATTTCCAGCAAACACGCACAACTCCTGCATCCTAAGCCAAGGCTCTTTGGCCGGTGCGGTTCGCGGCGACCTGCACAACAGCAGTCTATGCAACTTGAGAGGGCAATCTGCATGATTGCGCCGCATCGCCCTGATCAGGAAGCGATGGCAGCCAGTGACGTTCAAGAACAAAAGCTGCCACCACCACTTGGCGGGTTCATTCTGAGTACAAGTGCAGCTGCTCCTCACTGGGCTTCGGGCGCCCTCCTCCATCGTCGCGGCTTCGGCTGCGGGGTCGCCTTCGTCCACGACTTCCTCGGAGCTGAAGCAAAGCTGAACAGCTATGGGAGAGCTGTTCGAATGCGGCCGGCGTGGGGACGCCGCAACGGCTCAGGTGCCCACTCCTTCGGGCACCGCTGCGACTGCGCGGTGAGCGAGGGGGTCGGCTCCGATCCCTGGAGTGGGCTTTCAGAGGAGAGATATCCAGAGATTCCCTTATTAGGGTCCCTACAGCCGCCCCACATGCACTTAACACAAGCCACTGATCTCTCGCCTGCTTTTGCCGGCGCCGGATCTGGACTTCTTCCGCCTACGTGCCGGCGATCGCGGAGGAGGCGATCTGGGCCTCGGAGGGCTGGGGCCTTCTTCACCTCCAACGGCTACGTTGAAACAAGTTGGCCATTATTAATACTATTGACATTAACAATATACATGTATTTTGAATATCATCATGTTTGATATTCGTAGTTAATATTATTCATATTAGTGTTAGTATTATCAGTGTCATTAAAGGCAGGACTTGAACGGCAGCCTCTGCCCCATGCCAAAGAAGCACCGGGGAGCCGGCGGAGATCGGTTATTCTTGGCCGACGCAGAGCGCGAGCGCGCTGGCGCTGAAGCTGAGCGAGGCCGGCTCCTTTCAAATCTTTCAGCCATCATGAGACCCGCAGACCTCCATCCAAGCACGATGGCTATAGCGATATTGCAAGCATGAACTTGACTAGTTCGATTTAAAAACTTAAACCTATATTCCTGATTGGGTTTAAGTACCCGTAAAAAATGTTGAATGGTCACCAACTATGACAAAGTTGAGCATGCTGCGCCTCAGTCGCTGCCGATTTTCTGAGCGCTTGCGCCGCCGCCGGCGCTCAGGGGACCGCTTTGGCTCGGAGCGCCGATCCGGGCCTCATGGCGGGGGAACCCCGTCTGCTTTCATCCACTCTTTCCCCTTGTGTCCCTTGTTTTGCCCCCTTAGAGCATCCTAAAGAGCTCTGGCAGGGAGATGACTGGCAATGACTGAAACGAGCCTTTTCGAAAGGAACGAATCCAATGAACTTGCTCCTTTCCCTTTCGTGTTCTTGTTGGGCTCGCAGCTGGCGCGGCTCTTGCTCCGGCTCCGGGAGTGGCGCCTCACGTAGGAACGCAGAGCGTTTGCAGCTGCGCAGGTGCTGAGCAAGTGAAAAGTACATTGCAAAATCTGAGCCGTGTGTGAGCTCCAGACACCATGATGGCCGATCAAAACGGGCTGAAATGCACCCTGCTCTGGTTGCAAAGCTTTGCGTTTGTGAGGTTGCTTGGCTTCGGCACCCTGTGGCTGGCAGGTGTAGCCTTGATGGTCTAAATGAGCATACAGTAGCTGGCCTGTTGCAGACTGCTATGTTGCAACTCCTGAAGGTAGCTAGCGCTCATCTGTCTTCCGTAGAGCCGCGGCCAGCCCTACTTCCCCCGTGAGGGCGGCTTGAGTCGTGCGCGGGCACAAAGTCGCAGGGTTCAACCTTCTGACACTGAGTCGCCGATGTTTGCCAGCCGAGCTCAAAATGACATGAGCAGCTTTTTCAAAAGGCGCCACCAAAGTTGAGTTCTCTTCTGGCCGATGGCCTGAAGTCAAACAGTCGAGCATCTGACAGGTTAGATCAAGCTGCAGACACAGGAAGCAACCAACGCGACTGTATCTGCAGCGGCTGACAACACGAAAGGAGCCATCTCTATGGAGCCAAGGCCACATCGCAGGCTGACGATGCCTGGAGTCTTTCGACTCAAAACCCACGACGCCCCACCTGCGTGCCGAGCCGGAGTGGCGCGCTGATGTTCGGCGTGCCTCGGCAAATCGGGCCCCCGGTAATACATGTAATACCCTTCAGTGCCCTGCATATCCCTGCATGCCCCGATCCGACGCCCCAAAAAAGACGTCAAAGCAAACTTGCCGAGCGTGTCCTGTAGTCTCGACTCGGGGCTAAGGGCAGCTGAAGAAGGCGACGCAGCCCTGCAAATCGATTGAAAACATGGCAAGAAACCCTTGCCAACCCCCATCCGCAGAGGAGATCAGAAAAAAAAAACTACGACAGCCCAGAACGGCGCGAAGCAAGGCACCTGCCATGCTCGCTTGCTTGGGGCGAATCGAGGGCCTGAAGAGCAATCTCTGCTTTGATCCTGCTTCCACTACGTGGCAAGGGCGCAAAACGCATGGTCCATTTGCAGGTGTCTGCGGGCCCCCGGCTTCGGCAAAGCCGACGCCAAACTGCAAGCAGCTGCGACCAGAAAACACAGCAGTGAAGGGCATGAAGAGCGTGCTGCGGCGGACGGGTGTTGCGGACGTCAGGCAGAAAGCGCGCACGGCCGCCTCCTCCTCTTCGGGCATCTCGGAGGGCACAGTGGCGGCCACCTCCTGGAACCCAAGTGCTGGGGCTCCACTTTCCACACACGACAGACTAGCGAGTTATGTGTAGCAAGACTTAGCAGGGGCAGCCCTTCTTGTTGTGCTGCAGTAGCGGAGGCAAGGAGGGAAGCGCACGCGCTTCGACAAAAGACTCGATCTTTTGGCACGCACAAGGGCTGTCCCGGCTACTTCTTGTCTCAACACAAGAACCGGCGCGCCTCGCGCAGTCGAGCCGCCTCTTCGGCCAGCACTTGGTGCTCAAAGTGGAGTTGATCCAGCTCCTCCTGGCACTAAGCTCCTTCCTCCTTGCCTCACTGCCCTGAGTCGCTGAACGGCACTGTGGGCCCCTCCTGCTGCAGCTTGATAACGCGACGCTGCTCCTGCAGCCGGGCGGCTAGGACGTCGTCCACCTGAAGGGCACGTGGCATGATCAGCCGTTATCAACTCAGCGAGACTCCTCCGCACTCCCGATCCCGGTGGGTTCTTAGCCGCTGGCAAGACCCGACTGTTGAACCGCCTCACGCCCACTTTGGAGTCGCTGTGCTCTGCAGTGCTCTCTGCATTTGTTTTGCTACTTGTAGATGTGTGTACTTCCCTGACACCACAACAGATCACACAAGAGATGACGCAACAGATCACACAACGGATCACAAGGGCCTCCAGCTCCAGCTGAGACTCCAAGTCGTCCAGGCAACGGCTGAGCCGGCGCTCGGCCAGCGACAGCTTGTAGCAGCCCTGCTCTGCTTAGACCACGCAGATGCACGTCGAAAGATCTCGAGATCTGCACGGCAAAATGCACGGCAGCCTCCTCGAAGTCTCGGATCCGGAGCTCAAGTCCATCCAGGAAGAGAAACACCTGCCCAATACAACATTCCAGGAACAGACCTCCGACATCTGCTCAGTATCGGAGTCATCTTTCTACCATGTTCCCTCTCTCAGCGGTCATGCGGGGAAGCAGCGAGCTTCTTTTCCTTCAGTCGCCCTCAATTTGCGAGATGATGCCGTAAACCGTCTCATCCAGCGCGGCGTCCTCCACAGGGCCTCTGAAGCGTTGCAACGCAGCCAATCACCGAAGCACCCTAGACCCTAAACCCCTAAACCCCTAAACCCCTAAACCCCTAAACCCCTAAACCCCTAAACCCCTAAACCCCTAAACCCTAAACCCTAAACCCTAAACCCTAAACCCTAAACCCTAAACCCTCACTTCTTCCCTGGTGAGGCCGGAGCCGAGGGAGCCGGGCAGCTCGCTCGGCAGGAGGGCGGCGGCCACTTTCAAGGCCCGCCTCTCTCGAGCTCTGGGAAGAAGTCGGACGGAGGACCCCCAAGAAACAAACAGAGATGGGGGAAGAACCAAGAGAGAGCACAAGAGAGAGAGAGGGAGAGAGAGAGTGTGAGAGAGAGAGAGAGCACAAGAGAGAGGGAGAGAGAGTGAGAGTGAGAGAGAGAGAGAGCATACGGGAGTCCTCTCTCGTCTCCCCCGGGGCCTCCTCACAGCGGCTGCTTCTTCCACTTTGTCGCTGAGGTCCAGGCACTGGGCCTCGCAGCAGGCTCACAGGCACAGGAACTTCCAAAAACAAAACTCTCAAGGGCGCAGCGTATGAAGGGCACTCGCACCTTGAGCCGAAGGACCTCTGCGGCTTCCAGAGTCAGCGTCTCCTTCCCCAGTGCTCGCTGCAGGGATCGAAGCCTGAAATGCCATTCTTCAAAGCAGAGACTACACTCGCCTGTAAAGGGATGAGAATTTTGCGAGATGTTGCCAGCCTGCAGTCTGCAGCCCTGGCCAGTTCCTCTGGACCGAGAGCAAGTGCGTCCACCTGGGCCTTGCAGGACACCACCATCCTGTGGAGTGAAAAAAGCGACAAGCCGCGAAGAGCAAAGCGAAGCCTGAAATGCGTCCTGCATCTCTCCCTTTGCGCCGCTCGTCTTGAGCAGCAACAGCCCTGCCTGGCACCGTGGCGTTTTCTGCAACAATCTGGTTCGGTGGGCGCCATCCCCGTGCGAAGAAGAAACCGTACGGTACCTTCCAAACCTCCGAGCAAGCATGCCGCAAATAAAGAATGTCATTGACTTCCCGCCAACTCATTTTTCTGGTGCATGCTTCAAGATGCCGGTTTGCAAGAGAACATCCTAGAAGGAACCAACAGTGTAACCATCGCCACAACAGAGGACTGGATACTATAGTTATAGGACAACATGGCGAGTGGGGGACCATGTTGCCAAATGCGGGATCACCAGTCCGATCTATATAGGATGCAATCGAGCCATAACAGCGGAGAGATGGTTCTTGATGCTTTCGTTGCTCCCGAAAGGCGACCCGGATCCGACCAACAAGAAGGCAACGACGTCAAGCAATGAAGCAACGACCCTGTAAGCGGCAGCATGTGCTGTCCTCCAGAGCTGCGCCGGCAGCATCAGCCGCCAGCCAGTGCGCCTGCAGGCACATGCGCTGCACACGCTGCCAGCACCTGCCACACGGCAACACTTGCCTCGCCATCTGGCGCCGCATCACGCTGAGAGCTCATGAGGTCTCGGTGCAGATGGACAGCAGCTGCCAGGTCTTTCGCAAGTTCCTCCACCAAATCCCGCTGGCCACATGACGTGTTGAAAGCCTCACCGCCAAAGCCGCCTGAGCAGCTGTCGGCCTAGTCGAGCCATGGTCCTTTGGCTGTACCTCAGCACTTGCTAGGCTTAGCACGGGAAATGAAGCGTGATGGTCATGACTCTTTTGCCGCCCCTTTCCGAATCTTCCCGAGGCCGCGCCTCTGTGACATCGGCTTCCAGCTGCTCGGGATCGCCAAGCTCTTCGTTCATCTCTTCCAGCACATGGCGGGAGATCACCGGTGCCGACGGCTGCAAGAAACTTCGCAGCACTGCCCGCCCACCAGCGCCTCGACACCTGCAGAGAAGCCGACAGTCGGCAAAAGCTTCTGAGCCCTCAAAATTCTCACAAAAGGTTTCAGCAATCCTCAACAGCGCTCCCTCTGCACACTCTCCGCACTTTTCTAAGGCGAGGCTCCAGGGTTGCAGCTGGCGATGGCGCCCGGCCTGTCGCCGTAGTCAAGGGTTCAAGCACAATTGCAACTGACGTGTTTCCATTTGCTTCCACCCATGCTGCACAACTCAAGTTGCGTATGTTGAATGAGAGATCTGGATTCCGATATACTCTGATGGACTCCGATGGACTTCCGTGCCCCTTGAATGCACGCAGCCAAAGCCCGGCCCAGAGCTGCTCGAGGCTCGCCATCTCTTCTGCCTCTTTCGTACTAAGTCACCATAGGTAGAAGTGCAACATCGTGCGACAGTATTGCTCTGCCTTAAGCGGAGTATGCCAAAGGCCTCGGGCATTTCTCCGCAAGAAGGGCAAACGGCCCAGCCATCCAGCTCCGCAGTAGCAGCTCCCAGCTGTACCTGCCGCAAAGCAAGACCCCTTGCAGGGAAGCGAATCGAAAGACACGCTGCAGATGGCAAAGCCTGGGCCGGGGCCCTTTTTTGCTTTTTTGCATTTTTGCGTAGCGCCTCACTCCTCCACGCAGCCGCCCTCAGTCGATGCCGATGCATTCTTCGGTCTCGTGTCGTGTCTCTTGAAGCTCTTGCCTTTGCTCGGTGTGATGTGGTCCGACGTGATCCGACGTGCTTCGACATGTTTACTTGCTACTGCTCCATGCTTCACGGGCTTCACGCCACTTCACAGCTCGCTACCTGTCGAACCGGTCATGGCCGAGCCGGCCCTTCGGCCCCTGCGGCCGGGCCGACCAGTGCGAGGCCCCGAGCCGGCCGAGCCGGCCGAGCCGGCCGAGCCGGCCGAGCCGGCCGAGCTGGCTGGCAACAGCTTGGGCGGCAGGGGCAGCAGCTTGTTGTCGTGACCGGGAAGGAACCGGAAGCGGCCAGGGCCAGCACCTTCAGGGAGCATGAGCCTGTCGTGGCCGCTGAGCCATTGCCGGATGTTGCCGGCATCCAGGGCCAGGGCGTCGTCGGGCTCCAGGGCCTCGAGTTCCGCCCTGAGCCGCTTCTGCCGCTTCTTCTGAAAGCGCACGGAGCAGTGGAAGCAGAGGCGGACGACATTCTGCCAGGTCGAAGAGCACTGTGGCTGCATGCCCAGCTCCCGCAGCTCAAAGACCGAGTTCAGCATCCGCTCGTTCAGCCGAACTAGAGCAGGATGAACCTCCGCCCTCTTCATCTCCTCCAGAACAAGGTAAGCGTTCTCAGACTGATGTCGGTGCGACAACATATAGCCATGGAGCAGCAGGGTATAGGCTGTTTCATCATAGGGAATTGCCCGATCCTTCAACTCCCAAAACGACCGTTCCCAGGCACTCCAGTCATTGAAGCACATCGTGTGCCAAATCCTTCGGTAGATCTTCTTCCTCAGCTCCTTGACCTGGTCATGGGTCATTTCTTCACCCGGCTGCGGCTCGGGTGGAGCTCCGGGCGGCCATCGAAAGCTCGGATCACCCACAGGCTTGGCAGCTACGGACGTCTCATCGTAAGGCCACTGAGGCCACACAGTCACCGGTCGAGACTGCAAGGAGGGCAGGCGGGCGACGGGCCTGAAGGCGGCGATCCAGCGCCGCATCGCGCCTCGGCAAGGGGATCATCCAAGGAGTCAACGGCTCGACCGTTCTGGCACCTAGATTGGGAAAGCTGCGGTGGAGATTCGACATGAATGATTCAAAAGAACCATGCCATTCCCTCCCACCCCTGGCAAGAACGCTCGGCCGGTTTATACCAACCAACACCCAGGGAGTAATCACCACTGAACGAAGGTGGAAAGGAGAGCGGGCAGGCGCACGTACCGGCTCTGGAAGCCAATCGTGCCACCTCGACCTGTGTGCTGGTGTGGGGCGGTGGAGCGAAAAAGCACACGGAGATCCAAGTGTAGTCCTGTTGGCTACCTCCTGCCGGGCGCGAATTCACCGCAAACAGCCCTTGCCCATCTCAGAGGCTTAGCACTGGCCAATGTGTGCAGACATGTGCAGACTGTTCCACAGCCATGGCGCAGGATGGGCACGTAAAACTTCGTCGATCATCAGGCATCGTGCATCTGCCAAGACCATTTGTCACGAAATTACAAGGCGAAGGCAACAAGACTGCTGAGAGAATCGCGCATAATCGCGCCTTTGGCACTGGCACAGGAAGCCCCACGTCTGACCCAGCAGCTTCCTTGCACGACTGGATCTGACCGAGGCGACCGGACTTTCCGTGCACCTGCGGATCGATCCGGGCTCGAGGAGGTCGGACTCCGATAGGTACGACCTGAGCTGAAAGGTCAGACAAGGTCTGGCTGTAGCTGGAAAGCTGAGCTGCTGAGCTGGTGGCACTGTGACCTCCTCACCAGCGAGAATGTCGGTTAAGGCCACAACCCTCAAGGAGAGGAGCCGGGGCATAGGAGGGCATAGGAGGGCAGAGGCACATCGAAGCACAAAGGCACCTGACTCGGCCGTCAGCCCCGACGCACAGACGGGCCCTTGGCCTTAAGGCAGAAACTCTTGAGAGTCCTACAAGATCCTGCAACATCCTTCTCAAGATCCTGCAACATGCTGCAACATGATCCGCAACATCATGTGGAACCTCATGTGGAACATGCAGTATAACTTGTCGTCTTATGGCCAAGGGGCTTGCAAGCATGATTGGCCCTGCAGGCGGTGGCATAGAGCCCAGTGCGCCCACCTGGCACCTGACGCTTCCCATTCTCGCAAAAAGTCTGACGAAAAATTGCCCCACGAGACCTCGATTCCGTTGGCGCGAAGTACCTGGGTAGCTCCGGTGGAGCCAGGTGGAGCCAGGTGGAGCCCACAGCTTCAAGATCTTCAACGGAGTAGAGAGGATGGCAACCGCACGGCTGGGGCTCCGCGCTCGCAAGAACTGAAACGCTTCCTCGTCCCCCATGGAGGCCTCCTCCTCTGCACGCCAGTCCTGGAAGAGCGCTCTCCCTCCACTTCTCGTGATCTCGAGGCACGTCACGGAAGCAAGTCAAGGCCCTGCTATCCCAAAAGGACTCTGGAGTCTCTGCTGTCCTCAAACCCTGGAGCCGTTCGTTCCGGGACGTGCAGCGAAAGCACCACATTCCTGCGACCCGAAAGCTATAGGGCCTACGGCGGCCTACGTCCTAAATCCTCACCCGGAAGTGCGGCACGAGTCTCAAGACCACCAGCTGAAACCCGTGCAATCGACGACAGAGAATGAAAGCGCAGGGCATCAGCGCAACAAATGCTTGCAGAGTTCAGATGTCCTCGTCTCAGCACCGAGCCGGCGGAACTCTTCAAGTGCCTCACAAGAGACTCTCCTGAACTTTGTCCGACCTTCTTAGGCTGCAGTAATTTAGTACATTTGGCACACACACACACACTTCATCAGACTTGACTGGGTCCAGATGGTATGCTTTTTTCTGGACGTCTGCACCCTGACATGAGGCTCAACCTCCCTCGCGAATCGTCACCACCTCTCACCATTTCCCCGGTTGCTTGGCCTTCTTGCTGCGAGCCCTTCTGCAACGATGCAGGTATCCCTGGCCAGGTTCGGCATGCTCTGCAGACGGCGCGGTCACTCAGGATAATGCCTGTTGCCTCCGGGTCGACGGCCCAAAGAGTGCCAGAAGGATCTTCCTCAGGAAGATCCTGATGCCATGAGCAGCCCAAGCGACTTCCCAAAATGACTTTCGACGAGTCGCGAATGTTTGTTGGTTGGAAGAAGAGAACGTCCTCCACAAGGAGGATTGGGCTGTCTTCCACGACCACCTGCAATCAAGAGGAGGGGGGGGGGGGGGCAACTTTCTGCAGCAGCGAGACAGACGCTTGCACTGAGACACTGAGACTTTCGAGGAGCTCGGCATGACCGCATGGCAGCTGTCGACCGCGAGGGGGGGCTCAAACACTTCTTGTAGAACTCCAATGCGAAGGCAAGATCCCGCCGCTCTTCCGGCCGTAAGCATTGTTCGCGGAGGTCGTTGCCGGGCAAGTGATCTGGTAAAGTTCAATTTGTTCGAAGGACTCGTTTTGCATGTTGCCAGTGTTTCAGCAGGTACACAGTGGCTGAACAGTTGAACACGTCCGGCTTACAAGAGGAGAGCCTGGATGCTTGGCGCGGACATGCAGTGGCCCGTTTGGAGCTTGCAGCTTCGGGAGCCACCATGAGACACTGAGTCGGCCCCTGAGCAAGATGCAGAGTCTTGCACAGCTACCCAAGCTGAGAGGCTCAGGAGTGGAGTGTCGATTTCGCTTGTGGTTGTCCAGTGTTGTCCACTACCAGGTAAACGAGTCTCATTGCAAGCATTCTTAAGAGAACAGAGCTCAGAAAGTCAGAAAGCTTGGTCGAGAATCGAAATCACCGTCAGGAGTCTGAATCAAATTGAGATGCACAACATCGGTACTCAGAGATGCCATCCACAACTCCACTGTTCGCATAGAATCTCTGGCATATTTCAATGCCTCCTGATGCAACACAAAGTCGGCACCTCTTAAACCCGAGGGTACCACAGAGCTACCCGGCCTCACCGACGGCTACGTCGCCTGCGGCCAGAAGCCGGCCGGAAGCCTCCGCAAAGCAACCAAGAGACATGAAACCAAAGCGTTGCATCGACGTGTACATGTGTGTATGCTGAGGCGGTGACCGCGTCGTATCTTACCGCATGGCAGGGCAAGGGATGCTTGCAGCCGCGCAGGCCGCGCAAACCTCCAAAACCGCAACAAAAAACGAAACTCTGCTGGGAAGCGGGACACGCGAAGTCTTTGCAGCTCAGTCCTCTGATGAAAGACCGGCTGGCCCGACTTCTCTCCGAAGCGGCCCCGACGACGATGGCCTCAAAACTGCTCTAAACGTGAGCTGACTGCGGACCATGGTGGGCATAGCAGTCAAATTGATTCAATCAGACATGCATCTTGCCGACTGATATGGGCACAGCGACCTTTTGACCGATTTGCGGACTGTCCGGAGTGGCCGCTGTTGCAAGAGTGCCTGGTGGCGGCAGTCTGCGGACTGCCCCGACAACCAAACAGCCTCTACATGAATGATAACTTCCCCCTGCGACTCATCACCTGCATTCAAGCCGCTGCCAGGGCAGAGAAGGAAGACATGAAGGAGCCAAGTATCAGATCACACTTGGACAGGGACAGGAGGTCAACGAAGGCCTGGCGTGCTTGCTTTGCACACGGATTATCTCAGCATCTGAACTCTTCAGCTGGGCAGCAGGCATCCTCAATGGCCTCAAATCGCACAAAGACTGGCGCAGTTCCTCTCGAAGACTGGCAGCTCACTTGCCTCCGGCGTCTTCCTGACAGCAACTCTTACATGCTCTCGGTCCGCTTCAATGGTATACGCATGTACACGCCAAGCGGTCTTGGCCTGCAAAGGCTGCGCTTCTTGTGGCACATGAGCCGATTCCCATAGCGCTGCAGCATCAACTCTTCAACCTGGCCAAGACTCATAACCTTGGGGGACCTTTGCGCGTAGGGCGAAGATGGGCGAAGGCTGAAAAAAGGGAAAACAACAGAACCACGCTGCAAACCAACCTCGGGCTCATCCGTCGCCAGGAAGAAGGCTCCAAACCGCGGTCCGAGCTCCTCTGCGGCTTTGTCCATGGCCTCCGCGAGTCGGCGCCAAGCACGGCAGCAGCAGCCGCCCTATGTGGTGGCTTCCGACCTTATTGTGGTCCTTGTCATGAGGGAATCCTACCATTTGGGGGGTTTTTTAGGGAACCCATATTTTCTTAAACCCCCATGTACCTCGCAACGCGAGTCCGCGCGAATCTGCCTCCAGGAAGAGGGAGTCAGGGGATTCCGAGCAAGCAGCCTGCCATATTGGACACTTCACGCTGCGAAGGACACCGAAGAAATTTTCGTAGGCCTCATGGTCCGTTCGCCGAATGTGCACGCCAACCTCAACGTCAACTTGACATAACTTGACGCCTCTTCCGAGAGGTTCCCTTCAACGCTGGGTCTCAATGTCTCAGCTCCACACGGTGCCCCGAGGCAGCTCACTGGTCCTGAACCGAAGCATCCCAGTGCACCAGAGAAGCTCGCAGTGCCCCCCCACATGGGCTTCAGCTGAACCTCAGATATCCCTCAATCAAAGGTCCTAGACCCTGAGCAGTCACTGCACTAAAAGCATAGTAATAAAAGCATAAAGTATTAAAAAAAAAAAAAAAAAAGGAGCCGCCACTCCTCCGCAGAACCTGTGGGCTCGGAGCCAGAGCACGGAGAATCTCCGACCTGGTCAAAGCAACCCAGACTAACCCAACGTTGGCTCCATGGACCCAAACATCTGCAAAACCTAAATTGGGATCCATGATCAAAAATGTAAGTTATGGTTTAGGGACTTTGGGTTGAAGGCTTGGGGTTTAGAGGGTTTAGGGTTTCAGATCCCCTCCGATACAGGCCCGACGCCTCACTTCCACAAGCTCGTCGCGAAGCCTCTGAGCACACATCACACATCAAAAAGCTGCAGCTGCCCCCCAAAAGGGCAACCTACTTCCCCCCCCCCCCCCCCCCGGCCCTTAAAATCCCGCCTGGCGGACGGGTAGAACTCAGAGAAAGCTGCGATGACCTACAGGCTCCGGGGGAACGTAGGGGTGCCATGAAGGCTTCGTTAAACGCTCCACTCTCCAAGGTGCCGCAAAGCCGCTGTGCAGGGTGCCTCGTGTGCCAAAGATGAAGACATGAAGAGCTTTCCAGACTACGGCTTCTTCCGGCCTGTAGCGCAAGCGGAAGATCGCAAGCGGGCATACCGGCGCATCGAGGATGCTCCAGCCACATGGGTGACTCGAGGTCCTGGGCGAACAACGCAGAATTTCCCTCTGCCCGAGCTCGGACTTCGCAGCATCTGAGCATGTCGCGAGCCAGCAGGCCAGCCCTTGGCCCCAAGGGATCCCAAGGGATCCCAAGGGATCCCAAGGGTTTGGGAAGTTTAGGGTGGCAGACTGGTGCCAGGGGCTAAGGAACCATGAAGGAACCAGGTGCTTTGCAAGCGAGGCGCCACAGCAGGGCAGCTGCAAAGGTGGAAGCGTCGCCCTGGCTGCCATCGCAGATGCAAAGTTCATCTCATCTGCACCTGAAAGAGCAAATGGGGAACACCCCTCTTGAAGCCAAGCAAAAAGGTGCCAACAGCGACACCTTCACGAAACTTGAGCCAAGTCTCTTGGACAGATCCGATCAAGTATGCGAATTCCACAGAGCATTGGCTCGAGTTTCTTCAGGAGCTCTTCGGTCAGTAGCCATACTCTGGTCCTGCCGCAGCCAAGGGGACAAGTCTCATCGCCCTCTTCTCACTCACGAGGCAGTCCTGGCTCCAACCTGAAGTGTAGACTGGGCAAACAGCCTGTCCCACGAACACCCACAAGTGTCGGTGATCCGCCAATCGACTGCCACTTGCCGTCCTGAAACCCAGCAAGCACAAGGTGCGGACCTGACATGTGCTACAGGCAAACCCGGATGACAAACCTCAACGGAACGTCTGCCCACGCTCCTGTGTCTGCAGCCAACACCGCAGCAGACAGCATCGCAGAAAGGCGATTGCCTCAAGCAACACCCGCATAACACTCCACAGGACGCATCTTGAGAGCCCCTGCTGACCTTGAAGCGCGGGCGAGTTACAGAGACCATTGAGAGGACGAATCAGAATCCAGCCCTGGTCCTCCAGCGAAGGGCCTTCTGCAAAGTTGCTAGCAACCTGTGACTGGTGGACTGCCCCGATTGCCGCCAACCGCACAGGCCTGCAGCCTTGCTCTCTTTGGGCTCCTGCGCAAGCCAGAAAATTTGAAGATGCACACGTTATGATCTGACTCAATTTTTGCGCAAGCCTGCACTTCTCTCTCCAGTTGGTCTAAGGTGTCGAAGTCGATCATGGCCAAGACCCAGAGCCATGCTACTGTCTGCTAATTCTTGGACCAGCAGATGCCTTCGTCACAAGCCAAAGGGACCAAAGGCATTTTTTTCTGGGAACCCGGGCCGGTGCTACCCAGGCGAGGGAGCGACCCCAGCAGGGAAGGTGGGGGCATCCCAACCCCGTGCCACGCGCCTCAAAGAGAGTTCCACTGCTGACACATTGCGAACGGCCGCGAGGCTCTCGGAGGGGCACGGATTGGGAGGTGATCTGTTCCCCCTGCTGGACTTGCCCTTCTCTGGAAGTTGAGCAGCGATCAAGCGGGAAAGAACAGCCATAAAAGAAGATAGCTAGTATTTAGGGTACCCAAATAGAGACCTGACTGAATGATCCAGAAACAACCGAAGAAGTGAGCTCGTCACCTTCGCAATGGGCTGGTGCCATGGTCTGCACTGAAGCTCTTGTCTAGCGGGCAAGGAATACATACCGAAGGGAGGGAGGTCAGCGGATGTGAATGCTCGGATTCACTTGCAGCTGTGTTGGAAAGCAGGTTGGAAAGGTGCATCCTAGAGCACATGTGCACGTGGGCATTTTGCAGCATCAGCTAAAGGCATATGAAGGTCAGGGCACTTGAAGATTGACCTACAGAGCCGAAAGGTCTCGAGGCAAACCAGAGTTCCAGATCCTACTGAAGCGGGATAGTGACTGCGTTCTCACGCTGGAACAATGGCTCTGCTGACAAGGGACACAGCTTCACAACGCAATGCCCCACTTGATGCTACATCGCATCTCCTTAGATGCTCCTCAAACACTCCGCAAACGCTCCTTAAACGCTCCTCAAACACTCCTCAAGGCCTGCATGTCGAGGAAATGGTCGGGGGGCTGGGCTTGCTTGGCCTCGGCGGTTTTAGGTGGGCCTGTAGGGGTTGAGTTTGGAGTTGTGGTGCAGGGTTTGAGTTTGCTTATGTTTGCTTTCTGGACAACTGGAGCTTGAACTTTCAGTTTCAGCTAAGGCCTCGGAAATACCCTTCAGCACCAGCGATTACAGTGCGAAGTCTTCCGAGGAATGTACCCATTTGGGACGATCACTTCTCCGCGAAAATCCGGACACTCACGCACACTGAAAACTGAAAGAAGCTGCGCCAGCGAGCCTGCAGCAAGCCCCAGGCCATGCGCTCCTACGCATTTTGTATCGTCCAGCTCGTCCCAAAACTAGGGCAGAACTCATGGGCTTGAGCTTGTACCCCCAGTCATCGACAATGCTAGACGCACGACGTGGCCTGGTCCACTTCGATACTCTCTTGCGCTTCCAGGAGCTGATCCAGCCTCGGGGGAAAACCAAATCTGGTGAGGCCTCGGTCTCCAGGCTGTGCTGCCCAAAAGCTGAGACCCTGGCAGGCGATGGTATGCCTGCAGCTTTCACTTGAATTGAAGGCTGCGGGAAGCTGAAAGCATGCTGAAACCTCCCCCCCCAAAACAAAAACTAATCACCGATTGAGAAGGGGTTTTGAGCCGCCTCAATCAAATGATTTGCTTCTGCGGTCGACCTCAGTGTGCCGAGCTATTCAGAGATCTTGACATATGCAAACAAAAGTCGCATACACTAATCTTTGCCGTTGAGATCAGGACGAAGGTCTCTTTTCCTCGGGTTTCAATGTCCTGGCGCGACATGCTCCCAGCCTCTGCTACAGGACCTGTCACACGCTAGCCCTTGACAACGATTCTGACGATTCTTGCATAGAGAACTTGTCTTGCTGCTCTTGCTGGTGTCTGAATCGGCCTTGGCACCGTCGTCAATGAGAAAGGGTCGGGCAACACCATTGCCTTGCACATAGTGTCTGAATTTTAGCCAAGAGTGAAGGCAATGAAAAAGAGAAGTTGCCTGATGCTAGAGCACGTAGACAGCTGCAGAAGTACAGCTTTTCAGCAGTCTTGCCGATCACTCTTCTGGACGAACCACCAAGTTTTGGGGTTAAGCAGGTGCACCACATGGGCACAAGGGCATTATCCTGTTGCAGCGGCGGCAGAGATTTTCATCTGTACTCTAAGGTCTCAGATCGGGTTGCTTGACAGCTGTCCGCTGTCGGGATCCAATCGTTGTGCCAGACAGCTGGCATGATCCGAAGCATCGCCTGCGTCGGTCACCGAGCATCGAGTAGCTTCTTTGCCCTGTCCGTCCGGCAATCGCAACGTGGGCGTCTCATCCGGAGCGACACGCGTTGCTTGGGACGCTCGCCTGGATTTCCTCCTGGCTGAGCTGACTGAGCTGCGTTCGGTGCTGAACTCCGGCTGCCGCATGGGATTGCAGTGTGCTTGCACCTTGCTTAGGAGCATCTGAAGGTTTACCTCGAGGTTCGCCTGAATCAACCGTAGCTCTGCGGAAAGCTGGGCGCATCGACACACACAGTCAGCAAAAGCATCGTCCTTCAAGCCAATGGTTGGCAAATCTTTATCCTTAACCTCCACCTCATCCTCATTGGACCTGATAAGATGATAGCCAGAGCTCTGCCACACTGACGCTACTGACACTGGATCATTCGGATCAAGCACAAAATCACTTCGGGATTCAGCCCGGCGGTGGTACGTCATGTCAAGCTCGTCTGAGGTATGAGATGAGGCGGAATCCGAGTGGCAAGATATATCATCGTCTTCCCCGTGCTCCTGATGGGTTCTCGTGAGGCCCACCGGGTGCTGAGACAGGCGACTTGAGTAGGGGTGAGCATGATGGCTCTTTCGTCCCCGTCGTCTTGCAGCTCTTCGCTTCTTCCTCGCCCTGTCTCGGTCCTCCAGCAGAATATCAATAAAGATTGCGGGGACAATGGACACGGAGGAGAGCGACAAGAACACAAAGACAGCATAGAAGTACAATGTGCTCGGATGCAGCATGATCACTGGCTCAGCTTTGGCAACCCAACCGTCCATTGTCATGATTTTGAATAGTGTCCACATAGTGGTGCCCAAGTTGCCGTAGCAGGCGGCAACTTCTGCATCAGGAAAGTCCCAGAGCATGTTCGTTGCGCACACGCTAAGCACCAACAAAAACGACAATATCACAGCCAAAAAATTGAGCATCTGCCAGCCAGCGATGTGTGACACTTTGCTGAAGTCATCCACAAACTTGCTGGACCCAAGCAGTCGTATCAACCGCACAATGCGGACAATGCGGATCACGCGCATGGCTGCCAGTGCATGAACAAACCGCCCCTCAAACGTGTCCAGGAACATGTCCAGGATGCTGACGAAATTTAGCACAAGATCACACATGTTCCAGTTGGCATCACTATCAAGGAAGAAGAAATTCCATAGACTTTCTGTGCACGGCAGACCTCGCTTCTTGGTGTAGCACTGAAACCCATACACCTGGAGCACACAGAAGGTGAAAGCAAAGACTGCCTGTGCGGTGTTCGAGAACTTACGCATCGCGTCGCTGGATATGTAACACGCCTCGAGGAGCGTGATAGCCACACTTAGGACGATTGCCCCTGCAGATAGCCGCTCATGAAACTCAACCGGTTTCTTGTTCGGCTTTGCTGAGCAGCGATGCTGATTCAAGTCTGGACGGAAGGTGAATGGCAACCGCATGTGTCCTGGTAGCATAGACTGCATGTATCCCAGAAAGAGGAAGAAGCTCTCGGCAGTCGCGAAGGGAAGATGGCCAGTGACATTCGGGTCCAGAACAGCTGCGCAAAAACTGCGAGACTCATCGAGAATCATAACAAAACGCAAACAGGTCTGACATCCATGTCTAGGCTTAGTCGTAGTTTGCGTAAACAAACTTGCAAACTACTTCAGCTTCTATCTTCAAGCTCTACAGCTCATTGGCATACGGACCGGTCACAATACGTCAACCCATTAAGGCTACACTCCTACTCATGCAAGGTGCTTGCAGAGTTTCGCAGGAGGAATGAGAAGCATGTGACAGTATGTGTGACACGGAGCTCGCAACTCTTGATTGCAAGTAGGACCGAAAGCGAGGAAGGACTGACACTGCAAGCGGGACAGCGTGACCAAGTCTGGAAATGTCTGCAGAAGAGTCGGCGGCACAGCCAAGGCAGCCGGGTTTCCTCGCACACAACTACAACCATCTTGCAATTTAGGCTTCGATTTGATTGTGCATGTCAATGCGCCTGTCCTTGGGCACTTCCTACTGCAGAACCGATATTCGATGCCTTGCATATCCAGCTGTGCAGGGATCTGTAGCAGTTTTGAAGAACCTGCCTGCACAGTCTGGAGCACCTGCAAGCTAACCTCATGGGACAGGGAGCGGAACCATCTCAACAGCATACACCAAAGCGCATTAAACGATCCACCTGCAAGGATGCCTCTACTTTGGCCTTTGCGTCCTTTGTGTCCTGCGCACAGTTTCGGGGTGTGAGCTCGTGATCCCTCTCCTTTGCGAACTGCCCGATGATCCTGCAACGGCAGACTTCCTTCGAAACTGCCAGAGGCAAAGCTCTCTGACGGGATCTCCACGCACCCCAACCTAGTCGCAGGCCGGTTGCACACAACTGGACCCCAGGTTGATCTGGACTATGTCGTGACACGGGAGCCAGGTTCGACACAACAGCACACTGATCCATTCTGCTCAGCTGCACACGCTTCATCCCATCGGCCTCCATCGGAATCGTAGATGGTGACTTTGACCACCCCATTTCGCGAAACAATCCTGGACTGGCGTGCGAAAGTGCTAAGCCAGATGCACACAGAACATGGCGCGTCTCGCACTCACAGGCTCTCAACGCTGACATCGTCCAAGTGTCAACTTGCCTGTCTCTTCCCACACAGGATTCCTCACAGATTCGGAAAGTCCAACTGTAGAAGCCCACCATGTGTGCGTGTGAGTTCAGTTCATGCTCCGCATGGAACATGCCAAGGCACACGGTGCTTTGCAGCGTTTTTGTCTGGAACCGACTTTGGGATCCAAGTGCTTCTACGACCTCAGCTTGACTGCATTGCTTAATTACTTGCACCTTGCCAGGGCAATCTCAAATCGTTGGATCCAGATGTCTTTCGAGGTACGCAGTAGGGATCTGTTGTCCTCGCATTTTCCGCATCGCGAAGACCTGTACATGCCCATCAATGATCAAGCCGCTCGGGTTCGCAGGAGCCGGCATTTGATGATTAATAAAACGCATCTGAACTCACGCCTTTTGCTGAGGTGATCGTGACCTCCACTTCTCGTGCTGTTGCCTGGCCACACAACAAAGCTTATCCGGAACCATGGCCAACAGTACTTGAAACTTCCACCAGCCTGCACATCAGCCGATTCCATGATCATCCATGAGGAATCAGGTTGAGAAGAACAAGTGCTCTAGCAGCCGCCATGGAGTCATTTGATGCTGCAACTGGACCACTGCTCAACAAGGCCACGATGGCTTGGAACTTGCAAAGCCTTACATGGATAAAGAAAGGTTTGGCTGACAGTATGGTCACGGAAAACACACTGCTTTCAAACTAAAAAGTAAGCAAACTAAGCTAAGCAAATTTGGGGGCAATTCCAAGTGTTCTGAGTTGGCCGATACATGTTTTGTACCCGTGCTGGTTATACGTAAATGCAGTCGGCATGTGGGATGGGTTCGCACATTGATTGCGGGCCATGGTGTCTTTCTTTTTGCGACAGCTGGACCAGAAGATATCCATCAAGCATCTCAACATGCATGCCTTGATCAAGTTGAAACATACTGGTGATAAGCAGGCTGCAAAATCTGCCGCCAACCTGCCGGGCAGCTGCAACGGATTCAGCAAAAAAATACGAACGGATGCTGTTGTGATAGACTGGCTAGCTCATGCCGGCAAAACAAAAACAAGCATTCGTTGAAGTATTACGTTCTGTTTCTGGCGCCAACCAAAACGTTTTCACGGGAGAAGGGTGGACTTAGCAATGCCGTATGGTGTGCTGCCGCGATGCCATGACATAAACAGCAAGCACGTTGACTTCCGATGCGATTTGAAAGTTGACAATGTGGCTTTTTCTTGCACGTGAGAACCGATTGCATGCCGAAAATTTTCATCACATCTGGATGCACCAGACTTACGTATTTGTCCGAAAAAACCTCAAAAAAAAAGCTCCACACTCTTTTCCTCCAGTGGTTGAGCGAATCATTTTGGGTTCGCAAGGATCGGAATTATTACAAACACATTCAAAAAAATCGCCGTTTTTGGCCCTTCAGAGACTCTGTCGCAACTTTTCGGGTTTGGAACAGCGCAAACGTCTTTGCAACCTTTTCCACATTGATGGCAAAACCCAGCAGAACGAAACAGGAAAAGTTCAAAACTACTGTCTTTAGAACACCCTGGAAAAAAACACGCTCGCTGCAACTGCTTTGCGGAAAATGCGGACGCTCGTCCAGGACGAGCCTGTCTCCAACACATACATGGCCGTGTACTTGCAACAGCTTCTTGAAATGACCACTGCGAGGATGACCTAACGTCTAAACGATGCTTCTCTATTCTCATGCATGCACAAATCCAGGCATTCTTCCTTTGTTCGCCTTTGCATACTCAAGCTTGCATTTTCCGCATGATGACAGTGGCGCTGATGGCAACACTTTTTTTGTTGTTCACCATAATGCAAGCCGACACAGCGCACTTCAAAGATGTGTTTGCGGCTTGCATCGAAACCATGTTCCCCAAGCTGCTTCTTGGAACCTGAATATTACACCCAATGGAACCTCGATGCATTTCGTCATTACACCCTGTGCTGGCCACATGCCGTCGTTCATGACGAAAAATTGTCAGCTTGCTTCCGCCAGCAAGTGGCCGTTTGGGCCTCGCGTTAAGTTATCTTGCAACAAGAGCCTCTGCTTCTTTGTCGTCACGACTTCTTTTGCACTTGCTGGCTTGTACAGTTGGCTCTTAAAGGTAGATGTTCTTCCCGTTGCCAAGACCTGCCCACTGGGCCGCCGATGTGGTAAAGAAACGTCCGCTTCAAAAAAACCCTTCCACTGCTGAGCGCGCATGACCAGAGTGGAGGTTGTGCTGGAAAAGCACACTAGATCTCTTCTACACGTCACTCCACCTCCCTCACTGCTTTGCACACGGCGTCCAGTGCTGCAGGCATTAGAGGTTTTTCTGCTGGTTCACTTGGCGCTAGTTTGGCAGAAGCACTTTCGATTTTGAATCAGCTCGAGTACAACAATCTCTGGTGGGGTCGAGAGACCGGCATGAGAGAGAGAGCTGGCAAAATTTGCGTGGCGAGATTTGCGTGGCACATTTGCGTGGCAACATTTGCGTGGCAATGGATGCGTGGCAACATATGCGTCAACATCTGCGTGACAACATTTGCGTGGCAATATTTGCGTGCCAACATTTGCATGCCAGCATTTGCGTGGCACTCGATGCACAGCAACATATGCGTTTGCGTGGCAACATTTGCGTGCCAACATTTGCGTGCCAACATTTGCGTGCCAGTATTTGCGTGGCAGCATTTGCGTGGCAACATTTGCGTGGCAACATGAGGATGGGCCCCCCCCCTTTGGGCAAAGGGGGGCTTAAGCCCCCCTTAGGCCCCCCTTCAAAGGGGTCCCTGCAAAGGGGGTCCCTTCGGGGGGGGGGGGGGGGGGGGGGGCAAGGGTCAAAGCCCTTAAGCCCCCCTTAACCCCCCCTTAAGCCCCCCCTTAAAGCCCCCCCTTAAGCCCCCCCCTTAAACCCCCCCCCCTTACGCCCCCCCCCTTAAGCCCCCCCTTAAGCCCCCTTCAACCCCCCCCCTAAACCCCCCTTGCCCCCCTTTAAGCCCCCCTTTAAGCCCCCGTTAAGCCCCCCTTTAAGCCCCCCTTTAAGCCCCCCTTTAAGCCCCCCTTTAAGCCCCCCTTTAAGCCCCCCTTTAAGCCCCCCTTTAAGCCCCCCTTTAAAGCTGCCCCCCTTAGAGCCTAAAGCTCCCCCCTGAAGCCGCAACCAAACCCCCCCTCTGTGGAGGGTTTAGGCAGCAGTTTAAGAGGCCTAATACTTGCTGGGCCTTTTTTGGAGGGTTTGGGCAGCAGTTTAAAAGGCGCAACACTTCGCTGGGCCTTCTGCGGAGGGTTTAGGCAGCAGTTTAAGAGGCCTAATACTTGCTGGGCCTTTTTTGGAGGGTTTGGGCAGCAGTTTAAAAGGCGCAACACTTCGCTGGGCCTTCTGCGGAGGGTTTAGGCAGCAGTTTAAGAGGCCTGACACTTGCTGGGCCTTTTGTGGAGGGTTTGGGCAGCAGTTTAAAAGGCGTAATACTTGCTGGGCCTTCTGTGGAGGATTTAGGCAGCAGTTTAAGGCCCGAATACTCGCTGGGCCTTTTGTGGAGGGTTCGGGCAGCAGTTTAAGACGTCTAAGAGGCGTAATACCTGCTGGGCCTTGGGTGGAGGATTTAGGCAGCAGTTTAAGAGGCCCAACGCGAGCATCGTGTTTGCAAATGGGGGGGGCTGCGCCCCCCCCAACCCCCCCGCTTGTTTAAGCCGGGCAAACTCGCGTGGAAGCATATGAATCATGTCCAAAACAAAACAAAACATGGGGTTCTCGGCTTAGCCCCGCGCCACGTCACTGCTATGCAAATGGGGGGGGCTGCGCCCCCCCCAACCCCCCCGCTTTTTTCTGCCGGGCAAGCTCGCGTGGAAGCATATGAATCATCTCTGAAAAAAAACATGGGGTTCTCGGCTTAGCCCCGCGCCACGTCACTGCTATGAACTCTCTGCTCCTTGAAACTCGAGTAATGAACACAAAAAACAAAAGAAGAAGCGAGCGGGGTGGAATTGCCCTTAAGCTCCCCTTTAAAAAGAGTCTCACTTCTCTGGTTTCGAAGAATGAAACCCAAAAAACAAAACAAGATTCGAGGGGGGTGGAATTTAGAATACATTCCCTTCTTTCTTTTCGTAAAGGGAAATGAATGTTTAGAGTCTCACTTCTCTGGTTTCGAAGAATGAAATCCAAAAACAAACTTAGAATACATTCCCTTCTTTCGCTTGGTAAAGGGAAATGTATGTTTAGAGTCTCACTTCTCTGGTTTCAAGTAATGAAATCCCAAAATAAATACAAAAATTTCACAAGATTCGAAGGGGGTGGAATTTAGAATAGTTGGTTGGTAGGCTGGTTCACAGCAAGTAGCTGCAACCATAACAACCGCTTCCCTGTCCATATCTCAGGGAAGCTTCGCAAACGTCCTTGCCTTCCTCCACGAACAGTTCTAGCGGAGGATGACTAAATTCTTGCAGCCAAGACACGCGCGAGGTATAAGGCGAGGGGGAGGAAAGGGGAGAGAGTGTAAAAGTTTCTAAACAGCACAAACCCAACTTACACACAGCTTCGCACTTGCACAGCACTTTCTCACACAAAGCGACGTGCAGTTGTCCTGCCTTCTTAGTGCTTTCTCAGCTCTCTTGACCTTGAGCCAAAAGTCAAACGTAAAACTGGAAAAACCCAGTTGACGCCACCTACACAAGCTCACTTCTCCTACAAAACAAAACTTCAAGGAAAAACATGCTCGACTGCTCAGGGAAGACCTGTACGTCCCGGACATACAGTAAGCACGTCAAACATGCGCCTTGGCCAAAAAGGCATCCCGCAGACGTGTCTATACACAGATTTTCACACCCCCTTTCGGGATGATCTTTTTGTCTCACCTCACTCTCAGATGACGACATCTTCAGATGATCACTCCAATCTCAGAGGTCTGTTCCCTGTCACACATGTCGAACACGGAGTGATGCATGTCGGGTTGGAGGTAACGGCCGCCACATGCTTGCAGTACACACTGTGATATTTGTCCCCGGACGGGAACACACACAGTTCTGTGTTGCCCGGCTCTGGCTTACAGTTCCCACACTGCCACATAGTTCGCCATGATCCCTCCATGCGATGACACGTCTGATCGTGATGAAAAATGCCCTGAGATTCAGAAGCAAAGATGCGCTTGTCCACTCTATCCTTGCAGCTGGAACTTGCATGCTTCTCCCTTGCACCAGCTGCCTTCGGCCTCGCTCTCAACGACGATGCCTCCTTTTTACCATCTGGCTCACGAGGGTTCATCTGTTGACTTCTCTCAGGCATAGAGTTGGTTTGGGCACCTTGTGGCTTCATCGTGTCATCATCCAGAGGCGGGTTCTGTGTAGCAGCTCTTTGCTGCCCATAGCTCATCCGGAAAAACAATGCCCACGCACAACAGCATGTCATGATCAGCGTACCAACCAAGATGCCGTTGACAAAGCACCCGATGATGATGATCCATACTGGATCCCAAGTCGGACTAGCAAACATCTGTACAAGCTCGCTGCCCATGAAGGTGGTTCCCCAAAGCTCTACTGGCCTCGCAGTCTC